GCTAATCTATCGGTTGATAATGTCAGAACTAGAGTAAGATTTCAGAACAACTCTAACTAGGCGTCAAAATTCAAGAATATTCGGTATTTAGATCAAGAGTTCCAGAGTTTTCAATTTGGTCAATGTTTCTATTTGCAATTTGTCCAATTTGCTTAAAACACTGTTCAAAATGTAACATTTTAGAATGCCTTGAGCAGTAATAAATGTATAGTTTCCATTAAAGTGTGAAAAAACAGTAAAAACTTGGATAAAACTTTAATTTTGTGTTCAAAACGATAAAAAAATCTTGCTCAAATGCTAAACCGAAAATTGCAATTTTTCTACAGTAATTCAGCGAATAAATCAAATTTTCGGCGCGTTGTGCTTTCTAAAGCGTGGATGCCTTACCGTACCCCGCACAAAATTCCCCTTTTGCCATTCTTTTCCATTTTCTTTCATTCTCTGATGAAGTCGGCAAATTTGTCCGGTTTTTACGCATAGTCCCGCCAAGTTTTCTTCCTCCTTCGTGAAATCAATTATGTTTTTGTAGCGCGTTTTTAAAGTACTCTCTCCCCTCGTTCGTTTCCTACTTTTTATATTATTTGCCCATAATTTTTTGTTTAAAATTCTAATACGGTTTTATTTCATTTTCTTTTCGGTACTTATTCAACGATTTCCCCTGAAGATTGATTTAATTTGACCAGCTTTGCCCATAATTAGGCAATTATGGAGTGCACAGGAGAGATTGATCATTCGATTCAATTCACTCAAATCTGTTCCCCTAGTTTTCCGGCTAAACCAGAAAAGCAGATGTGATCAAAAATCATTTCTGAAACGCACTCACTGAAACGCATATTTCTGAATTTTCAGCTTTTAATTTTTTTAATATTTTCTTCAATTCACCTCCTCAATCTTGGATTCAATGAAGTGACAAAGGAAAATAATGGAGAAAATTTAGCTTTATCTACATTTGATCGCTTCTAATTCGTTTTTATTCATTCTTCGTTGGTTTTATGGTTTATTGGAGTCATTTTTAGTATCAAAAACGATTTATTGGGCTGTTTGATATGATTTTTACAATAAAAAATGATTACTGCTCTAGATTAACCTAAAAAAGTGGTTGTTTTGGTGACAAAAGTGACTTCAGTAAATCATACAAATGTTAATTCTAATGACGCCTTTTTATTTTCAGATACGAGAATGCCGATTGCAACGATGGGTGATTTGCCGTTGGAGCTAGTTGAGAAGATCGCACACCATTTCGATGCACACCACGTGCTGGAATTAATGATGGTAAACAAGAGGCTCCACTCGAGCTATGCAACGGATCAATCGATCGTTTTCGGAAAGCACGTGGCTGTGGTTGCCCTGGGACAGACCTTGAATTGGATCAAGAAGTTCGTCGATTTCTCCGTCCCTTCAACTGAATGCAACTTTTCTTCCTTTCGCCAAACGGATCGATTCATGCGATAAGTTAGACGTCCTTTTCTATGCCAAGCTTTTTTCGCAAGCCAAGCCAATGTCGAACCGATGGAATGTTCTTAGACCAGTTGAAATCCGTGGACCAACTCTTGTTCTATGTTAGCACGAAGGAAGGTTGCCAGAGGTTCCTCACCAATTTTTGTGGATTGGTCAAAAAGAACCCAAAACTGGGCATCGGAATCAGTCCATTTGAGGCAGATCAAGCAATGAAAGAGCAACTCGGCAAATTCATGGAAAATCAATTCAATGGCTGCGAGAAGGTCACGATGAATTGCGACTTCGGATCGTGGATTGCAATTGATTGTTTCTACGACTACTACTAGGTCATGATGAAAATGCAAATCAAAATAATTGCAATTGGGGTTCCTTTATGCGACTTTGATCGAATCGTCAATATATTTTATTTTTAGAATGGAGGATCGATTTCCTGGAACCTTCACGCAATATCAATCTCAAAGGACAGAGATTTTGAGACCGTCTGTGTCTGACGAACAAATACTGCTTTATTTACAGGTAGAATGACGCCATCGAACAGAAAGATGCTGAAGAGATCGTCGAGCTGGCAAAGGTGAATCAGGGATTTCAGGGAATACTTGTGAGGGATCCTTCGAATTCTCTCGAAAGTCTCGTCCACACTCCCCTTGTCTTGTCTCTGAACGAAAAGAGATCTTTATTGCTTTACGAACTTATTGTTTTTTTTTTGAGCGCCTTAATTTCCTAAACAATACCTTTTCGACGATCATCAGAATTTTCGTTTTTCGTTTTTTTGGTTCAGATTGACATTCACATTTTTGAGATCTCCGCTTTGCTCATCTTTATATGCTCTTTCTACCGTAATCCTGTAGTTTGAAGTCCAAAAACATAGGCAAATCTTCAACAACAGCTGATATAAACCACTTGTAAACTTTTTATTTATTTTGATTCAAAATTTCATGCCAGACCTCTCAAATGTGATGCTCAACCTGAAACCTGCCTGCAATCTATCAATCATTTGTATTTGTATACGGTTTGTTTTCGGGTTTTATTTAAATTTGATAAGTTTAAATAACTTTGCTATGAGTTAAGCCAAAAATCATCGATTCCTTTCTATTTTTATTCAAATCCCCATTATTCCTTTCGATTTTCAGCTCTCAATCCCTCTACGATGTGCTAGGAGTTTCGAAAAGTGCCACGCAACAACAAATCAAACACGCCTTCTATGATAAGTCGAAAAAGGTGAGGAAAAGTTTATGGAATTGATATTGAAAACGAGTTTTGAATAATTTCAAAAGCAAATACCTCAATTCAACCCTCCCTGGCTATCCTGCCTACTTTATATCTTATCTTGGCTTTGTTTGCCTAATCCTAGCTCTTCTCTATGTTACCCTATTCTCGGGCTATGCTATAGACTCTCTAGCCTGACCTGGATCTATCCTATTGACCCTGGGCAACTCCGGGAAAACGTGGGGTGAATTTAAATTGACTCAAGTATATTTAAGATCAATTCATTTTCCAGTTACATCCAGATGGGAGCCACTCTAGTGAAAATGAGCGACTCTCAGCGACGAAAGCTTTCGTCGAGCTGAAACACGCCTACGATACATTGAGAAGACCGGCCGATCGACGAGCATACGATTTTGGAGAAAGGTGAGAAGAGTAGTTGGGTAATTGAGCCGAAAAAACATCGTAAGCTAAAACTGGTAAAGTATCAGTTTTGGCTAGCATTAAAATCAGTTAAAACTTTTCACAGTATTAAGTTCAACTTTAGGATTCGCGAGCGCCGACGACAGGGGCCAAGTACGGGAAATTTCTATGGTTCATCGTATTACGAAGAATTTGAGGGGTTTCTTTTCATTTTTTGAAGCTTTTTCAACACTTTTTCAGAAGATCTGGTGGTTTCGGGAATTTCGGCTCATCTCGGATGAATGAAGAGGATTTCCGGTGAGCTGAAGCTCATTTTTGAATTGAAACCTTTTATTCAGATCCGCTTCGAATGATCAATGGAAATGGATCCTCCAGGTTTCGATGATCGGCTTTGGCTTTGCTATTTTGTACAATCTGGGATATGTGTAAGTTGGGGAATCAATCCGGATCCAAGTCCATTTCAGATATCACCTCTATGCTCGTGAAAGAGAGCTGGCGAAACTGGTGGACAAGGATGAGATTGCGAGGAGTTTTCTGAGGCAAAATGGATTTGAGGAGATCCGAGAGGATCATGGAGAGGTGGGAGAGATTTGAGAAGGATTCTGAATCACAATTTGAACCGGTTCCTTGGACTTGTAAGTCAGGCTAAACCGTAGCTAGGTCCACATTTGGCTTCTATCAAACCAGGTGGACTTTGAGCTGGGTTTGCAGTAAAACAAAGTCACAAGCAGCCCAGAATCTAGGCAGTAAGCAAAGCTAGGTTCAGATCGAGTCCCGGCTCTTGGCGGCTCAGGCAATTTTCGGGGCTGGGCCTGCAATAAGACAGAATTAGAAGCCTGCCCAACGCGACTGGAAATCTGAGATGCGAAGAAATTCTGATAGGCTACAGTGCTACTATGGAACGCACACTACGTAAATTTTCTGGATAAACATAGTACTGGCAAAATTTTGCGCTTACCAAAATTTATCCTGGATCTCACAGGATAGAAAAATCTACTTAGATAACATTGCGATAAGAAATTTCTTTTGAAACAACCCTGGACTTGAGCTTCTGAACTGATTCTACTTAGTTCCAGCTCCTGAAAGACCAAGGAACTTTTTGTTGGCTAGTAAGTAAAGACAAAACCTTGAAGTCAGCTCATTTTAGATCATGAACTTGGCACAAATCCTCAAAGATGACGTCGACGAAGCATGGAGGAGACGATGTGAAGAGTTCAAGGACAAAAATCGAGACGAGATTCGAGAGGAATATCGGTGAGCGATTCGGAAAATGGGATTTTTGAAAATAGAACAGATTTTCCATCAAGAATTCTTAAAAAACAGCAATTAATTGGGAATTTTCAGTTGGTTGAGAGCCGTGCAAGACGTGGATCACAATCGGAGAGTGAGGGTGGGCTTTGTTAAGTAAAGTGCTGGCAGTTTTCAAATCCAAAACTGAAAATTGCATTTAGAATTTCTAGAGTATCTAGGTTAAAGTATTTAATTGATAAAATAATCTATTTAATTAAAATGTATCTAATTAATCTATCTAATTAAAATTAAAATTTGTTCTTTTTAAGGCTCGTCGTGCCGCCGCTCAAAGAGATCAAGATCCAGGAAATTGATAGGAATTTGTGATTTTTGTGTAAAATTGTATAGATTTTGTATTTTTCAAGTTTATTGCTAAGATTTGTGTCATATTTTTGATTAGAATATTGGTTTTTTTAGCTTTACGGGTTATTTTTAGTCATTTCTTCTTTATTTTAATCGTTTACTTACTATTCTAATAAATTTTTCAAAGTAAAACAATGAAATTTTATTGGATAACGTCCAGAAATTGCTTGAACCGCCTTTTCTTTTCAATTTTATTCACAAATTAATCGAAATTCAGTCATTTCACGTTTTTTAGGTCCACTTTGTTATCGAGATAATGGGGAATGTTCGTCGCTGGATCTAGTTCTTTTACAGGGTTTGTTTTTGAAATTTTTTGAAATTTTTGGAAAAGTTTTGAAAGTTTAAGCTAATCTAAAGCTATTTACAAGATTTCTAAGCCTTTTTCAATTTAGATCACCAAAAATGGAGCCCGAGAATCGTTTTATGCATGGGAAAAATGTGCTCATCACTGGGTCCACATCGGGCATCGGTCAGTTTGAAAATCGTTTCTCTGAGGAGTGGGACAAATGCGACCTTTTTTTGCGCATCCGGACATTTGCGCACCTTTTTTTCGCACCTTGCCCATTAGCGCACCTTTTGAAAAAACGCACGCGTTTTAAAAAAGCTCTACAAAGCTAATATTAACCAATTTCTATTCCAAAAGTTGTTTTTCTAGGTAATTTTAGGGCGTTGAATCGAAATTGTGACATATCAGAGCTTGTGGAAACAAACGGACGGAGTTATACAAAGAGAAAGATCGACAATTTTCTGTAATTTGATCTAGCCGTTTTGTCTTTCAGATTGGTTCCACACGCTCTGTTATGTCAAAATTTGAATTCGACACCCTCAAATTACCTAGAAAAACAACATTTGCAATAGAAATTGGTTAATATTAGCTTTGTAGAGCTTTTTTAAAGCGCGAAAAAAGGTGCGCTAATGGGCAAGGTGCGCAAATGTCCGGGTGCGCAAAAAAAAGGGCGCAATTGTCCCACTCCCTTTCTCTGTACAATCAGAAATAAACTTGCTTATCGGCTTAAATTGATAACTGAATATTCGAAGATTTGATGCATTGAACGCTCAATTGCACTGTGAAATTGCACCAGAAAGCTTACCGGAGGAAGGGGCACAAAGTATGCACAATCTTTGACACAGGAATGACTCTAAAGAAGCCGTAGATGCTAAAGATTGATGATTTCTCTGCTGTATTCTATTTCTATTTAACTTTCAGAATACGGTAGTTGATGGATTTAATGGGTTGATGTTTAGTGGGTTGATAGTTGATGGGTTTAAGATTTTCCATGATTATAGGGTGAAATTCTTCAACTTTTCAGGGCTACACGCGGCAAAACATTTCTATTCCCTTGGTGCCTCAGTGATTATCACGTATCGAGAAGCGGAAAGAGGCAAAAAAGCGGTGGAAACGGTGGTGGAGAGTGCGGTGGCGATGGAAGGGCAAAGTGTGATGATGTTGGAGGTGATGATAGAAATTGATATAACTTTTTGTAGCTATGTAGCTGTGGCTTTTGTAGCTAGATCATTTTCTATAAAATGATCTAACTTAGCTGTGATCTAATGATCTAATGATTGATCTAAAGTGGTTAATTTTTTGTCTCCAAAATCACTTTTTGGCGTAGTTTTATGCGTAGATTCCGAAAAACACAACAATAGCTTAGGAAAAAGCGTTTTAAGCCGAGTTTCGGGACTTCAAAGTGCGCGCTTTTATAGTGTGATGACGGTGTGTGAGTGTGTACTGATCAAAACAAAAAATCTTTGGATTTTTATGTGACAACCTAATATTGACAGCCTAATAGACATTGGGACAGCCTAATAGACAGCCTAATAGACAACCTAATAGACAACCTAACAAAGTAAATTCGACTGTTCAAAGCGATCATTTTACAGTTAGACCTTTGCTCATTCATTTCCGTAGACAATTTCTGTACGGAAGTGAAAAACGCGTTGAAATCGCTTGATGTTCTTGTTTGCAATGCTGGTGTGATGGGAAGACCGTTTGAGGTAAAAGATTTCAAGAATTTAGAGATAATTCAGTTGAACATCTTTAGCTAACGACGAACGGAGTCGAGTCTCACTTTGCCGCCAATCAACTCGGGCATTTCATCTTGGTGAGACAATTGATCGAATTGATAGAAAAAGCGGAGAATGGAAGGATCATCGTGGTGTCGAGTGGATATTATAAACAGGTATTGAACTTGAGTATCATCTTTGGATCAAACATTTTAACACGACAATCCTTTTAGGCGACCGTGATGCGTACCCGGAAAGAGTTGATGGGTGAATCGATCTGGGATTACACGCCGACGATCGCCTATGCAAATAGTAAACTCGCGAATTGCCTCTTTGTGAGAGATTTGGAAAGGTTTGTGTTTTGACGCTGTCATCTATGTTTCTATCAACGTTGTCTTTGCATTTTTGACTTCTAAACTTCTTCCAGACGAGAGCTAGTGCTCTACTAGTACTCCAGGCGAGAGCTAGGCGAGAGCTAGTGCTCTACCGTCACCTTAGATCTCTCTAAAGTTGATCTTGATAGATCTTTTGCCCTCAGTTATTCTTTAACTGCAGCATGGACTGGGCTATGGTAGCCGGCTTTAGAACATCTGCAGATTACGGTTGCAAAGTTCACAAAGCATTTGATCCTTTCAGGAGATTGACAGAAAGAGGAAGTCCAGTGAAAGTTTTCTGTGTTCGTCCCGGTTTCATTAAAGGAACCGATTTGGGAAGAGAGACATCCTGGTTTCTACGAACCATCGCCACTCCAGTTATTTGGGCTTTCGCAAGCAATTTGGATCAAGTACTACAGCTATTTTGCGTTTTAAACTCAACTCTCTCATTGAATTGGTCACTATAGCTATCACAATTTTATTTCCAGGGAATCTCTGGGATCGTTCACTGTGCGACGAGTGATTTCGATGAGTTGATCAGTGGAAAACTGTACTATCAAGATCAAATGGAGGAATGCACTGATACGGTTTGTAAATGAAATGAAAATTGCTTTGCCTGGCTTGTCCCTTAAAGAATCCTGGCTTTGGCATGGCTCTGCTTCGCCTGACTTGCCCTGATCCTGTACTTGGCTGGATCTGGACTTGACCTGGATCTGACCAGATCCTCGACTGATCCAGAGCTGGTTCCAGTCTGGCTGTGGCTTTGCTTAACCTGATCTAATCTGGGTTTAATCTGGTCCTGGCCTGAAACTGAGCCTAACCTAGATAACCTAGATCAGACTAAGCCAAGCCAGCTACTGGCCTGGCTTTGTATGGCTATCTTGAACCTGTCCTATCCCTGACGTAGTCCAGGCTTGGGACTGACCTAGATCTGACCTAATCTAGATCTAAGCCTGGATCTTAGCTGTTTTGGGTATGACTTGGAGCTGATTTAGTCCTGACCTGGTCTTGAATGAACCTGGCTTCTGCTTGGGCAAGATCTGGACAAGAGTTGGCCTGTTTTGCTTGACTTAGAAGCCTGAATCCGTTAATTAAATCTTTTTGCAGGTCACCGCCGAGAATGGTCTTCGTTTATGGCGAATGTGCGAGAGAATGGAGACATTGATAGCCGAGAGATCGCACGGGAAAATCGCGACTCCACGAGTGATTCAATGGCCGAAATTCGATGACCGAAACGTCAAAAACGAAAGTAAAGATGAAGAAAATGAATGAATTGTACATATCTTATTCATTTGATACTTTTTAAGGTTAAACCCAAAATTTTCAATGTGATTCTCGTAGAGGTGATGGCTTTTGCTTTGGAAACGATGTTTCTCATCGAAAATTTCATTTATTCACTAAATTACTGTAGAAAAATTGCAATTTTAAGTTGCTTTAGCAATTTTTCATCATTTTTTTACGATTTTGATCACAAAAGATTTAGATTCATTGAAGTTTTTATTGTTTTTTCTCACACTTCAACGGAAACAATGAATTTATCAGTGCTCAACTCATTCTAAAACGTAAAATTTTACACAGTAACTTGCAGAGAAACTTGCAAAAATTGACCAAAATTTTTGAACAATTAAAAAGCGAGAAAATTTGTAATGAAAATTTAACCGGAAGCTAGTCTTTTTTTTTCATCTTTTTCATGGTTTACCGTATTTTCTAATAGAAGTGCGCCGAGCCGAGTTGATGCCTATTTTATGGTTTCCAAGCTTTTGCAGAAGCTCAACACTCAAATCCCCCACTAGATCTCATCGTCAGCTACATTTTCCGACCCCACATCGATAGGTTCTGATAAGCGGTTCTAGAGATTTCGAGTAGTTTAGACGATGCTCTGGGTGCACTACTATTAGAGAAAATACTTTGCAATCAAGTTGTGCAGTGCGTGAGATGGTACCGATGGAGCAATGATTATTTAGATATAGCTGTAAGCTCACTTTCCCGTCCTCCGGTAACTGAATGGTGTAGTGGCTAGTGTGCTCGGTCTCCGTGCCGCTGGGTCGAATCCATGGCCCTGGTTCAAATCCCCTCTCTGTCAAAAACATTTTTGCAACTCTTTCTATACTAGTAAAAGAATTTTTAACGATTTTATAGTATCTATAAACAGTAAAAAGCTAAAATAGAGTCCCTGGAAGTGGCTGAAAGCGGGAGGAAATGGCTGAAAGCTGAAAGAAATGGCTGCAAATTTCAGTGAACACAAAAGAATCCCAGCTTTCACAATCAAACCCAATCTAGCTTTCAGCCAGGAATCGATGGATAAAGCTAATCCAAACCATGGCCTACCTTTGAAAGTCAATGAAAAGTCAACCAAGTCAAGTCAAAATCTTTTAAACAAATGTTTATTTCACATAACAAATCACTTGTTTTTCTCCAATCATGGCCTCGGTTTGAAGAGAATCATCGCGCTTTCCTCTTGTGCTTTATTGGTGTCTCTGCTATCCGTCAACCAATCGTAGAAATTCTGAGCGCCACCGTGGTTCTTGTCGGGGATGAATGGGCCCTGGAATTGGAATTTTACAAAAAAAGCCAACTTTTTTGTAAACTTTAGAATCTGGTGCACTGATCGATGAGATCAGTGTGCCAGAAAGCGAAAATTTACGCACAAAAGTCACCTGTGGTGGCGGGGTTTTCGGCTTTTCGGCGGGTGGCTGGTTTTTCTTTTTCTCTAAAATTACAAAATTGAGACTAAAACGTTAGAAATCTATTCGATTTTATAGAAATTTTTACTTTTTGGCTTTTCGTGGTGGTTGATCGGGATTTTGCGGGTCTGGTGGAAGTGGCTGAGAGTCGCTCTGAAAATCGGCAGATCAAAAGTTGAAAAGGCTCTCTCAAAAGTTATGGAAACAAGCTAGATTGATGTTGTGTATTCCAGATGGGTCAAAAATATACGAAAAACCTTACAATATCATCGGAGGGAGTGGGCGAAGGCGGGCGGATCTCTTCAGGGCATGGAGTGTAGAAGCCGAAGAATTTCGGGTGCCACTTTTTGGAGGTCTGAAAAGGAGATGTGATTGACAGAAAGGTTTTTTACGACTCACATTCTCATGGCAATACGTATGAACGAAGAAGATCGCTGGTCCGTAGACGAATGTCATGAAGATTGCTAGGATGATCACCCAATAGAGTTGTTGATCAAGACCGAACATCAGAGTTGTGTAGATGCCGAAAAGAAGCCACGCGAATGGAGGAAGGGCACGGGCTGATCGACTACAAATAAAGGGGTGTTTGGGTGAGCACAAAGTACACAGAAAGTACGCACAAAGTACGCGACAAGACCAGTTACAGCTATGGTAGGGACCAGATTTTAGTAGCTTAAATTCTCCTGTGACTTCCAGAATCATCAAAAATTGAGATAAGAAGGCAAATGGGTTAGTGTTACAGGGAGAATTATTTAAGGACACGAAAATCACTGTCACTCACTATGCCCAATAGATTTGATCCCGATCTACCGCTTTCAGATCGTACTTCTTGCATTGGAGGAAAGCAGTTTGGACCTAGAATTGCTTACGATTTGTCAGATTTCTTAAAGTAAACCTTAAAACAAGCGACAGTGATGAGAAGCCATGGGGGAATGATGAAAGCCCAAAGGGTGTTCCCGGTCGTTGGAGCGAAACAGCTGAAAAGGAGATTGGAGCTGTTACGGACATCCAGTGAGTTCCAGCTTTGACCTTTAACTGAGTGAAAAAGATTCTGGCTGCATATTATGGCTTTTAGTGCTTGGTTCAATTACCCAGTTAGAAATGGGCTAAAACTTTTCAACAAAGAACACTTTCTAAATGCTTTTTTGGACGCACTGCAGTCCAGATGGAGTGTATTCGGTTTGCTTGAGAAGATATGGGATAAGCGCGGAGAGGAGAGCGATCACAATCGATCCGATGTAGTTGATGATGGCTGGGATGCTGCCATTCTTCTTTGACGCTGCGTTGATCATTCTGAAAGATAGGATGCGGTCCAGGGATTGATCATTTTATGATCGTAATTGAGTTTTTCACTTACGAATTCGCGAACCAGGCCTCGAACATGAACGCCGCACACACCCAAACCATAAAAAAGTCGACAAGGATTTTCACAATTTTACATGGGCTCTAAATTTTTGAAAATTCATAATACATAAATCTGGATGTCACAAACGCTTTTCGTGTAGAGAAAGAATTGCAGAGCCATCATTGTCATGAAGAGGAAAATCATGCCGATCTCTTGGAAGAGGTGAATGTATCGGTGATGGCCTTTGTTTCTGGAAATACAGTTCTGTAGTTGGGGAAGTTGGCAAAGTCAAAGGAGAAGCTGGTAAAGTCGAAGGAGAAGTTGGGAAAGTCGAAGGAGAAGCTGGTAAATTCGAAGGAGAAGTTGGGAAAGTCAATGGAGAAGTTGTCAAAGTCAAAAGAGAAGCTGGCAAAGTCAAAGGAGAAGTTGGCAAAGTTTGTTTCTAGTTTCTAAGAGATGGAAAAAGCTATCGTAAACCGACTGGCTAGGCCAAAGTTTACAACAAACTTGTGCTTGCAGTTGATGATGATCGTCGCGATGACACAGATCAAAATATAGATGAAACAGAGGCAGAAAAGAATTTTGAAGATATTGTACCACGTTTTGGAGAGCACACGGGAAGTGCATCGAAAAGTTGAGAGATTTGGCGGAACTTTGAGAATATTTACCTCATTTCAGCCACTTCCGCAGCCTCGTCTAGGTAGTCGCAGATACCGTTTGAATTCGCGTCTTCGCAGGCTGGAAATTGAAAGATAGATCTATACAGTAATCTAACTACAGTCACCCACCAGTTGTTGTGGCTACCGTGGTCGTCGTTGTCGTCGCATTGTCGTAGTTGTCCACGATTGCCACACAATATTGCACGAAAACCCCCGAGTCACACTGAAGGGCTACTGTAACTTGTTCTCTAAACAAGAACTCACTGATTGGAATAGCGGGTCGCCTTTGCCTGAGGGGCATTCGCAACCGGAAAGATTGTAATCGGTTTCGGGATCGGAACCGTAGAACTGAAAGTTGGTGGAATGAATACAGAAATTCAGTTTGACCGATTTTCTCGAAAACTATTCATCGAAAAAATCAAGTTTTGAAATATCCGGCCATTCTGGAGCGCACATCAGCGAATCGTTGTGAAAATTTTTTGCAAAGTGGAAAATAGAGAGTTGGAGAGTGAGACACGTGAGTCGTTTAGACCGGAAAGGCGCGGAATTTTTTGAGAACCGAAAATTCTAAGAAATTTTTTCGGAGTCCTGGAGCGCACATAGTTCATTGCAAGTTTTGGATTTTAGATTTATGCAAATTTTTTTATTGAGCGACGAGTCCGTGGTTCGACTCCGCTGAGTGACCAGAGCCTTTTTAAAAATCGTCTTTTCGACAATTTTTTTGAGCGTTTCAGGTAGTGTGCGCTCCAGATCGATAGAATAATCGAATAATTCACCCAATTCCAACTTGAAATTTTGCCTTCTGCTTTGTTTGTATTTTCGATCTGCCTTGTGCCAGACTATAGAAAGAAAAATCAGCCGATTTTACTGTCCACGCACTCTATATAGCTTACAGCTACCTTACCAATAGTAGGCTTTAGAAATTACAGCTTAAAGCTTACGCTGATCAAACAAGTTTGCCCAGCAACCGCCGTCGCCGAGCTGTCACAAATGCAAATGAACGTAGCAGTGGTGGTCGGGGTGGCTGTGGAGGTGGCTGAAATGAAAACTGATAACTGAAAACCGAAAACTGATAACATAACAAAATCCTAAACAATTTCCCAGTCTGACTTGTTGTCGTGATTGTCGTGGTTGTCGTAGTCGTCGTCTGCGCATCACTCAAAATCACGAAAGCGAATAAAATTAGAGAATTCAATCGAAAACCGAGTTTCATTTTGGGAATTTGTGAAATTTCAAAAATTTCGAAGAAAGCCAAACCTTTTGACGTTCTTCTTTTGAATTTTTCATTACAACTACGGTAACGGGTTGCCTAGTGCATTGGAAACAATGAATGACAGAAAAGAAGCGAGAAACTACGAAAACAGGCTTTTTTTTTCTGAATTCTGGAGCACAAGGAGCAGTTTAAGATTCGGAAAAATACAAAGTTTCACGAAATGATCAAAAATTACATAAGAAAATGTTTCAAATGTGATTCATAATTGCAAAAAAAGGTTAAAATTTGTTAATTTACAAATTTTGAAGGATTTTAAGTACTTTCTGGTTATACCTTCCAAAAATTTTTTTTAAAAAATAAAAATAAGTGGGTGGGGGAAAAAAAAAAAAAATTAAATAAAAAAAAAAAAAAAAAAAAAAGAAGATTTTAAAAAATTAATTTTTATTAAAAATAAAAAATAAAAACTTCTTTTAATAAAAAAAAAAAATAAAAATAAAAAAATAAAAAGGGGGTAATATTAATATACCGCGTTTTTGACTTCCTGGGAATCCTTGAACAGCTGATCGGAGATGAAATGCTTTAGAGACCTGAATAAGTGGTAGTCTGGCCAAGTCAGCGGCCAAGTCAGCCAAGGGGCCAAGCGCTGTATGGAACGTGTGGTAGAAGTTCTCCGTCCATCTCTTCGATTTTCAGCCCATCTTTCCATTATTATGCAAAAACCGAATTTTTGAAGTGTCATGTCGAGATTTCGATAAAGCTTGATTCACACGCTTTAACTGCTCACTGTAAAGCTCAGCTGTGACAGTTTTACTGGAGCAGTTCAAAATAAACCAATCCACGATAGTTCCACCATGCGCACAACATCAACTTCTTTCCATGCAGGTTTTGACGTGACAACCGGGGCCGGTGATAGCCATTGGATAGCCATTGCTGGTGATAGCCATTGGTGATTGCACTTAACGTTATCATATAAAATCCACGTTTCATCAGAAGCAACAAGTGATTTCCAAAAATCATGCGCTTTCGATTTTTGATACATAAAGCGGCAAATGGAAAGAAATGGAAGCCGACTGTCCTCGAACCACGTTCTTACAAATCCCAACCTCAACCCGACACTAACCTTTTCGACAGCGCCAATGAGAACCTTTGTAGTCGAGAATCATCGGGTGTGCGCACATGTGTTGTGTTAAATGTGTCGCATTGGAAGAATTCCTTGATTGCATCATTTGGCATCATCCTCTGTCTGTGGCAGTGAAAACATTCAACCGCAAGAAAAGAAAGAGAATAAAGTTTGAGTTTAAGTTTATATGGATTGCGTTTGCTTAGCGATCCAGCAATTTCAACAATGCTATTAATGCGATCAATCTACAGGGTGCGGCAAAAGTTCGGAGCCGCTATGAAAACATTGCAGAAAATTTAGCTCACGCTTTTTTTTTGTGTCTCGTATACTTTTTTCCCCTTTTTCGAGTATAATTAAGGTGATTTGTTACAAAAATTTTCTTTTTAGAAGAAAATTCGTAAGAATGAACGCCAAAAAACGACGCGATGTGATTCTCGGATTATACGAAGGCGGAAAAAATAGCCCGGAGCTTGTAAAAATCACGAAATATCCAAAAAGCACCGTCAACAAAGCAATTAAACGCTACAAGGAGATAAAGAACAACAAGGATCGCTCTCGAAGTGGTCGACCATCAACTGCCGTAACACCTACGAACATCAACGAAATTCGCTTTCGGATTCGCCAAAACAAGCTGCGGTCGATGCGAAAGATGGGCAAACAGCTGAAAATTAGCCCTCGAAGCGTTGGAAGGATTGTTAAAGGGAAACTAAGATTCTTCAGCTACAAATTGGCTAAAGCACACGTCTTGAGCGACAAATCCCAGAAGAAACGAAAGCGTCTAGCAAAGAAGATGGTGCGCTCGGTGGCGACTGGCCTACTTGAGAGGATCCTCTTCACAGATGAAAAGATTTTTTCTATCCAGTCATTGCACAACCGCCAAAATCATAGAGAACTTCTCAAAAGGGGTCTGAAGAACACATTTACGGCAAATTTGATGGTTAGAAAGCATTTTTCAGCTTCGATTATGATGTGTGGAGGTATGTATCGAAGCGGATGGTGGAAATTTCGAGCATTTGTTATAAGTTATTTGTTGTTATGATTCGAATAAAGAGTTTGTTATTAATTTTTAACTTTTTAAAGCTAGTTTTTAAACCTTTAACTATCTTAAGAAGCGGCTCCGAACTTTTGCCGCACCCTGTATTTCGACGGCTTTCCTTTATTCGACGGCTTTATTCGACACACAGATCTCTCATGTAGTGGCTGAAGTCCCTAGCATACTTGTTCATGTAAATGTATGTAAATTCCATGTAAGTATGTAAATTTTTGAGTATTTAAATTTTGAATAGGTCTACGAGATTACCGGATTTTATTTCTACTCTTTTTCGAATTTTATAACTGAAATTTTTCATTCCCAAGTTTTTCACTCAACAAAATCTCTGCATAGAAACTATAATGAAAAAGAAAAAACAGGTGCGTTCAATCAAATTGTTTTTGTTTCAAAGAGAAAAGGAATGTAAATTGTCTTATTTTCCCAAAGAATTCAACAAGTTCATGGCTGGTTGTGATCAAATTTTTTTCGCAAACCAAATTATCTTTCTCTTTTAGCTTTTTGCCTTTAAAACTTTGATTTTTCTTCATTCTGGATAGCAATTTAGAGATTTAACTTAAAATTTTCGTTTCTCGGCCCTTTTCCCCCCTTTCAAGTGTGAAACTCGAGTAGCTGTTCCTCTTCCGAATTTCCCCAGGTGAACTTGTGTCCAAATATTTGCCAATCACGTTTTTGGAGGGCACTTGGGGAAATTATTTGCAATTTTGATGAATTCAATGTGAATTTTGGAAATCAGAGATACTGTTGGCTGGTTTTCATTGTTGATTTCTCGGTAGTGGCTAATAGGCCCTATTCCAAAGTATACTGTAATTCTAAAGCACTCTAATCACTATTTGATGTCCACTCGAGATTACCCATCCTCAATTCGGGTACTTTTTGCCAAAAATCCGCCAGATGCTTTTGATAATTGTGGCCATTTTCCGACTCTTCAACCAACAGTCGATTGTCCGTTTCCCGGATGGTCGGTTGAAGTGAGTCTAGTCTTGTTTAATCAAAGAAATCATAGAAAAACCCTTCCAGATCTTTAGCAGTTTGATGCAAGCTTTGCAAATCAAAATTGAGCCACTTGTATTCGAGAATTCACCAGGGAATGTCGATTGGGGATCTTTACAGGCAAGGATTTTAACTAGAACTGTTTCTAGAACCGTTTCTAGAATCGATTTTACAACCAAGCCAAGCCAGGCCAGTAAAGCCAAGCCAGGCCAGTAAAGCCAAACCAGTCCAGTAATGCCAAGCCAGTCCAGTAATGCCAAGCCAGACCAGTAAAGCCCAGCCAGGCCAGTAAAGCCAAGCCAGGCCAGTAAAGCCAAGCCAGGCCACTAAAGCCAAACCAGTCCAGTAATGCCAAGCCAGTCCAGTAATGCCAAGCCAGGCCAGTAAAGCCAAGCCAGGCCATTAAAGCCAAGCCAGGCTAGTAAAGCCAAGCCAGGCCAGTAAAGCCAAGCCAGGCCAGTAAAGCCAAACCAGTCCAGTAATGCCAAGCCAGACCAGTAATGCCAAGCAAGGCCAGTCAAGCCAAGCCAGGCCAGTAAAGCCAAACCAAGCTATTTCTTTTGCTCAAATTCCAAGCCAAACCCTGAACATAATCAAGGTTTTAGGCCAAATTAGCTAAATTCAACAGTGATAAAGTAAAGAAATGAATGGTAAAGATGGCACGATATTCTGCTTACCGGGCAAATGCTCTACCACTGAGCTATTTGCGCCTTCTTTGCCCATGAAATAGGAAAGACAAGGAAGAAGAAAGGAAAGGAGAAAGAAAGAAAGAAAGAAGGGAGAAAGAAAGAAAGAAGAAAAGAAAGAAAGAAAGAAAGAAAGAAAGAGAAGGTTAAAATTTCATAAAAAGATGAGTCTAGCTTTGAAGTGAAACAAAATCTCTTCAGCCAAACAATTCCTGGTCTGGAGCTCTTGGTTTCCTGCAAAATGGGACTGTTGATGCGATTTGTCTTCAATTTCAACGAACCACGAATCGAGAGCGGGATTTCGATTTCACCTATCCAATCACTTTTGTGAGTTGCTTTTCCCAGTCGTAATCCTTACCAAATCTCAGATCCAAGCCGAGATGATTGTGCCAGAAGTTGATGGCAGTTATACCCTCAGTTTGCTTGATGTTTTCAAACCGTAAGTACTTTTGAGCTTTGATCTGGATGTCAGGGAAGCCAATCAAGAGGCTATTTACTGAAAAATTGACTTTTATTTAATTCGGCTATTATTTTTATAAAACTTTGAAAGCTGACTATGGCTCAAGCTTTTGATTAACGCTGATTCTTTTCAGTTTCACTGGAGAAGCCTGGCTTTTCTTTGGGATCTCTCTAATCGTTTGCTTGTTAATTTTCATCTTTGTGAGTCATGTGGAGAGGTTGATCGCTGACGGGAAAAAGAAGGATTTAGACTTGTGGGAGGTTGGGAAGCCATTTATGAGAGTATTTACTGAAAAACTGACTTTGAAACTGAGAATTTTGAGCGATCTGGAACGCACTACAGTTATTGGAAATAAAAATAAAGCTTTTAGACAACTTGGGGCATTTTGGCTTTTCAAATGTACCAGCCGAGTCCATCGTTTCAATTGGTCAGCGATGGGGGTAAGTGGGAGATTGGATTTCGATTTGAAATCTGGAACTCACGAAGCCTTTTAGCTTTGCCAATTTTCAGGGAAAATCCTCTACACAATTTTTGGGGTCGTTCACATTTTGTTGTTGATGGGTTTGTATCAGAGTTATTTGATCACGGCACTTTTACAGCCTGGGGATCCGTATCCGTTTCGGGTAAGCGAAAATGCAACAAGAGGCTATAGTAGACCAAAAGCTACAGTACACCGCAAGACAACTAGACAATGCAAGACAACTAGACAACACAAGGCAACTATACAACGCAAGACAACTAGACAACGCAAGGCAACTAGACAACGCAAGACAACTAGGCAAGGCAAGGCAGTTAGACAACGCAAGGCAACTAGACAATGCAAGACAACTAGACAATGCAAGACAACTAGACAACGCAAGACAACTAGGCAAGGCAAGGCAGCTAGACAACGCAAGGCAACTAGACAATGCAAGACAGCTAGACAATGCAAGACAACTCAAGCTACAGTAATCCGGCTACAATATCCTATTCCATTCCAGAACCTCGAGCAAATGAGTGCCATGATCAAGTCAAAAGAGTATCAACTACTTGAGAGTGATGGCGGGAATTGGTAATTTATTGTAGCCTTGATCCTTAAATAGAGGGTAATCAAGGCTGATTCCAAGTTGTTCAAGGTGATTAATTTCTTGCCATATTCGGCAAACAAACTTTTGTTGATGGTTTAAACGTGCAGACAGGTTTAAACGTGTCAACGTGAAAGTGGCAAGCCACTCTCCTCGCAAAAAATTAAAATCATTTCTTTTTTGGACTTTTCATTCGACATGAGTTCGAGTGATGAGAAAGTTATTGAAGATGATAAATCGACGTACGTGATAAACCTACGTACGTGATAAACCGACGTACGTGATAAACCGTACGATTATAAACGATGATGATAACGTACGACGATAAATAAAGGTGATAAACCGACGTACGTGATTTTTGAGTTATCACAACTTTTGCTGCAACATTGCTATATTTGCGGAAAAATTCCAGGCGATTGAAGGAAAGAAAAGTGAAGAATCAATTGGGCAAGAAATGGAAATTGCCAAAAATGGTAGAAACAAATCGGCTGATTAATTTCCTGGCATATTTACTGATTTCCACAGATGTCCGATCCACTATCTTGCAGGAAAAGGCGTAAGACGAACCGCTAAAATCAAACTAGATAAAACAATAACCAAAAAGCCAATGAAGCCAAACAAATAATCTCAAATAACTCTAATCTACTATATATGTCGTAACCGTTTACGAAATTACCGCTTACGAAATTCAGCCGCTAACGAATCATTCGTTAACGGTTGAATTTCGTAAACGGTTACGACATATATAAAGGAGACGTCTGTCCGTCTGTCTGTACCTAGCCATTGGCAAAAAGGGGCGGGGCTTAGATTGTGATTGAATAGATTGAAAAAGATGGACCTCCACAGTGGAAAGCACGAAAGTTAGTGAGCGTTTTCCGCTGGTTTCAAATAATCTCAAAATAAAATCGTTATATCAAAGCAAAATAATGACATGAGCATCGATGGCTGTGTGACATGGGCATCGATGGCATCATCGACGGTTATGAGGCAAATTCGATTTCTTGATTCTTCACTTTTCTTCACTTCAGCCGCCTGGAATTCTCTCGCAAGTTGCAGCGTTGGCAATGTTGCAGCAAGAGTTGTGATAACTCAACAATGAAGTACCTTAGTTTATCATTTTCAATGACTTTATCATCACTCGAACTCATCTCAATGAAAAGCCCAAAAAAAAGAAATGAGAATTTTCTGCGAAGTGAAGCGGCTTGACACTTTCGTTTAAACCGTTTAAACCTGTTTAAACCGTTTAAACCTGTTTAAACCTGTCTACAGCAGCAGGAGATGCTCATAAACAAAAGAGTGGCTTGCCACTTCCACGTTAACACGTTTAAACCTGTCTACAGCAGCAGGAGATGCTCATAAACAAAAGAGTGGCTTGCCACTTCCACGTTAACACGTTTAAACCTGTCTACAGCGGCAGGAGATGCTCATAAATAAAAGTTTGACGAATATCGAAGGAAATTAATCGATTTATTTCTGGCATTTGATATACAAAGCATTAGATAAAAACAAAATGATCGTTATGGGAAAGAAAATTTTTTCACTTTGAATCAGCCTTGATTTCCCCGTTATTTAAAGATCAATTCCAGGGTCTACGACGAGATAAGAACCTCTCCAATCTTTTCATCTCTCCGACAAGCCTTGGAGAAAAACCCGGCAGTGATGTTGACGAGCGACGGCGAACTGGTGCCCACCGCGCAAAAGGGTACGGTAATTGGGGGAAATCTTTAAGGAATTGATATTATCAATATTCTAGAGTACACAAATGTTCTGTGTGCTCCAGCTTGCTGTTTAATTTTCGAATTTCAGGCAAGTACGTGTTCTTCTCGCAAATCGATGCCTATACTTCGTATCAATTGCAGGATTACTGTGGCTTTTTGACCGTTATGGAGGGTAAACTTTAATTTTAGAGAAAAATGTGGAAATTTTAGATTTACCACAAGTGACCTCACATTTTCTCTTCCAGAAGAACTCATCTTTCGTTGAAGCAGTGAATAAGTACGGTAATTTAGCTGTGAAATAGAATTGCAAGTACAGTACAGGATGACCGCAACAACTTTTTGGAAAAGTATCTGGGAAATGTCTAATTTATTTCAAAAGTGGCAAGTGTTATATAGAGAATTGTAGGCCTAATTCTCTGCAACATTTATCTACCAAAAACTGCCCGATTGGACTTATACAACTCATTTAACAAGCGCTTAAATGAGCGCTAGTCGACATCACTTCGGCGAATCTGTCATTTGGCCACTTTTCTCTATTAAAAATTGCTAAGTGGCCAAATGACAGATTCGCCGAAGTGATGTCGACTAGCGCTCATTTAAGCGCTTGTTAAATGAGTTGTATAAGTCCAATCGGGCAGTTTTTGGTAGATAAATGTTGCAGAGAATTAGGCCTACAATTCTCTATATAACACTTGCCACTTTTGAAATAAATTAGACATTTCCCAGATACTTTTCCAAAAAGTTGTTGCGGTAATTCTTGGTCACCCTGTAGGCTAAGCCACTTTCTAGAATCTATCGTATTCCCATGAATTTTATCTTATTTTAACGTGTGACACCCAAATCTTCAGAAAAATCATTCTACAACAATCGTTCATCATGAGAACGTACACGAAATACTTTGATTCCGGTTTCAACACCGGCACCAAGCATATTATTTGCCCAGCTTCGACGATTGATGATATTACGCCATTGGGTAACGTCTGGAAACAGCTTTGATTTGATTTTTGGAACATTTCAGCTCTTCGCAACTGTGCTGGCATTTTCTGGCTTCTCTTCATCGGTTTGGGTCTCTCATTGTTTGCCCTATCAATCGAGATCCTCGTTTTTCGACTAGTACAACGATTCTATTGGAAAAAGAAAGCTTTCTCGAAATAAAATTTGAGTGGAACGGTTTTACAGAGACAATTTTCACTGTGAAGTTAGGTGTTCTTTGTGGTCTGAATCGTGAATCGCGCGATCTGGCGATCTGGCCATCTGACGCGATCTGGCGCGATCTGGCGCGATCTGGCGCGATCTGGCAATCTGGCGAGCTGGCGCGGTAGATAGGGAATGACCGGATCAACGGAGGTTGATTCCCAACGGCAGCGCCGGACAAGCCCACCGCACTAAAGCAGGCAACCCCCATCTCCGGGATGGTGTGGCACAATTGTTGGAAGTCCTTCTCGGAGGACAAAAGGCAGTCCGGTCCACATAAAGGTATTCCATAAGGACAGAATTGGATCTCTCTCATTACTGACCCTACACCTTTATTATTTGAGTTTAAATACTTAAATAAGCATAACTTAACTTGGCTTCAATATATGTGTCGCAGCCGATTGTGCTTTTCAGCCAAAAGTCTTTCGGCTTGCCGATTGCGCTTGGGGATTTATTTTTTTTTGTAAACTCAGAACATTTATTAATTTTATTAATCGAGTGTCTATTACTTGTTGTTTTGTTAAAATTTATTGTACAACAACAAATAATTATCAGTAAACCCAAGCCATTAAGCTACAATATCCGGGAGTTCATATTTTTATATAAAATAGTGCCTCCAGCGAGCCCATTTGCTAGCCGCCTTCTTAGGTAATAACATATATTTAGGCTTAGGCTTAAACTCAAACCCAAGCCCAATCTCTTGCAACTGCCTCGCCTTTGTGATTATTGTAAGTTTACAAAAAGAATCTCAAGCACTCGGCTAGCTGAAAGACTTTCGGCTGAAAATCGGCTATGACATATTATTGTTCTACACTGGTAACTTACAAACACTGTTGTCACAGATGTATCCAGCTTATCTCACTATTGAATAAACAAATCCTAATGACAAAGAAGATCTAAGAAGAGCATATCTAGATCTATATATTTATAAAAATTTAGATAGATTTAAAATTAAATTGTACAAAAAAAAGATAATTATAACTTTGTTTTTAGAATGCCAAACTATGAAAGTTACCAAGTATAAAAATACTGTGTGAAGGAAAAGTCGTACGTGTTAAAAGATGTTTTAGTAATATTGAGGATTTTAAACTATATAACAAGAACAAGAACAAGGACAAGGACAAGAACAAGAACAAGAACAAGAACAAGAACAAGAACAACAAGAACTACAACAACAACAACAAGAAGAACTACAAGAACAAGAACAAGAACAACAACAACTACATAAATTATCCAAACTTTTAAAAACAAGTATAAATCAAACATTATCCAATCCCTTTTCGGAAAAGCTATCACTAAAAACCTTTTCATACCACAAAAATACAACTTGAAATAAGCTAATAAATCAGCTAATAATCAGCTAATTTACTTCAACTATAGATAATAAATAACTAACGAGTCACAGTGTCACATCCCGGTCTTGACTTGGGAACAAAACCGCTTTCTTTTATTTATAACCACACGCCTTTTGCCAGCTGGTAGAGTGACTTCGGTTATAAAACCTTGTGACAGTGCTCTGGTCTTCGGATCTTCACCTTTTGTGACACAAAGATCTTCGGATCTTCAAGTCTTTTGTGAAATGATGGTCTTATGATCTGATTGTCTTTCTTTATTTTGGAAGTCCTTCTCGGAGGACAAAAGGCAGTCCATTCAAAAAGATACCCAGCCAGCGAAAATCTCAAAGCTGTCGTGAACAGCGAAGTAAAATTACTGTCCAAAATAAATTTCCCCGTTGCTTGTTTACCTATGTTTGACGGTCGACTAATTTCCTTTAAATTACTATATTTTTCGATCTATATATCGACAATGCATTGCGAATTTTAATTTGACATCTCGCCTACCATACTCTGTCGAGTGAAAAGAGTGCAGAAAGGAAAAGGTTTTCCGTCATTGAAGTAAGGGACGGAGAGAGTGCTGACGCGCCCTACACTGACCGAAATTGGTGACACAATCTCACTCAGAGAGATCATTTCATTTCTATTTTTTTCAGAAACTTTCATTTTATTCGTTTTATTCGTTTAAAATTCGAAGTTAACCCTTTTCCTTATCGAATAAAATATTTAGGGGATTAGTTGAAAATCTTTATTTAACAACTTTATTTAACAACTTTAACATTTTTCAAAATTATATAACATCCATTTACCCGCGATTTTTTTTCATTATTTTATTTTGTTGTTTTAACCCGTATTTCTTCTGTAAAACATGGGGGTGGGACAAATGGGACTTTTTTTTGCGCACCTGGACATTTGCGCACCTTTTTTTTGCTGGAAAAAGCCTTAGGCAAGGCCGTAGAGCTTCGAAAATATTTCCATATAAGGGAATCATATGCGTAGATTCCGAATTTCGACAAATCAGACCTCGCTGGCACGTCAAATTTGGGCTAAAAGGCAAAAACTGCGGAAAAGCGTTAAGTTGCGTAGTTTTTGCCTTTTAGCCCAAATTTGACGTGTCAGCGAGGTCTGATTTGTCGAAATTCGGAATCTACGCATACGATTCCCTTCTATGAAAACATTTTTGAAGCTCTACGACCTTTCCTAAGGCGTTTTCCAGCAAAAAAAAAGGTGCGCAAATGTCCAGGTGCGCAAAAAAAGGTCGCATTTGTCTCACCCCCTAAAACATTCAAAATCTCAATAATTTTTGAATATTTTGGCAATTTCGCCAAAATTCATCAAGTTTAACACAGCTTTACGTAACTTTTTTGCTAAAACATTCAAAATTTATCCTTTTCATGCTATTCATTCAAAATTTCCGCTTGTTTTACTTTTTTTTGCAAACCTTGCCTAATCTTTTCATTTTCAGATCCCTGTGGGTGCTACAACAAAGAGAGGGGCCAATTTCTGCAATCAATCAATCAATCAATCAATCGCCCATTTCTTCGCCCATTCGATGAGATGTTGCCACAATTGATCGGTTCATCGACTTTATATTTCTTGATTGCCTGCATCGCTGCCCATAAAGAAGAAGTTGAGAGACATCTCGAAAGGGGAAAGGAATTTCTAGCAAAGGTACCTTATTTTAGCAATTAGATACTTCTGTGTGGTTAAGCTGACTTAAAATTGTTGATTTGTTGACCAAACTTGGTTAGAATAGGCGTTACGAGATTCTCGATTAGCGCCATTGTTGAAAAAACTTGATTTGCTGTCGAAACGTTAGTTAAAGCTTATTTACTGGATTAGTTAGCCTAAAATGAATGTGTTTTAAAGTGTTAGTTTGATTTGTTGCAGAAACTTGTTCAGTACAGCTTATGTAAGCATCTATAAATTTCAAGAACTTGTATAAGTAGTGGAAAATTTGTTTAGAACCCTATAACTTCATTGTGTAGCATAAGCCCTTTACTATTTTTTTGCTTTAGGCTCAATTCGCCGACGCTCTCAATAGCTACCATGCGGCGATCGAATTGGATCCAACAAACTACCAGACTTTCTACCGACGAGCCACTGTCTACTTGGCGATGGGAAAGAGTAAGGTGTGTATGATGGAATAAAGTGATTTTATGCTTTTAAGAACTGTTTTGACCACTTCAACTTGTTCTTTTAGTCAGCCCTTCCGGATTTGGACAAAGTCGTTCAATTGAAGCCAGACTTCACGGCGGCTCGGATCCAACGGGGGAATGTTCTGCTAAAACAGGGAGAACTTGATGCAGCGCAACAAGATTTTGATTCAGTGGTCAGTTTTAAGAACTTAACGTCTAGTTTTATTGTTATGTTTAGTTATCGGTCGAGCCGAACAACAACGAGGTGGCCGCTAAAGTCGAGCACATAAACGAGCTACGACAAATGGTTTCAAATGGCGAACATTTCTTGGAGAATGGCGAGTTTCAAGAAGCCGAGCATTATCTGTCAAAGGCCATTGAAACGATGATGTGGGATGGAAGGTGTGTAGCTGATAATTCTCTATGAAGGATTGACATATTGACCATTTAAGATTAGATTTGCCACAGTTTATTGAATATTCTATATAAAATAAAATAATTTTGCTAATTTGCCCATTTTAGCCTCTACAAGATGCGTGGCGAATGCTATAAACACCTGGGTGAAACGCAGAAAGCGATTGCAGATCTTCGAAACGTTGCCAAGCTCTTCTCCGACTCGACTGATGTGTATCTGGATGTTTCAAAGTTGTACTACTCAATTGGCGATGTTGAGGAGAGTTTAAAGTGAGTGAAGCTATTGTAGTACTCTTGTAAAAGTTTAAATCAATGATTTTAGTCAAATCCGCGAGTGCCTGAAGTTGGACGCCGACCACAAGAAATGCAAGGACTTCTACAAGGGTGTGAAGAAACTGGCGAAAATGCGCGAGGACCTTAATAAACTGGTGTCAAAACAGGTTGGATATTAGTTGAGTTTTGATCTAACTTTATTTAGGATTGGATGGGATGTCTGGAGAAAGGGCAAAGCATTTTGAAAGCTGAAACAAAAGTGCCGAGCATTCAATTCGATGTCTTTCGGCAAACGTGCAAGTGCAATCTGAATGTGAGTTTATTGGGAAGATGTATGATGAACCACAAATTTAAATCTTTCACAACAGATACAAATAAAATTAAAAATGTTAATCTAATAATTAATTTTATCTCTGAAATCTTCTAGGCTGGCCACGTGCGAGAGGCGATTCAGGAGTGCTCCGAAGTGCTGAAGAATCAAGATGAGAACGATGTGGAAGTGCTGTGTGATCGAGGAGAAGCTCACATCTTGAACGAGGATTGGGACGCAGGTAAGAAAGAAACAAGAAAAAGAGTAAGAAACTTCTAATTCTATTTTAGCAATCGCCGACTTCCAAAAAGCGTTGAAAGCCAATGAGGAGCACAAGAAAGCCCGCGAAGGATTGCAAAAAGCGGAACGATTGAAGAAACAAGCCGGAAAGAGGGATTATTACAAGATTCTTGGAGTCAGGAGAAATGCGAACAAACGGTTGGTTTAGATGCCTAGTATTCAAATTTTGGTACTATCCTAGTTTGGGGGGGGCTTTTTTCTTCAAAACCACTTTCTGGGGTAGTTTTATGCGTAGATTCCGAAAAACATAACGAGAGCTTGAGAAAAAGCGTTTTAAGCCAAGTTTCGGGGCTTCAAAGTGCGCGCTTTTGTAGTGGACTTCACTATATGCCCCAAACTATCGACTATTGAGGCACTCTTCAAGGTCAAAACTAGAGCCAAAACCATTTTTAAACACTAAATATTCATTTTCTAACTTAAATAGGGGCAAAAGAAATTGAAAAAATATTTTTTGAGATTTTGACTCATGTAGGGTCAAAATTTTGAAAATTTTTTTATTTTGCTCCAATTTGATCAGAAACGTAATCAATAAGTTAAATTATGCCAGAAGAAGTGTTTTTGGCTTCAAAAAATGTTTTGAGAGACCATTTTTAGACCTCTTCCCTATTTGTACCCCTCTCATCACGCTTTGAAGCCCCGAAACTCGGCTTAAAACGCTTTTTCCCAAGCTCTCGTTATGTTTTTCGGAATCTACGCATAAAACTACTCCAGAAAAAGTGGTTTTGAAGAAAAAAAGTGCCCCACCCCAACAAGGAAGGATAGTACCCAAAGTTTATTACTCAAACAGAAATATTATAAAACGCTCAAATTGCAATTTCTTTCAGAGAAATCATGAAGGCTTATCGAAAGTTGGCTCAACAATGGCATCCAGACAATTTCCAGGTGTGAATCAAATCTCCTGCTTTAAATACTTTTCTTTTAGGATGACGAAGAGAAGAAAAAGGCACAAGACAAGTTCATCAACATTGCTGCGGCGAAAGAGGTGCTAACGGATGAAGGTTGGTTTGAGAAGAATTAATATTATAATGATTTTATCGGAGTTAACTACTAGTTTAAAGTCGGTTGCTTCTAATGGATAAAAATGCTTTTGTTTTTATAAAGCTAAAGAGTAGGACGACTTGTTTAGAATTCGTAACTATTAGGTTAGGTCGTTTTATTCTAAATGCCCTTCTTTTTAGAAAAACGACGCCAATTCGATCAAGGAATCGATCCACTCGACCCTCAAGCTCAACAAGGTGGCGGTGGACATTGGGGACATCATCAGGGATTCCAGCATCAAGTAAGGATTAGGGTTTTAATGAAATTGTAGAACTTGTTATAGCGTTGTAGCTAGTTTAGGTTCATAATGCCACTAATTTTCTTCTATTTTAGGGTTTCCCACACGGTTTCAATCCATTCGGCGACGGTGGTGGCTCGTTCAAATTCCACTTCGGTTAATTGTCCAAAGATGTACGCCAGAAGAAATCTCAGATGTGGACCCTGTTTATATTTGTCTAGGACTACCTCTCCTATCTTCGTTCGCTTTATTCTCTCGTCATTTCTCGTCTCTCTTTTATTCCAATTGTGCCTTATCGTGGAAAAACTGGTCAATTTCAGCGGCAATCATCAATTTTATTGTAAAATTTCAGATTCAATCATTGTGATTTCTTGTGATCATTTTAGACTTTTTCCAGGCCGGCTGTAAATTATTGTGGCTAAAAATTGGGTTTTTGGTTTTATCGTGTACAATATGTAAACCGTTTTCTTCTGTTGGACAAATCATTTTGTAATTGATTTTTTTATTTATTTTGTTGTGTTCACGGGGTGATCAAATGATATGCGGGATTTCCTGAATTCTTTTTTCTTTCTTTTCTCCTTTTCTCTGATTTTTTCAAAACTCGCAGCGCCTTTCTTTTCCTTTTTTCCTTTATATACAGTACTTTTTATCGTTTTTTGTGCATTTTTCTTTTTTTCTGTCTCTCTACTTGTGTGTTTCTAGGTAGTGCTAATAAATTTTTGTGTGAAATTCACAATAAATTTATTCTAAAATGATAAACACAACCCGTTTTTTTAAATCCGAATTTGACTGAGAATTTCAACAAAAAACACCACTAATAATGATCGGATTGGAGAAAATTTGTTTAAATAAAAGAAATATTGCTTATCATTGTCAATCCAGTCGTTTCTCCTTCACGTATTTGCGCAACAATCGCAATGAGGGGAAACCGAGGATGAAAGTTTGAAGAAACCATTTGAAACGGCAAGCGAAACTGAAATTTAGAAGCTGGTTGAGTTGAAATTTAACGTTTTAACGTTGTCTGAGCTGGATTAGTTTTTAAAATCAAAAACTTACGTGAAATGCATCCCCTCGCAAAGCAAAAGCGCGTAAATCCCCTCTCCAACATGAGCGATCAAAGCAAAAACATTTGTCGCTAGTAGAAGCGATGGATAAACCTGAAAATTGTTTTCACTTTAGAAATTGGCTCATTCATTTCACCTGTCCTAGATGACAGGCGAACGAGAGATAGGGGAGGTTGAGGACGAGTGGAGAGAAGAAGGCCAACTGAAAATTGAGGATTTAATAAAGAGGAAAGCTATGAAAATTTAAGAATTCGGCAATCTGGAACTCACGAAGTTGATCGTCAACGCTGACGGGATCAACAGCCACCAAAAGATCGACGGGGTCTCAAAGTGATCGGGCATTGGTTGCAGGATTCGACGGTGGCTCTAAAGGATTTGTGGGTCTAATTCAAAGATTTTGCAATCCTGGATGTCAGGAAGCAAGTTGGCAAAAAGAAATTGTTGGTATTGTTGAAAATTTAAAAATCAAATATATCGCAGTTGAAAAATGAATAGAATTCCTTGATTTTAAGCTAAATCGATTTTAAGCTAAATTTTGCGTTCCAGTTTATAAATCAAAAGGCTGGGAAAAGCATTAGAGAATCTTTTTTGAGAATCTACCTTGTTTAGCGCGTTATCAGGCGACGGCTCGTATCGGCAATTGAGGTAGTCGCGGAGGGATCGATTCGACGAAATGCCGAAGAGTCTGGAAAAATTGAAAGGAATTATTTAAGTTAATGAATTAATGAATTAATGAATTTTAATCAAATCCGAGCTAGTTTGACCGAAAAATTTTGCAGGTTTGGACAAATTTCCTGCAGTAGTTTGTAGTTTGGTAAAAAAGTTGGAAAGTGGAGAAAGTGACACAATGGAAAACCGTCGTGCGTTCCAGATTGACCAACGACAAATGCCTACTCACCTTAACACCAATGGAATGAGGTGGATGTAGTTGGGCATAAATGAGAGCACTTTCTCCTTGAGGATCGCGTCGATAATGCGCCGGGAGCACGACTCGACCGACATGAATGGGATCCAGCTGGAAAATTGAGCTTGGTAAAGAATCGATTGTGATAAGGAATCGGATCTACAATCCGGATCTGTAAATTGTAGCTAATGACAGAAATAACTCATAAAATTTTAATGGTCCTTATTGACAGTTCAAAAAAATCGAGTGCATGCCATAACTCGAGAATCCAGTCAAAATTTTGTTTTGTTGTAAACCAGGGTCGAGTGACACGGTCAAAATTGTTGAACGATTTATCAGTTGTTCTCAGAATTAAACTTAAGGCTCATTAACAGCTCAAAAGACCTGAGTGCATACCATAACTCGAGAATTCAGTCAAAATTTTGTTTTGTTATAAACCCGAATCAAGTAAAACCTTCAAAATTGTTGCACGATCCATCAGTTAATCTCGAAAATTAAAATTAGCGCTTATCAACAGTCCAAAAGGATCGAGTGTATCCCATAACGCGAGAATCGAGCCAAAATTTTGCTCTATTGTAAACCAGAGTCGAGTGACACCGTCAAAATTGTGGCACGATTCATTAGTCGTTCTCAAAAATGGAATTTAGAGGTTGCGAAATTGTTTTGGTTGCGAAAATGAAAAGGAGAGGAGGGGGAAGGACAGAAGTCGAGTGGAGTTGGAGTACAGGAAGAGGAGGGAAAGGAAAGAGGAAGAAAGGAATATCTCAATGCATACAATTTTGATTCGCAGCCACTCATTGCTTTTTGGGAAAGATAAATGTAATAAATGGTGACCCAAATAACTATTTTATACTCTAGCAATATTATTAGTTTTGATTATTTGGTTTGGAACTCACGTCGAAGTGGGCCGCATTCCTTGCGAAAGAACCATCGGTGTTCGAGCAAAATAGGGACAAATCTAAAAATGGAAAATGTTAGACTGGACCGAGTGCTGCTAGTTTAAGAAGGCTGAGTACAGTGATTCTCTGGCCAACTCTGGCCTCTTAAACCGACCGTCGTGCATTTGATTCCCTCTAATCCGCGATCCCGCAACTCCATCTGGAGACACTCCATCACGCCGCGGACTGCGAATTTTGTTGGGCTGAAAAGGTGATTGCATTGCATAGGATTTTAAAGTGTGACACCCAGTTTGACCAAATAACTCACCAATACGCCAATCCGTAAGTGTCACCGGACCATCCAGCAATCGACGAGATGCAAACGATTTGCCCGTAATTCTCACGCTCCATTCGACCGAGGAATGCGCGAATTGTCTAGAAATTGAAAAATTTGGTTTAAAAAATTGGTTCTGTTTTATTTACATTGACCGTTCCGACAATATTCACATTAATTGCTCGCTGGAGTTGCTCTTTTTTCAGCTCCATAAAAAATGAGAAGTAGAGAACGGCCGCGTTGCAGATGACGATGTCGATTCGGCCTGAAAATTGAGATTGAAGTTTTAGAGTTCCATTGGGAGTAGTAGATTTGGGAAATAATCCATATTTTAGCCAAAGTTTACAAATTTTAAGCTTGAACTGTTTTCGTCAAGAAAAAGGACACTAGGCGAAAGTTTTAAACAAAAATAACTTTAATACTGAAAACTATGGAGCTCACTAAATGCAAAAAAAGATCCCCACTCACCCAAAAAAGCCTCAATCCCTTTGCCGACCATGTTCATCTGTTCAGCATCCGAGATGTCCACTCTCCAGAATTTTGCTTTCCCGCCTTTGGCCTCGATTTTGGAGACTGTATCCAAACCGCCTTTCTGAAATGAATGAAATGACATTTAGAGTTTCTCATTGTCAGCAAATTACCTCATTTATATCCAAGACGGCGATTTTCGCTCCATATTCTGTTGCTAGGATCTCCGACATTTTTTGTCCCAGCCCGCTACCGCCACCGGTGATCACGATGGTTTGTCCTGGAAATAGTTTGGGTCTTTGGGAGGCACGAAAAATTATGAGAGCTTTATGGAAGCTGACTGATCACTATGGTTTGTCTCAAAGAATTTTTGGGTAATCTGACATACACAGAAAATTTTGGGAGCTTTATCGGTGTTGGCTTCCAATTTGCCTTTGTCTTAGAATATTTTTGGGTATTCTGGAGCTCACAGAAAAATATGAGAGCTTTACGGAAACGCTAGTTCTAGAAATGGTTTGAGTGATCTGACATACGCAGAAAATTATGAGAGCTTTATGCGAGTTGGTTTTCAATTTGCCTTTGTCCTAGAACATTTTTGGATGTTCTGGAGCTCACAGAAGATTATGAGAGCTTTACGGAAAAGCTAGTTCTAGAAATGGTTTGAGTGATCTGTCATACACAGAAAATTATGAGAGTTTTACGGGGCTAGATCTTCAACTTGCCTTTGTCCTAGAATATTTTTGGGTGTTTTGGAACGCACAGAAAAATATGAGAGCTTTACGGAAACGCTATTTCTAGATCGTTGAGGGATTACGGTAGACCTAGAGTTACATATATTGGGCTCCCAATAAGAGATTTTTCAGTGGCGGTGACGGAATCAGTGTGCCGCGAGGTAGGGTGAATCGTCCGGCCAAAGTTCCAAGACTCGAAAGAGAGCCCAGGTGTTTAGTCAATTGAAGTCACTCAAAACACCCAATTTCAGTCAGCCAAAACCCTTCCAATTGCCCATTCCGGATAAGGGAATTTAGTCATCGGCAGTTAGTGTCTTAATGCCTATAAAAGCCAATCTGAGAATGTTGAGTGAGTACAAGACGCCGATCAACGTCCAACCAAGACGGCACAGCAACGGCACAGCGATCCTGGATATCGACAGAATCACGATCAATATGTGTAGTGTCAAACAGACAACAAGAAATAGTAGTTCATTGCTTTCTAGATCAAAATACACTGGCAAAGAAGGATACAACTCGATACAAGAAGGACCCGGTAGTCCATGAGTGAGTGATTTGAAGAGTCTCAAAACCCAAACGCAAAAACCCAAAACTTACAGAAAGCCATCTGCTCATCTTTGCCTCCTCGTCCTAAGGAGGCTGACAGGAAGCTAAACTAGACCAAGCAATGCTAAACTTGCCAGAAGTCAGTTCCTGGAAACTCAGAAATCTTTGTAGGGCCTGCAATAAGGTCAGGATGTAGGTTTTAGAACCCGGCTAGAACATCTTTGCATCGAATGCCAGGCAGGCTGAGGCCAGGTTGGAATAGGAAAGCAATCAAGATCATAGACAGGCACGATTGAGGCAAAACCAAGCCAACTGCACCAGAAAACTGGCAATGCAATTTTTGATTCAAAGCACTTTTAGCTAAAACACAGCGGCCACGCCAGCCGAGCAGAAATCTTGTTGATGACACAAGTTGGTGAAGACTTTACTTCTCTTGATCATCATGATCTTTAGATGATCATCAGTTCTCTGGTTACTTTCACTTACACTATTGGTTTCTATTTCGTTGGAAACGTTTCGAATCTATTTCTCAACTGGGATGTTAGAAACTTGTAGTAGAAATTTTCTCATTTCAGTCTAATCACCGCACTTTTCCTCCGAAAACCGAAAGAAAAGCCGGTAAAGACCAAAAATTCGATCACCGTGACTGTTCATCCATCAAAGGTCATTGAAACGGCAAAATAGAATTGTGATATTGAACTGTGATATCTCAAACTAATATTATATCTCAATAAAGTTTTATGTTTAAATAGTGGATAGAAAACAAAGATAAAAAGAAAGATCAGAAATTTAAATCTTAGCTAATTAATATTAGGTTGGCGGGAAAATAATGGGAATTTTTAACTTGTGTTTCTGGGAAAGTAATGGCAGGCAAACAGAGAAAACCGCGATAGTAACAGGGAAGCAGCAGAAGCAGAGCACGAATTTGTTTAAGGCTCATCAAATGTTGATGGAACTTCGACAAGAATCAAGAAAATGTCACCAAAGCGTTCAAGAATATAGGTAAATTATTGAGGAAATCCGGGTGTTCTCATTCCATTTCTTGCCTCAAATCATTGTTGTTTTGTAGCAGTTTTCGTTTTTAGTTTTCGCTGCAATGAAGATTGATTGTTTTTGGTTGACGAGCGATGACTAAACGAATCGGGCATTCCCCTCCTTTCTCTTTATTTGGTGAGAAATCCGTATTTTGCCTGGCAACAAATCTCTTGTTTGATTTTCTCATCAATTCTGCTTATTTAGTAACCTTCTCCTTTAATTTTCACTTATGCTTCGAGAAAATTCAAAATTAAATTAAAGACTGTTTTTGATAGAAGCAAAGATTTGGTGAAAAATCCACAAATCCGCTTCGAGCTGGGCGATTTTCTTCAACGAGATGGCTGGTTCTTCTATGCGTTTGACACTTTTTTCAGCCAATTCTTCAGTCATTTCGGGCTTTTCTGGAGATTTGGAAAAAGGAGAGATGCTCTGAAGACAGCGAGGAGGGAAAGGAAGATTCCAGAGATTCTACAACCAACCTCATCATCCTGATGCCTCAATGTCTCAAGATTTTCGTGATCTTCTTTCTTTGTCTCGAGCTCGATTTGAGAAATTTGATCTGAGAAAGCTACTCATCATCCGAACTGAGAGCACTCAAGTTCAAAATCTCTCCAAATTTCTGCTTCCCAGTGCCCTCGATAAATTTCCTGATCATGCTGGTTCCGGGAGGCAAAGCGGGGGCTCTTAGGTTCGAATCTGGTAGCTGATTCTCTTTTTTCTTTTTATAGATCTTAATGCCTTGAGCAGTTTCCGTTTTAGAGAAGTTTTGTTTAGCTATGCTTTTTGCAACAATGCTCTGCTTTAACACAAAACCACTTGAAAAACATAGAACAACCAAAACAACAATCAACAATGATCTCGAGCAGCTATGAATTTTGAAGTTGAAGAATTCAAAAAGGGCCCTAGGAAAAATTGTTTACGCCGGGGGGAGATAGATAGCTTCCCCCGCGGGGATCGAGGAACAATTGTGGCGATTTGATGGGAACGGTCGGCTCAGTTGACCTTCCCCGAAAGTAGTCACCTGATAACTCCGCGTTTTCTCACTCACCAGCTTCACACGAACTGACGGCTTTCTTTTTTACCGAAATGCTACTTTTTTTACACGAAGTTCTATTCGAAGCGATCCTTTCAACGGCTTAATGAGTCAATCGCTTTCCTAAACAATTTCAGAGCTCTCGAAAGCTCTTTTTAAACAACAATTGTTTATCGGATCGTCCCTCCATTCGTTCTTCCCACTTCCCCGAATTCAAAACTAATCAACCAATTCAGCGGAATGGGTGTGATGGCCGTCCATCTATTCATCACGATTCTCCTCCTTTTCCATCAAATTTCATCGTCCATTCAACAAAGCGAGCAATTGGATCAATTCACGTATTCTTTTCGCTCCAAATAGCTATGTTGTCAATCATTCAGATCTCCGAATGATCGAGATGAGATTCTGTCTCGTGATCGTCGTACTTTGAAGTTGGTCGCCAAAGAGACTTTTCGATGATCTTAGATTTCAGCTGTAAAAAGCTTCTTTTTGACAAGCTCAATATATAGTTAAGATCCGAACTTTTTTCAGAAGAACTCAGAATACGGAAGCAAGAGACGGAAAAGCCAAGATTGGAGAGCTCGAAAGGAAAATCAACGCGTCGCAGACCGAAAACTCTGACTTCGAAACCCAAATGTGAGTTTATTTGGTATCCCTTGCCGACTGGGACCTGAAAAAACAGTTTTTTTCATTCCCAAGACAACCACTCCACTGAATCCAATCAACTCCCCTCTTTACAATTTAAAAGAGAAAAAAAAAGGGCCGAAATCAAAAGGTTGCGAGCAGATTTATGCGTTTTTTAAGGAAATAGATTGAGTATTTGTCTAGAGGATCTGGACGAATGTTTTCCGAAGAAATTCAGAGATCGAACGATGACTTTTTTGGATCTGTATCGGGATGGATGGTCGTATTTGGCAAAAACCGCTTCGTGGTACAAGGTTTGGTGGATGTTGTGAACCGGGATTATCTTCATTTCAAGGTGATAGAACAAGGAATGTCATTCGATAAAGCCGAGGCACACTGTGCGAGTCGAAGGAGCCATCTAGTCTCCATTCACAGTCAGGAAGAGCACGATTTTGTTTGGACTCTCGGTAAGAAATCGAAATGATTCAATTCTGAAAATTCATGATTTTCGTAGAAATTCACGCCTCATAAACCAAAAATAACCGAAATTTATTTCAGCGGGAACTGTTGATTCGAGTCGGTCGTACCAGATCGGAATGAAGGTTAAATTTTTCTTATTGAAAGACATAAATAAATAGCTAGAAAGTAATGAATTTTCAGCTATTTTCGGAAGGCTCTCTGTGAAAAAATGATCCCTTGGACTGATAGTTCTTTGACGGAAATCTGAAATGATAGAAACTGATAGAAATCTAATTTGAATTGAAAAAAGATCAACGGTGAAAAATTAAAACTTCTTTATTCAGAGAGATCCGAACGAAGGAAATACTTTTGAATGGACGGATGGAAGTTCGGTGGATTTCACGAATTGGGCGGTTGGAGAGCCGGATTCGAACACCCACGCTTATGTGAGATTTTCAGCGTGAAATCATCGAAATTTGTTCCAATTTCCAATGCATAATTAATCTAAAAATATTTCGATCAATCCGAGGAAATTTCTTTTTGTGAAATTACGCAAAGTGTTTGATCAAAAGATTTCCATCAGAAATTGACTCATTTCAGCTTGGGAGCGGCGATGGGAAATGGGTGGCCTATTTTCCTATCAATCAGTATCGTTTTATCTGCAAAAGAAACTTTCAGTTCTGATCAATGTCTTGTGTTCTTTGTTCAAAAACCAATAAATCCCATTCTATTCATTCTTCTGAAAACACGCAACTGCACATTATCTTTTTCTTTATTTCTGAATTGTTTCTTCAAATTCCCATATAAAAAGTTTTTCCAAAAACCCAGAATTCCGCCTGAAGCTGCAAATATTTTGCTCTCTCGTCGCTCCTGAATAGACTATTAGATAAACCTGTTGAACATCAATGGACATCAGCATGAGGAAACTGACAATTCTTCGTGAAGGTCGCTCTTCTCGTCTTGGCGATAAAACAAAACCCCACTTTATTTACGCTTTAAAATCTAGATTATTTCGAAATCCATTACTAAAAAGCAAAAACATACACGGTTGCTTGCAGAGAATGCAATTGAGCGATTCAAACACCGTCATTTCCTAAAAAGAAAGCATTAGAACCATCGAACAATCAACAAAAAAGAATGAACGCTAGAAAGAAATCGAATTGAGAGTTTGTGTTTTGAGGGTGGTAAAATTGAGAGAATATTTCTAACGCTAAAAAGACGAAAAAACTTATAAATAAATAATCATGATAACAAATAAATAATAAATAATAATAACAAATAATAACATCATAGTTCAAAAGTTGATTAAGAAATTTGATTCAAAAAACTGTTTCGTGGAGCAAAAAATACGGAAATGCGGTCTTTATGGGAGAACAAATGAAGTCTACAAAATGGTGACGAGATTTGGAATTGGAGAGCCCTCTTCTCATTTGGAGTTCGTAAAGGAAATTGATGTGTCCAAAAATGACGTAAGAAATCAAAAAAAGGGCTAAATACTCAGTCAACCAAGAAAAGTAGCAAATTATTAGGTTGGTGCAGATGGAACTTTCGTTGGAACCATAAACAATATTTATGATAAAAATCCTGATACAGAACCTCAATCCAAAAGATATTCGCCATCATTATCAATGACTCTTTGCCATCTTCCACGCAGAGAATGGATGCCCTTTTTATCTGAAAATATAACTGAGATCGCCAACCTCCGAATCACCCAGGACTGCACTGATTAGGAATGAATCTTCCTTGATATCAGATTGTGAATATTTGCAATTTCCGGCGCTCCTCATCTCGCCGAGCAATTGCATGGTCATCACTCTGGGCCCTCACCTTTGTTGCCATCTTCAGTCCGTTTGGCCTCGGCCCACGAAAAGAAGCAGTCTTGGTCAGATATATCGATCCCTCCAAACGAGCCATTCTTCGATTGTTCCCTACAACGACTTTCCGAAATGAGATGAGTATTCGCTACCAATCATCACCAAGAAAACCATGCAAAAATAACCCAGAAATCTCTGGATAACTTCTCGATCCCTGACCGGCGGAATTAAAGAACATTGAATGAAGTTTTGCGAAGTCTGGGGAACACACATGAAAATACCCACATTTTTGTTCAACCTCCGCGTTTTTTTCATTCACCAATTTCAGACGAACTGGCGGTTTTCTTTTTCCTGAAAGGCCACTTTTTTATTCGAAGTTCTATTCGACGGCTTAATGAGTCAATCGCTTTTCTAAACAATTTCAGAGCTCTCAAAAGCTCTTTTTAAAAAACAATTGTTTATCGGATCGTCCCTCCATTCGTTCTTCCCATTTCCCCGAATTCAAAACTAATCCAACAATTCAGCAGAATGGGTGTGATGGTCGTCGGTCTTAAGAAGAAGTGTAGGTTTCAAAGTAATTTCTATATAGAAATGTAGAAGTAAGCTATGTAGCTATGTAGTAAGCTATGTAGCCTAGCTCAGGCTCAAAATAGGCAGGCGACTATAAGCAGGCAACTGAAGTCGCAGCTCTTAGGCAAATTACAAATAAGGTTGGTGCAAAAGTCTTTGCAACCTTTTTTATCTTTCCTTCTCGAACTCTCTAGGTTATCCTCCGACCAGCTGATCAGGGCTTTTGTTTACTTCAACACCTGATTATTGAACTCTTAGTTTATTGAATTCTTTTAACCAGGGGAAAAAGCACACTATCGTTCGCTTTGCCCGCTGGCTGGTTCGGAGACCCGTGGAAGTCTGGAGATCGTAGGATCCAAACATACATATAAGTTGTACGTAGCAGCAACCATATCAAATTTAGATCCACTCGAGATCTGTTGTATTCGGACAAACGTCCCGGCGATCAAATGGGTCACATTCGACCGAGAGCCGAATGAGGCTCCGGAAAGGTCCACAACATTTTCTCCCAAGATGGACCGGTCAGTGAAATTAATCTTGACATGCTCATTTTGACATCAGTTAAATCAAGGACCCGGCGCGAGGATGAAAGCCAGAGTTCGCCAAACACTGAAGGATAATCCCCAAAACTCGGTTTTTGTGAAGGTTGGGAGAGAATCTATCTAGATCAGACTCAAACCATTTAGCATCATTTCGAAGTGGGTGCCGGAGAAAATCAGTTCCGAGCTTCCGGATTCAAGTGGGTTGACACGACAGAGATAAACTAGTAGAAATGCGTTCCGAGCGCGTTCCCCGTTCTTGGCCCACTGGCAACATTTAGATATCAAATCGAATCGCACAAACACGGCGAGCACAGCGTCGATTCGGAATACTTCAAGAATGGCGACTTCTAAAGAAAGTGATTGATGATCTTGCTCAGAATAATAAAGTTCCCATTCAAACCCACACGGGTTTCTCTCTTTTGTGATTTCCATCAAAACTTTGCTCTATTTAGAGTTGTTCCTAATCTTTAGGCACTTGAGCTAATCTGCAAAATGTTAACAAAGTGATCGCCTCTCGATCCAACCATGGGACGCCGAGATTTCGATCTATGCCGTTATTCTAGTTAATTTGGACTAATAGGGACTGCTTGGATGAAAAGAGATCTTAAAAGTTAAAATCAATTAGTCAGGTTTGTCTGTGAATGGAACATAGTTGTTGAGAGAGTATAATGTACAATATCACTAATATGTACATACCTAAATGATTTCGTCGAACCAATTTCGTCTGAAAATGGGCTTTCATTCGCTTTTGACTATAAAGATATATATGTCGTAGCCGATGAAGGATTTCAGCCGAAAAAGTCTCAGACTTCTTCGGCTAGCCGATTAAGTCTCAAAAATGAAATCTTGAGTTATGTATTGACTCAAGTCAACACCACAAACTCAAGCTCTCTAAAAGGCGCTTAAAAGCTAAAAACGCATTCTAAAGAGTGTGCATTTTATCATACTAAAACTATAAAAGGCTATAAAAGGCCGCTTTTCGTCATTCGTCAAAGACACGGATTTAGTCGACCCTCAATCCGTTTCCGATGGAGAATTCAAGTTTTTGATGGTCTACCAGGATCATTTCACAAAGTTCGTCGTTTTGTGGGCAAAGGATAACTCAAGATTTCATTTTTGAGACTTCTTCGGCTGAAATCCTTCATCGGCTAGGACCTATACAGCTCATTATATCTACAATACATACATACATTATCTACTTGTTTCACCATTGAGATTAAAAAGAGACCAAAATCTCCGCCTATAGAACTAACAGTGAGAACAAAAAGAGAGAACAAAAATCAAAGGCAAATCGACGAGTTGAGGGACGAGAAGAGCGACCTTCACGAAGAATTGTAAGTTTCCACATGCTGAGGTTCATTGATGTTCAACACGTTTATCTAATAGTCTATTCAGGAGCGACGAGAGAGCAAAATACTTGCAGCTTCAGGCGGAATTCTGGGTTTTTGGGAGGACTTTTTATATGAGATTTTGAAGAAACAACTCAGAAATAAAGCAAAAGATAATGTACAGTTGTGTGTTTTCAGATGATTGAATAAAATTGAATTTATTGGTATTTGTCCGAAGAAAAGAACACAAGACATCTATCAGAATTAAGAGCTCCTTTTGCAGATAAAACGAGGCTGAGAGGGATGAGAATATGCCACCCATTTCCCCTCGTAGCGATCAAGCTGAAATGTGTTCATTTCTGATGGAAATCATTTGGTGAAACACTCTGCGTTATTTCACAAAAAGAAATTTCCTCGGATTGATCGAAAAATTTTGTGCATTGGGAATTGGAATAAATATTAATGATTTCAAGTCGAAAATCTCACAAAAGCGTGGGTGTCCGAATTCGAGCGTCTTTCATTCCAATTCGTGAAATTCACCGAACTTCCATCCGTCCATTCAAAAGCATCTCCTTTGTTTGGATTTCTCTGAATAAAAAAATTCTTATGTTTAGAGATTGATATTTTGATCCGATTTTCCTTTTTCCCCTTGAAATTCTTCTAGTTACCCAATTGAAACCATTATTTCAATCAAGGAACTATTAGCCAAACGAATCATTTTTTTCACAGAGCCTTCCGGAAATGGCTGAAAGATTCATTAGTTTCTATATATTGATTTATGTCTTTCAATAAGAAAAATTCAACCTTCAGTCCGATCCAGAACACATAATTCGAATTAACAGCTTTCGCTGAAATAAATCTAAGTTGTTTTGGCTTATAAAGCATAAATTTCTACGAAAATCATGAATCTTCCAAATTGAATCATCTCGATTTCTTACCAAGTTTCTCAACAAAATCGTTCTCTTCCTGACTGTGAATTGAGACTAAATGGCTCTTTCGACTCGCACAATATGCCTCGGCTTGAGCAAATCTCATATCTTGATCGATAACCTGAAGATGAAGATAATCCTGGTTCACAAGATCCACCAAACCTTGTACCAAGAAGCGGTTTTTGCCAAATACGACCATCCATCCCGATACAGATCCAAGAAATTCATGGTTCGATTTCTGAATTTCTTCGGAAAACATTAGTCCAGATCCTTTAGACAAATACTCAATCTATTTCCTTAAAAAAACGCATAAATCTGCCCGCAACTTGATGATTTCCGTCGTTCTATTTTCCCCTTCAAATTCTCTAGAGAGGAATTGATTGGATTGAGTGAAATGGGTGTTTTGGGAGTCAAAAAAAAATGTTTTCTCAAGTCGCAGTCCACAAGAGATACCAAATAGACTCACATTTGGGTTTCCGGGTCAGAGTTCTTGCTCTGCAATGCGTTGATTTTCCCTTCGAGCTCTCCAATCCTGGCTTTCCCGTCTCTCACTTCCGTATTTTGAGTTCTTCTGAAAAAAGTTCGGATGTTTATTATAAGTGAGCTTGTCAAAAAGAAAACTACAAAATTAGTACAATTGTGCTTCGAGATCGTCGTTCTTCCTTTTCATCTCGGCGATTCTCCCCATTAAATTCGCCTCGATTTGAGCCATTTTTGCTGTCGATCGACTCATCTCGACGTCTTTGTCCTTCGTTTCGTTCCGCTCTCTTGCGCTGAATACGCAAATTACTCACTACTCAAAATCCAAAAAAGGTGAGCTTGAGTTCTTCAAGATTTTTGATTTCCCCCACATTTCCCTCTCGAGTCCGCTGATTTTTCCTCGGGCCTCGACGAGTTTTTGTTGGGTTTGATTCCTGAAACGTCTTGTCATTGAGACGCTCAAGCCTATTTCTTGTTTATACTATCAATTTCGCTCTTCTCCCAAAAAACCAACAGATTTCTTTGACAAGATCCCAAGAGAACGGTTTCCGGACAATCCTTTTTACAGCTGAAATCTAAGATCATCGAAAAATCTATTTCTGACCAACTTCAAAGTACGACGATCACGAGACAGAATCTCACCTCGATCATTCGGAGGTCTGAATGGTTGACAACATAGCTATTTGAAGGCAAAAGAATACGTGAATTGATCCACTTGACCGCTTTGTTGAATGGACGATGAAATTTGATGGAAAAGGAGGAGAATCGTGATGAATAGACGGACGGCGATTACACCCATTCCGCTGAATTGGTTGATTAGTTCTGAGGGAAATGTGAAGAACAAATGAGGTGACGATGCGATAAACAATTGTTTTGAGCTTTTGAGAGCTCTGAAATTGTTTAGGAAAGCGATTGACTCATTAAGCCGTTGAAAGAATCGCTTCGAACAGAACTTCGGGCAAAAAAAGTAGCATTTCGGGAAAAAGAAAGCCGTCACTTCGTGTGAAGTTGGTGAGTGAGAAAACGCGGAGTTATGAGGAGACTACTTTCGGGGAAGGTCAACTGAACCGACCGTTCCCATCAAATTGCCACAATTGTTCCTCAATCCCCGCGGGGGAAGCTATCTATCTCTTCCCGGCGTAAACAATTTTTCCTAGAGCCAATTTTTCGTAAACAATTTTTCCTGAAATTCAAAGCTCCTCGAGATGTGATCATTGTTGATTGTTGTTTTGTTTGTTGTTTTTAAATTTGTTTTTGTTTTAAAGCAGAACATTTTGATAAAAAAGCACAACTAAACAAAACTTCTCTTATACGGAGACTGCTCAGGGCATTAAAATCTATAAAAAGAAAAAAAGACAATCAGCTACCAGACTGGAACCAGAGATCCCCACTTTGCCTCCTGGAACCAGCATCATGATCAGGAAATTTATCGAGGGCACTGAGACTGAGAAGCAATGAGTGGGAAATTTGGAGAGATTTTGAACTTGAGTGATGTTAGTTCGGATGAGGAGTAGCTTTCTCAGATCAAATTTCTCAGATCGAACTCGAGACAAAGAAAAAAAATCACAAAAATCTTGAGACACCGAGGCATCAGGATGATGAGGTTGGTTGTAGAATCTCTGGAATCTTCCTTTCCCTCCTCGATGTCTTCAGAGCATCTCTTCTTGTTCCAAATCTCCAGAAATGCCCGAAATGACTGAAGAATTGCCTGAAAAAAGTGAGCCTTCAGAGCCTGAGCCTGAGCCTAAGCCAGCCTAAGCCTAAGCCTAAGCCTAAGCCTAAGCCTAAGCCATAGAAGAACCGGCCATCTCGTTGAAGAAAATCGCCCAACTCGAAGCCGATTTGTGGGTTTTTCACCAAATCTTTGCTGGTATCAAAAACAGTCTTTAATTTAATTTTGAATTTTCTCGAAGAACAAGTGAAAATCAAAGGAAAAGGCTACTAAATAAGCAGAATTGATAAGAAAATCAAACAAGAAATTTGTTGCCAGGCAAAATACGGATTTCTTACCAAATAAAGAGAAGGGAGGGGAATGCCCGATTCGTTTAATCATCGCTCGTCAACCAAAAACAATCAATATATATCAATATTCATTTCAGCGAAAACCGAAAACGAAAACTGCGACAAAATAACAATGATTTGGGGCAAGAAATAGAATGAGAACACCCGGATTTTCTCAATAATTTACCAATATTCAGATTACCCTGTCGACGAAGAAATGATTGCATCCAACCGTTGCTTCTTTTGAAATCGAGACCAGCCTCAGAAGCGGTTCATCGCTTCGGTATAGGTTGGATGCAACTCAACACAGCCAAATACCCAATGGATCTGCAATCTGAAATGTGCCTTTCAAGTTTGAGGGAGATCTTCTGATAAGACTTTTCGAGTTTCTGGTAATCACGATTCATCACTAGAAGACACGGAATGAAGAACGAATCCTTCTGGATTCTCTGATCACTTTTTATCAAAACACGGAATTCTTTTTCTTGACATCCATTTCCTCTCACTTTATTGTGCTTAACAAAATCATTGAGAAGAAGTTGTCCGAAGCTCTAGGTGGAGTTGTTTGTAACGATGAGGTTTCTACCGATTCTTCTACTGGTTTGAATTCAATGAAATCTGTTCAATGAAATCTGCAACGAATGTCTTAATGAAAAGGGGCCTAGACTCGAATTTGTTTAAGGCTCATCAAATGTTGATGGAACTTCGACAAGAATCAAGAAAATGTCACCAAAGCGTTCACGGAATTTGCTTGAAAAATGAAAAATCAAGACCTTTATAATAGAGATCAACGAGAATCGACTTTAGGTTCTATCAAAGAACTATCAGTCAAACGAATTACTTTTCACAAAGAGTCTGCTATTTCGAAAATGACTGAAAAAGGCAATACTGTGGGGAAGAGCCACTAATAAAAGTTCTCTAATCCTGGTAGTCTGAATTTCGGTAAATTATTGAGAAAATCCGAGTGTTCTCATTCTATTTCTTGCCCCAAATCATTGTTATTTTGTCGCAGTTTTCGTTTTCAGTTTTCGCGGAAATGAATATTGATTGTTTTTGGTTGACGAACGATGACTAAACGAATCGGGCATTCCCCTCCTTTCTCTTTATTTGGTAAGAAATCCGTATTTTGCCTGGCAACAAATCTCTTGTTTGATTTCCTCATCAATTCTGCTTATTTAGTATCCTTTTCCTTTAATTTTCACTTGTTCTTCGAGAAAACTCAAAATGAAATTAAAGACTTTTTTTGATACCAGCAAAGATTTGGCGAAAAAGCCACAAATCGGCTTCGAGCTGGGCGATTTTCTTCAAGGAGGTGGCCGGTTCTTCTATTCTTTTGATTTTTTTTTTTTTAATTCTTCAGTCATTTCGGCCATTTCAGTTTTCGGCCAATGGAGAATATCGCAGTTTCCGTTTGAGAGAAGCTTTGTTTAGCTATGCTTTTTACAAAAATGCTCTGCTTTAAAACAAAACAACTTAAAAAACATAGAACAACCAAAACAACAATCAACAATGATCACACCTAAAGGAGCTTTGAATTTTGAAGTTGGAGAAGTCAAAAAATTGTTTACGCCGGGGAGAGATAGATAGCTTCACCCGCGGGGATTGAGGAACAATTGTGGAACGGTCGGCTCAGTTGACCTTCCCCGAAAGTAGTCTCCTGATAACTCCGCGTTTTCTCACTCACCAACCAACTTCACGCAAACTGACGGCTTTCTTTTCCCTCAAATGCTACTTTTTTTTGCACGAAGTTCTATTCGAAGTGATCCTTTCAACGGCTTAATGAGTCAATCGCTTTCCTAAACAATTTCAGAGCTCTCAAAAGCTCTTTTCCGTAAAAAAACAATTGTGTATCGGATCGTCCCTCCATTCGTTCTTCCCATTTCCCCGAACTCAAAACGAATCAACCAATTCAGCGGAATGGGTGTAATGGCCGTCCGTCTATTCATCACGATTCTCCTCCTTTTCCATCAAATTTCATCGTCCATTCAACAAAGCGGTCAAGTGGATCAATTCACGTATTCTTTTCCCTTCAAATAGCTATGTTGTCAACCATTCAGACCTCCGAATGATCGAGGTGAGATTCTGTCTCGTGATCGTCGTACTTTGAAGTTGGTCAGAAATAGATTTTTCGATGATCTTAGATTTCAGCTGTAAAAAGGATTGTCCGGAAACCGTTCTCTTGGGATCTTGTCAAAGAAATCTGTTGGTTTTTTGGGAGAAGAGCGAAATCGATAGAATAAACAATAAATAGGCTTGAGTGTCTGACTTTTCAGGAATCAAACCCAACAAAAACTCGTCGAGGCCCGAGGAAAAATCAGCGGACTCGAGAGGGAAATGTGGGGAAATCGAAAATCTTGAAGAATTCAAGCTCATCTTTTTTGGATTTTGAGTAGTGAGTAATTTGCGTATTCAGCGCAAGAGAGCGGAACGAAACGAAGGACAAAGACGTCGAGATGAGTCGATCGACAGCAAAAATGGCTCAAATCGAGGCGAATTTAATGGGGAGAATCGCCGAGACGAAAAGGAAGAACGACGATCTCCAAGCACAATTGTACTAATTTTGTAATTTTCTTTTTGACAAGCTCAATATATAGTAAAAATCCGAACTTTTTTCAGAAGAACTCAAAATACGGAAGCAAGAGACGTAAAAGCTAAGATTGGAGAGCTCGAAGGGAAAATCAACGCATTGCAGAGCAAGAACTCTGACCCGGAAACCCAAATGTGAGTCTATTTGGTATCTCTTGTGGACTGCGACTTGAGAAAACATTTTTTTTTGACTCCCAAAACACCCATTTCACTCAATCCAATCAATTCCTCTCTAGAGAATTTGAAGGGGAAAATAGAACGACGGAAATCATCAAGTTGCGGGCAGATTTATGCGTTTTTTTTAAGGAAATAGATTGAGTATTTGTCTAAAGGATCTGGACTAATGTTTTCCGAAGAAATTCAGAAATCAAACCATAAGTTTCTTGGATCTATATCGGGATGGATGGTCGTATTTGGCCGAAACCGCTTCTTGGTACAAGGTTTGCTCGATGTTGTGAACCGGGATTATCTTGATCTCAAGGCTTTCGATCAAAGAATGCCATTTGATGAAGCCGAGGCATATTGTGCGAGTCGAAAGATCGATTTAGTCTCAATTCACAGTCAGGAAGAGAACGATTTTGTTCAGAAACTCGGTAAGAAATCGAAATAATTCAATTCTGAAAATTCATGATTTTCGTAGAAATTTATGCTTTATAAGCCAGAACAACCTATATTTATTTCAGCGAAAAATGTTAATTCGGATTCTGTGTTCTGGATCGGACTGAAGGTTGAGTTTTTCTTATTGAAAGACATAAATAAATATATAGAAACTAATGATTCTTTCAGCCATTTCCGGAAGGCTCTTTGTAAAAAGAGATTCGTTTGACTGATAGTTCTTTGAGAGAAATAATGGTTTCAATTGGGAAACTAGAAAAGTTTTAAAATGAAAAAAAATCGAAATATCAATGTCTAAACATAAAAATTTCTTTATTCAGAGAAATCCGAACAAAGAAAATGCTTTTGAATGGACGGATGGAAGTTCGGTGGATTTCATGAATTGGGGGGTTGGACACCCAAATTCGGACCCCCCCGCTTTGGTGAGATTTTCGACGTGAAATCATCAATATTTATTCCAATTTCCAATGCATAATTAAACTTGAGCAAAACATTTTGATCAATCTTAGGAGTTTTTGTCAAATAATGCAGAGTGTTTCACGAAAGGATTTCCATCAGAAATGAACTATTTCAGCTTTGGAGCCTCGAGGGGAAATGGGTGGCATATTCTCATCGTTCTCAGTCTCGTTTTATCTGCAAAAGGGGCTCTCAATTCTGAAAAATGCTTTTTTTTGTCTTTTCTGTGGACAAATACCAATAAATCGCATCTTATTCAATCTTTTGAAAACACACAACTGCACATTATCTTTTTCTTTATTTCTGAATTGTTTGTTCAAAATCTCATATAAAAAGTTTTTCAAAAGACCCAGAATTCCGCCCGAAGCTGCAAGTATTTTGCTCTCTCGTCGCTCCTGAATAGATAAACGTGTTGAACATCAATTGACATCAGCATGAGGAAACTGACGATTCTTCGTGAAGGTCGCTCTTCTCGTCCCTCAACTCGTCGATTTGTCTTTGATTTTTGTTCTCTCTTTTTGTTCTCACCGTTAGTTCTATGGTCGACCATTTTGCAGGAAAACTTGTTGAAAGAGTATAATGTAGTGATATGTACATAGCTCAATGATCTCCTCAAACAAATTTCGTCTGAAAATGGGATTTGACAATCGGTTTTTGACTATAAAGACATATACAGCTCATTATATCTACAATACATACATACATTATCTACTTGCTTGGTCGTTAAGATTACCCAAAAAGAGACCAAAATCTCAGCCTACAGAACCAACAGTGAGTCGAAAAAAAGCATAAATTGAATTTTCGAGAACTCCAGGAACAAAAATCAGAGAGAAATCAAGGGACGCATTGAGGGACGAGAAGAGCGACCTTCACGAAGAATTGTCAGTTTCCTCATGCTGATGTCCATTGATGTGAGACACATTTATCTAACAGTCTATTCAGGAGCGACGAGAGAGCAAAATACTTGCAGCTTCAGGCGGAATTCTGGGTTTTTGGGAAAACTCTTTATATGAGATTTTGAAGAAACAATTCAGAAATAAAGAAAAAGATAATGTGCAGTTGTGTGTTTTCAGAAGATTGAATAAAATGCGATTTATTGGTATTTGTTCACAGAAAAGAACACAAAGCATTTATCAGAACTGGGAGCTCCTTTTGCAGATAAAGAAAAGTGATAGATAGGACGATAGGAGAAAGATCTCCCATCGTGGCTCCCAAGCTGAAATGTGTTCATTTCTGATGGCAATCCTTTGATAAAACACTTTATTTTTAAATAGTCGATAGAAAACAAAGATAAAAAGAAAAATTAGAAATGTAATTCTTAGCTAATTAATGGTAATCTCTAATAGTAGCACACCCCGCCGAGCCGAGTTGATGACTATTTCACGGTTTCGAAATTTTCGCAGAAGCTCAACACTCTAATCCCCCACAAGATCTCATTGTCAGCTACATTTTCCGATCCCACATCAATAGGTTTTGATAAGGGGCAATTTAGGCAACGCTCAGGGCAACTATTAGAAAGAATACGGTAAGTGAAATAAATGGAAAGAAACAATTCATCGAAAACGGAACATCAAAATTGAACGATGGCAGACAAATTATAGGTTTTTAACAATGCTTACAATTTTTTTTCTTGTGGTTTCTGCTTTCAAATATGAGTTTTCCTTTAAAATGAGTATTCTGTGATTTTTCACACTCATTTCTATGTGTAGAGAAAGGCTTAGAAAGTCGAAAAGTCACTTGAAGTGGCCTATAGTCTTTCCAAAGAAAAAGGTGGAGTAGTTCAATAAGGATTTAGACACAAACCCTAGAAATATTTGCTGGGCTTTATAAGCAGCGCATTTTTTTGACAAGCATAGGCTATTACAGCTCAAATTTACAGCGAAATGATAGAAATTCACATTTTTGCCTACATTCTCTTCATATTATCTCCCAGGTGCTGTTTTGAAAAAATTGTTGTATCTCACAGTGGGTTTCTCCCAAGTAAAACATTTTCAAAAGTTAAATTTGAGAAAAAGTTACTCTCTTACTGTCTCTCAATGAACATTAGCTTTCTTTAACACTAATTTTTGGCAGTGAACATGAGTCACTAAAAAGGCATCCAGAAGCTTGTGTTAAGACACCTTTATAGCAAATCCTGTTGGGAACTTTTAACTTCTAATTTCTAACTCAACTTCTAAGCTAAGAACTTTTAACTTTAGTGTTTTTGCCGGTAACCTTGGGAACTTTGTCAGTGATGGACTCGTTCCCGATATTATTCCCAATCCACCACCAAATCCACTTACTGTCACGTATCAAGGAGGAGTGCAGGTCTGTTTTTTAAAGTTTATCATTCTTTAGCTGAGTTGTCGTGAAGTGGGAACTTAAAGAAGAATCAAATCTTTATTTTAGATGAATTTCGGAGACGAACTCACTCAACAACAAGTTTTCTACCAACCATTTGTCAGCTGGGCATCTGAGCCAAATGCCTTGTATACTCTCATTTTCACAGGTGAGAAAGAAAGAAAGAAAGTAAGTAAGTAAGTAAGAAAGGAGTCTAAAAACTGGTTGTAAAGAGCCGAGTATTTCCTTCTCTTACTCATCTTCTTTGTATTTCCTCTTTCTCTTCTCTGGCAAGAAGATACCGGATAGCTCAGTGGTTAGAGAATTTGCCCGAAGGATTCAATTCAAAATTCAAAAAGGTTGAGGGTTCAATCCCCTCTGAATCTTTTCAATCTATTCAATCCTTTTCTTTGTCATTCCTTACTTTAGTTTATTACTCCGGTATTAACCATATTTCAATCGATTGAATCCGGATGGCCTTAGATCCTTAGATTAGCTTAGACCTTAGACTGCTTTAGATCCGGATGGCCCATCAAGAGCCAACCCAACCTCCCGCGAGTTTGTTCACTGGATGGTAGTGAACATTCCCAATTCAAATGTGTCACAAGGAGACGAAGTGGTTGGATATTTGCCATCTGGACCGGCACGTGGCACTGGTGAGATGATGAAAAGCTGGATCCACTTTTTTTGGCCATAAATGTGGCTTATTTCTTACCACTATTGTCAGTTTCCTTTCAACTTTAACTTTTTAGGACTTCACCGTTACACTTATCTTCTCTACAAACAAAATGGAAGAATCAATCCTGGCACCAAGGTTGACACAAATGCTTAAAAAGCTTGCTGCAGTACTTTCCAACTTTAAATTTCATGAATTCATTACTAAATTGATCGATTTGTTTAAGGCCTGCTTGTTTTACAGATCCAAAGCACTACACTCGCCGGTCGAAGACCGTTTCACTCCAACATTTACGCTCAACAAAATCGAATGACTCTGGTGGCCGGGAATTTCTATCAGGTATTAGCTTCAAAGCTAATATTGCAATCAATCTTTTAGTGTCAATGGCATCAAGGAGATTTGGGACCACCATCAAAATGATCAACCATGAACATTTTTGTCCTATGAAAATAAACCTTTTTGATTAGATCAAATTACCCATTTTAAGCCACTGAAAGTACAAAAGTCAAATTTGGATTAAAAAGTATTAAAAAAACTTGTTATACAGCATAAATGCAATAAAATATGTTTAGACTTGTTTCCAAAATCAAACTTACTCAAGTGTGACGCTATCACCGAGAGCAAAAGGGGAACACGGGAAAGCAGAAGAGAGAGCAAACATGAACATTTCAGATAAGATGCTTTCAATATTGATTTCAGGCCAAAATTTCACTTCTTTACGGAATTGCTGTATTTCTAGCGACAATGCGAATTCTTTATTGCTAACTTATTGGCTTCAAATCAAAATTCGATTGGAAAAAGGCTTAAAAGTTAGGAATTGATTGGACAACTTATAAAATTAGCAAGAATCTTGCAATCATTTGCAACCAGCTATGGATTTAAAACTGACGCAGATGTTAATTTTTCAAAAAGTTCGACGGAAATTGCGGCACTTCTGGAAAAGGAGAAAAAGTTGGTTTTCTTGCGTTTCAAAAACACTTTCAAAAAGTTCCAAAATATTCCAAAAACGATTGTCGGCTTTTTAGGTAAAAAGGATCGTTTACTGCTTTATGAATTACTCGTCTTGATTGCCGTTTTCGTGCTGTTTATCCAAATGAAATATAGGAATCGCTTTGATGATCGACATCGGATCACTGAGGTTTGCTTAGGTCAATTGTAATCTCTACATATTTCTTCATTCAGATAAACCTACCCGATCATGGACAAAAGAGCAATAGCGCTGCTAAAATACCCATCTTTGAAGGTTTCCTAGTCTTTTCAATTTCACTTTCAACTTGCCTTTTAGGCCCCAAAAATGCTCGTCAAGAGGCGGTTGTAAAAGCATTTCAGCACGCGTGGGCAGGCTACAAAAAGTGGGTAGAATGATTGTACTACCTCCACATTGTTAGCTCTTTACAGTAAAGCTTGCATTCAATTCAAGATCCAATGCAGCATCCAATTCAAGATCCAATACAGGTTCTAATAGCTAAAAATTCCCACCTAGATATGCTTGGGGTCAAGATGAGCTCCGACCAATCTCGAAAAGTTACTCCACTTGGATCGGTGCTGGATTGACGCTCGTTGACGCATTAGACACAGCAATTATCATGGGACTTGATCAAGGTTTCACTAAAATGAAAATTGATAGAGTTTCTCAAATTTTAGAAGTACGGGATGGAGCAGAATGGATTGAGAACTCGCTAACATTTGATAAAGATCATTCGACGAATCTCTTCGAGACGACAATTCGTTTTCTGGGTGGCCTTCTTTCGAGTTATCACCTTACTGGGAATCAGGTTTAGCTTGATTCTGTTTTATCTTACTTATCCAATTCAAATTAAGATCAGACATCAAAATCAAGATCAAATAGTTTAGATTTTTGCTAGAAAAGCTGAAGATCTTGGAAGACGACTGTTGAAGACATTCACTGGCTCAAAGTCGCCGATTCCTTGGAGCAATGTGAATTTGAGAAGCGGGTAGGTTGAGCTAAAGAGCTTTTGACAATTTTGGAATTGTTTCATGAAGATTCCCAAGTCTTTTTCTTCTTTTATTTCATAATTTCTTTATATTTCTCTTTACCGTTTATCTCCGAATCCGGTCAGTCTTCTATTTTTTTGCATTCAAGAAAATTTGCAAGAAAGTAACCAACATTTAGCTTTCTTTATAAAATTTATTATAACATGTTAACGGCAAAATTTATCAACCACAATCTGTAACAAAATAACCCCAAGAAAGAAAACAAGAAAGGAACAAATCACATAAATTGTAAGTTGCAAAATTACCCTTCATCACTACTTAATTCGTAGTTGTTTTCAAGTAAAGCCAAATCATCTAGAACACCTTCAAACGCCTGCAAGCTCGAAATCGAATCGCTTTCTCTCTCATAACCATTGTTTTTATCCTCATCAGAGTCGAATTCATACCAGAATTTTGCTAGTTTTCTTTCCAATTGCGCAATATCCAGTATCGCAATATCGCAAAATGACCATTTTTAACAGCTTCCCCATTGCGAAAACAAAGAATTTGATCATCTTCGCTGCCATCCTATGCATTCGATATTCCACAATTTTTAAAAGATTTCTCGATTAGCTTGTTTGGCAGGCTTTCTCAAGTGTTTATAATTCATTGAAGAAACCTGATTTTTGGTGGTTGAGTGTTTCCGCCTTTCGTAAAAGTCCTTGTTCCATTTGATAGCCAGTCAGTGTAAAGCTCACCAAATTTCTTTTTGAAGAGTTAACACATCAGAAAAAAACTACACTTTTGGGCTTACTTTTCTGATCTCGGATACGGTAATTCTAGAGCAAAATGGAAAACAAGTGATACTTCGAAAAAAGCCTATATTCGAGGCGATCTTTTATTCGAGATCGGTCTTCTATTCAAAGAAATTATTAGATAATATATAAGAATTTCTTTTGTCTTTTATCCTATAGATTATCTTATAAAGATTCTAGTCTCGCTTTTCCCTTTAGCACCACCTCAAGTGTATATGACGAAGCAGTGATGAGTCTTGCAGCCGTCGGTTCGCTACAACTTGAGTTTCGCGAGTTGAGCCGAATAACCGGTGACAAAAGATTTGAGGTTAGTCGCATTTTTGTTGAATCATGCAATGTAATTTGTTGAAGTGCCCAAAGATCGTATTACTCGACCTTTTTGACTTTCAGAAAGCCGCTTTCCTAGCCAGCCAGCAGATTCACGAGAATGGATGCAACGGAGGGCTATGTCTGCAATTCATCGATGTGCACACGGCTCAGTTTAGAGGTTTTCGTTAATTTGTCAGCGATTAAAAAGTTTTAGATAAGGGATTGATCTCATTTGGTGGTCGGTCAGACAGTTTCTACGAGTATTTACTCAAACAGTGGATCCAGACAGGGAAAAGGCTAGATTGGTGGGTAGAAGCGGTAAACTATTCCAATAAAGAATATAAAAGTTTTAGGCTAATTTCTGACTACGAAGCTGCAATGTCTTCGATGGAGGAGAAATTGCTGCGTTTGAGTGAACCAAGCAAAATCCCCTTCGTTGGAGAACTTCACCCGCTCGGGAAATTCTTCTTCGGCTCATTTTTCTCCACAAGAATGGTGAGTATAAGAATTTTCAAGAATTAGAAACCTTTCCAGGATCACCTCACTTGTTTTCTACCTGGGACACTTGCACTTGGCGTTGCACATGGAATGCCTAGCAGACATCTCACCATTGCTCAAGTCTACTATTCAATTATTCTCCAACTCGTGATATTTAGGGATTGGCTGAGGGTTGTCATGCAATGTATCAAACGAAAACTGGTTTGGCGCCTGAGGCCATCTATTTCAATATGGATCCGAAGAAGATGGATGACTTCTCTTGTGAGGTTAGACTACAAGTTTTTCATCTTCCCAACTTCAAAGCAGGGCAGAAACCAGCTTTGAGACTTGAGAGTCTGATTTGACCCGAGGGCAACCGGGAGAAAAAGGGACGGCCGAAGTGAATGTGACCGTTTGGGATGAGTCATTCAATAGATCTCATGACGAATATTGATGACCAAAAAAATTAGCTGTCCAAAGAAACTACAAGAGAAATAGGGGACAGGAAGAAAAATTATTTTTTGAGGTCTCGCAATGAAAACGAACGCTGTACCACTGACTGCTGTACCACTGAATTCGGTCGCAAGGAGGCCGCTAAGACCCAAATAATCATATTTTCAGAGTCCTAACAGAACTTTAAAGGCTTATAGCTACTGGCAAATTGTCATTTAGCAAAAACGGAATACGTATTCGGAATCAGCATAAAGTTCTGCGTCAAATGGTATAGGTCGCATAGCATTTGGTCGGATCAGCCAGTTGTCTTTCCTTTGTGAGTACTGTGAGTCCAGGCCAACCGAGACTGGGTCCAAGCCAGGTCTTATAGACTTACACTACATACAGGGTGCGTCATAGTTACTCGGACAAATAAAATTAGGCATATAAACCACGAAAGAGTTTCTATGCAGGGTTTACGTAGGGTGTGGTTTTCTATGCAAATGCAAACATACATTTTAGTTTAAATAAATATTTATTTAAATATAAAGAACAAGTGTTTTAAAAATTCCTTAATGTTTCCTTCTTTAGCTTTGATAAAAGCTTTAAGACGTTCAGGCTAAACCTCGACTGCAACCAAAATGTGGCTTTGTGGGATTTCGTTTCATGCTCAGATCAAGGCTTTCTTTAACCTTTTCAAACTGATGTGAATTTGAGAGCAGACCTTCTTCTAAAATTGCCCAAATGCAGAAGTCCATTATATTGAGATCTGCGGAGTTGAGCGGACATTCATTTGCCGTAAACAAACTCGGGAAGTTGACCTCGCACCAGTCCTATACTCTTTAGGCTGTGTCTGTGGGCACACCATCTTGCATAAGAGTCCAAGGTTGTCCGCCGAACGTTTTATTTGAATTAAAACATTTAAAAGAATAGGATATGGAAAAGTAAAAAAAAAATGGTACAAAATGGCCGATTCTAAGTGCAACAACTTTGACCGGGTAATAATCTGTATCTGTTAGGTTCATACATATCTAGTTCTCTAAACTTCTGAACACTTATGATTTCAGCTTTGACAAATATCCTCTTTTTCAGCCATCCGACTCCCATTCTCCACTCCGTCCTGAGGCGATTGAGGCCTGGTTTTACATGTACCGTTTGACTGGGAACACAACCTATCAAAAGTGGGGCTGGGAGGTCTTTCAGGTTGAAAAAGTTTAAGTAAAAGCTTAATTAGTAAATCAAGGCAATGGAAAAGCACGCAAAATTGGACGTGGGATATGCAAGTGTGAGGAATGTGAAAAGTCTTCCAGTGGAACACAAGTAAGCTACATTCTGCTACAGTAGCCTTTACAGTAAGCTGAAGTAAGCTACAGTAAGCTGAAGTAAGCTACAGTAAACCTTTACATTACCATAGTATCCATTTTCTATTTTTTCAGTGATCTGATGGAATCATTTTTCTTGGCTGAAACATTGAAATATCTGTATCTATTGTTCGATGATGCGAGAGAACTCTTTCCATTGGACCAATGGGTGTTCAACACTGAAGCACATCCACTTCCAATACACTCAAGTTGATTATTTGATTATGATTTGGTTATGTATCTGAATTAAATTTCTTTTTTATCAAGTTTACGGTTATTCAAATAAAATCGTTACAAAGCAATCAAAAGCAATCTAACGAGAAGCCATGCATCATTGGCAGCTGCTCTCATTAAACGATTAGTTTGCTCACAAACGAACATTCCCAAGCCATACTACTGGCAGGCTAACCTGGAATGTTTCCTAGTTAGTCTAATTGTCAGCAAATCTAAGTACAGTTTTGAACTATCATAGCCTACTTGCTGCCGGATTGATATTGGTCTTTGTGTTGGGAAAACGTTTGGAGCCGGTCTAGACCTGGCGGCTGCTTGGAAACGAGATGGTTGTAAAGAAAACAATATTAGCTTAAAGGACAAAAACGGGAATAAGACTGGTAAATGTTCTTTAAGTGAGTATTATGCTTGAGCAAATCTGTAAAACCACTTCAATATTCGCTCCCACTACCGGTCCAAACATTGCCTTCGAGTCTCGCCACGTTGCTATCCCATCAATTGTTAGTCGATGCCAAAAAAAAAAAAAAAAAATGATAAATGAACAACTTCAAGGCCAGATCTACAAGAATAGTACAATAGAAAGCTAAAGTTTAATCAAAAACTCAGAATTTCATAATGGGAAACGGAACTTCCTCTGTTTTCAGCTTAGCCAAGATCAATTCAATCGTTAATAAAAGAAGAAACAACATCAACATTTTTCCCAATGAATTCAATCAAAACATTCTTTGGGAGCAAGCGGTAATGTTCAGGCAAAAACTCGATTCGAATAGCTCTCACCACTTTGTTTTCAATTTCGACTCCGGTCAATCGGTTTCCTCGTATTTTGTGCTACGCGTCGATGGACAATTGACGGTTGAATTGCTTCTTTCAGTGGGATCTTAGACATTTTTTGAAAGGTTTAGTCCAAATTGAGTAACTTTTTCACAATCGAATTTCCCTTGGAATTCTATTTTTGGAGAACTCAGTCAGAACAAGAAAGAGATGGGGCAATTCAGTTTTTAGCTCATTATTCTCTCATTTTCAATGAGAAAAACTGCAGTGATGGTATTCAAAGAATGGCTTTGTCAAAGAATGCATCCAAAGGAGACGGCGTTATTTGGAAAAATTTGAAGTGTTCTCCATCTAAAGCTTCAATTCGTAATCAAATTGTCTTTGAAGAATCACAAATCTCTATTGAAAAACAGCTTCGAATTCTTCGAAGTTCAAAAGTCTCTTCTAAGTTACAAGAGCCCAAAATTTTGATACAAAAGAGTGATTTTGGAGTTCGATAACCGCCCAATCGATTAAGCCAAAGAATTTGAGCCAGCAAAGGTTACGATCGAGATTTTTCTCAATAAAACGAGGTTTCAAAAGAAAAAGTCTTTGTAGAGAAATAAATGGAGATTTAAAGACACATAATAAAATCTCTTGCAACAGGGAAAACAATCTCTTGCAACACGAAAAATTCACCGATTTTTCCCGTACAAAGGTCGATTCAGGAGAGGAAAGAGACGTCTCTTAGAAAATATCTAAATACATGATTCCAGATATGTTCCAGAAGTGTAAAACCAAGCCTTAAGCATTTAACAAATAATTTGACTCATTTAGTTGCTGTCATCATACTCAGAAAGATGGACTTACTTCTTCGAATCTACATCGAGCACAAAATTGATCAAGATAAAAAGCAATAAATAACATAAACTCCATAAAGAAAACTCTGCGAGTATCGCTTTCCAAATTGAGCCTTTCCATCTAAACAACAAACATTGTGATGTGAAAAAATGAGTTGTTTTCAAGAGCTCAGACCAAACTGAGCCAAATCAACAAGTTAGAGTTGTTTTTCTAAGTAGAAAGTTGACGGCTTGAAACCTAGTTAGGCCAGTTTTCTGCTAATTAACTTTGACAGCGGCTTTAGACTATTGCTTTAGACTTTAGGCTTTAGACAATACATTTGAAATCTAAACAACCTAACTCTCAGCTAGAGCACTAGAGCATTTTGCTATTCGTAGTATTAGAACCAGACTTAAACTGAATTCTAGAATTCCCAATTTCCAACATTTTGACAGATTGCTTAAAGAAATCTGTAAAAAAGTGAAATGAATTGGTCTTAACCTGAAAAGAAGTCGAAAACGATTCAATGGAGACGCATCTGCGACAACCAAACCATAATTGACAGTCATTATCAAGAAATGTTTATAAAACTGTTGCAACACAAATTTCCCAAGCAAAGCAAAAGAGAAGGGAAGGGGTCGATAAGAAAAGCCGAAATTTCCTTTCTAAGGAAAAAAAGAAATTCTTTTTTTTTTCTTTTTTCTTTCGAAAGGAAATTTCGGCTTTTCTTATCGACCCCCTTCCCCTCTCTTTTGATTTGCTTGGAAAATTTGTGTTGCAAACAGTTTTATAAACAGACTAAAGCATAGAATAATACTATTGAAATAAAGCAATAGACAATGAATATTCGTTTTCTTTGTCGATTGCTACTTCTATTCTTCTTGCTCTGTCTGTTCACCGAGTCTAGAGAGAATCGAGTCGAGTCTAGCGGGTCGAGTCAAGTCTATTCGAAAAATGGTCAGTTTGTTTAAAACCCAAAGTATGCTAACACCTTTAAAATGAGTTTTAGTAAATATTTTAGCTATTAAAGATGAGTTTAGATTTAGATTTAAAACCCAATCAACGCAATTGAAATTTTGGAGAAACAAAGTTCAGGTCCAAATACGCCTACGCGACCTAGGGATCCCAATAAAATCGGCGATTTTCATAGAGATCGAGTCCAGGAGGAGGAGCGGAGGAAAGTGAGTTTTGAGAAAATGACATTTTAGAAAAGAACAAGTTTTGGAAACTGTTATTAACTTAAGGGCTAAGAAGCATTTCCAGGCAGCCCTTCGTGAGATGTGCAATCGATTGACGTATATTGGAGTCATTTGTCATGTAACCTGTTCGTTCTTTCCAAGTTGGATATTTCAGTGGCTCGACTACGTTTCCCCGTTCATTTTCACTGTGATAATTGAAGCAGTTTTGTGGAAATTGTTACCGTATCTTCCTCCCGAAATTAAACGTTTTCTGCCGAAGAGATTTCAGCGAAACGAAACGGGAAATCAGGTGCCTGGGAACTTCGATATCGGTTATCAGACTTACTGTACATATTAGTTACTTATTTATGAGTTTAGAGACACCCATCAAGGTTGAGCGACGATCAGAGGGTCCGTCTGATCGACTCGTCGACTCAAACTGATCCCTCCTCGATTCGTCCCCTTCCTCTAGATCGGAATGATAGTGAAACGTCTCTCGGTACCGATGAGGAAATCAATTAATCTTTTCCTTTAAATGTTTTGTTATGTATTTTGCTTTACATAAAATAATCTCATTTATTGTAAACCAAAAACACTGTTGTAGGAGTTGTACAGGCGCACAATTACCCGCGCACCTTCTCAGCAGATTACATGCCAAGCGCCGCAATCAAATCAAAAACCTAAAGTGTTATATAGAGAATTGAATCTTGAATTCTTGCCTACATTTCTGTACCAAAAAGTCTGCGATTAAAGTTTCGCAGCCCATTTTACTGCCCCTTAAATGAACAAAAATTTCTTATTCGAGCTGATTTACTCCATGACTTTAAGCTTGGAAAATCGTTCTAGAATCGCATAATTCTATTTCAAAGGCCTATGGCGAAGGTAGTATTAGCAAAAGCCAATGTTATCGATGGTTTGAGCCAATGTTATCGATGGTTTCAGTTTTCGAAATGGAAACGAGAGCCTAGAAGATGAGCATCACGAAAGACGTCCTCGAAAGCTGGACGAGTCTCAACTTTTGCAAATTATCAAAGAAGATCCCACTTGCACCACTCGGGAGTTGTCGGAAATGTTCAAATTTCATCGTAGCACCATTGAAGAGCATTTACATTTGATTAGAAAGCGAAACAGATGCGGAAAACGGGCCCCACAAGAACTGACCCTCAATCACAAAATTGCCCGTATGAACACTTGTTCAATTTTGATTCAAAAACCAAAAGCACAAGATTTTTGGAAATCAATTGTTACTTCTGATTAAACGTGGATATTATATGATAGCGTTAAGCGCAAGCACCAATGGTTATCACCAAAGCAAGTCCCGGTTGTCACCTCAAAACCTGGTCTGCATGGAAAGAAGTTGATTTAGTGCGTATGGTGGAACTATCGTGGATTGTTTTATTTTGAACTGCTCAAACCGGGTAAAACTGTCACAGCTGAACTTTACAGTGAGGAGTTATCAAGCTTTATCGAAATCTCGACATGACACTTCAAAAATTAGGTTTTTGTATGATAATGCAAACCGCACACGGCAAAGATGACCCTCCAACAAATCGAAGAGATGAGCTGGAAACTTCTACCTCACGCCCCATACAGCCCTGACTTGTCCCCACGAGACTACCACTTATTCAGGTCCCTAAAGCAGTTCATCTCCGATCAGCTGTTCAAGGATTCCCAGGAAATGCGGTCACCAACTATTTTTCGCCAAAAGTCTCCAGTTCTTTGAAGATGGAATTATTGAATTTAGCAAAAGATGGCATGATGTCCTAAATAATAATGGAGAATTCCTTTTATATTAATCCTTTTTATTTATTGTTTTTTGAAATAAAAATTCGGGTTAAAAAAATTCACATTATTTTCCCGCCAACCTAATAACCAGGTTTTACTCTCAAAGACTAGAAATTAAAAAGTTTTAATGCTAAATTAATTTTATGAGTCTATTTTCGACAAAAAGTGAATAATAGATTTGAAATAAAGTTAAATAATTTACTTACTCAATCAAAGAGAGATGCCTATTTTCGATAATTGATTCGATAAGAAAAGGACAAAATGTTTTTTAATGACAAAATGTTTTCTAATGACAAAATCTTTTCTCCCAAAAATGATAAAATGTTTTCTCCGAAAATATTGCGAAAAAAAACATTAAACCGAAACAAAGTCTGTTTTCTGTTGTTTACACGAAAAGGAGAGTCCGGTTTTTTTTCGATTTCACCAATAAGGAGTCTGAGCAAGTTTGCCACTTCTTTTCATTGATCATTTCTTGATAATGACTGTCAATTATGGTTTGGTTGTCGCAGATGCGTCTCCATTGAATCGTTTTCGGCTTCTCTTCAGGTTAAGACCAATTCATTTCACTTTTTAAAGATTTCTTTAAGCAATCTGTCAAAATGTTGGAAATTGGGAATTCTAGAATCCAGTCTAATTCTGGTTCTAATACTACGAATAGCAAAATGCTCTAGGTGCTCTAGCTGATAGTTAGATTTTTTAGATTTCAAATGTAGTCTAAAGCCGCTGTCAAAGCTAGTTAGCAAAAAACTGACCAAACCCTTTTCAAACCGTCAACTTTCTAATTAGAAAAACAACGCTAACTTGTTGATTTGGCTCAGTTTGGTCTGAGCTCTTGAAAACAACTCATTTTTTCACATCACAATGTTTGTTGTTTAGATGGAAAGGCTCAATTTGGAAAGCGATCCTCGCAGAGTTTTCTTTATGGAGTTTATGTTATTTATTGCTTTTTATCTTGATCAATTTTGTGCTCGATGTAGATTCGAAGAAGTAAGTCCATCTTTCTGAGTATGATGACAACAACTAAATGAATCAAATTATTTCTTCAAATGCCTAAGGCTTGGTTTTACACTTCTCGGAAAGATCCGGAGTAATGTATTTAGATATTTTCTTTCAGTTTCATGCTAATGTTGGCTGAAAAGTTGAACGTGGTGACGAAAATCGACGGGATGATTTTCATGCTCTCGTTTTTCGTTGGAGCCATTGTGACAAGATGGACGTTGGCGCTGGCGAATATTGGGTTCATCGACAAGTGAATAAAGAGATTTGATTGTAGAGTGAGCTCCCTTTTTGGCTGATTTGTTGAATGCTTATGGGAAAAATCGTGAAATGCTCAAAAATTGGCTCTTTGCCACCCAAATTTTGTAAACTTTTAGTAGATACTAAATAAGAGGAAGCTCACTTTAAACATTTCGAAAATTAGTAAAGATCTAGCTGGTCAGATTACATTCATTCTCAGCCTAGCCCTCACAATCTCTTATCATCTCCATGGAAAACTCGAGAAAGCACGGATGATTCGAAGAAATCTCATTCGATACGCGATTCAGGCTCAACTTCTTGTGTTCAGGTTTGATATTTTAAAATTAACATTATGCAAGCTTTAGAGATGTGAGCACACAGGTGAAAAAACGTTTCCCGAGCCCGTCGTCGATGATAGAAGCAAGTACGGTTAAATGAAAAATAAAGGGAATTTTGGCTGACCTGGTCCCAAAACTAGAAGACGTTAGACCTAGCCAAAAAGAGTTCGCATATAGCGAAATTTTGTTAGGTGCTAGATTTTCCGTTGCTAGCCAGATCCCGTGCAATCCAATCTAGCGTGCTGTCCTCATTTTGCTGGCTTCATTTTGCTAGCCTCAACCAAAATCTAGCGTTTTTCGACTAGCAAAATCTTTGCTAGATTTAGCTCCTTTTGCCAGTCAACTAAAAGGGTGACTAGCCAACTTTTTACATAAAGGGGATCGAAAAACCTACTCTCTCCAATCTTCCTGAAACTTTACCGGGGTAAGCGGCTATGCTGATCATCATAGTGCAGTCATTTTTCTCGGATTCCCCTGTTTAGTCCACTTTTTAGTGGTAATTGCATATTCGAAATCTAGACACGAGAATCCACGAAGTATATTGTTTTGACACTCTTTGGAAAGGTTTGAATATGGTTTTATAGGTGTCAAAAATGAGGTGTCAACTTTGTTAGTTTGCTAGATGCTAGACGAGGTTTCTGGTCCTGAACCCTGGGCAAACCTAGAGTTGGGCTACAAGCTAAACTGAATCATTGTCGTGACTCGGTTTGCCCCTAGAGCTTATAATCTTGTTAGCACATCCATAAAACATTTTCAGATTTCATCACCGACAAAGAATTGAAAATGATTGACTCGTATGGAGATTATTCTTTGCCAAAATATTGGATGCCAATTCTCTGGGCACAACACGCAATTCATCGAGCAAGAAACGACGGGATGTTTCTCTCAAACAATGATGCCGATGAGATCCATAAAGCAAGTGCAGTTAGCGTCTCAAATTACGATTTTACCCTGCCTTGGTTCTGGCTTTGACTTGGATTTCAAGCTGAGAAGCCAACGCCAAGTCAAGTCAAAGACAAGAGTTGAGCTTTGCTTGGTTTAAAAATTGGTGCCAAGAACAACCTGATTGTCAACCTAAACTCGTTTTAGATGTTCATTGAGTGGCGGAGTCGATTGAGTGAATTGGGCAATATGGACTGGGTGCCATTGCCACTTGTTTATCCACAATTGGTTGTACTTGTCGTCAACACTTACTTCATTATTTTGCTCTTTGCTAGACAACCGATCTTTGTCGGTGATTCGGAAAGAGATGTGAGTCTTACAGTAAAAGTTTGTTCGAGCTAGTGCCAAATAGAGACCCTGATCCCTTCATTAACCTTAATTTAAAGACGACACATCGTAATTATTAATCAATCTAAACAAGAAAAGATTAAAAATTTGATTCAACCTTTTGAATTTCCACGTGGTATTCGATTACTGATAACAATCCTGCCCAAATATGTAGATATAAGCATACGTTTTATCAATTTGGTCCAATTGAAACAGCAATTGGATGTAAAACCACAATCTAAACAAGAAACAATTTAAAAATTTAATTCAACCTTCCAAATTTCCACGTGGTAGTTCGAATACTGATAATAATCCTGCCCAAATGTATAGATTTAAGCACATTTTATCCATTTAATTCAATTGAAACAACAATTGGACATAAAACTTCGCAATCTAAACAAGGAAAAAGTTAGAGTAATCAAAAATTACCTTTGAGTGTAGATCCTGCTCGCCACTCGTCGTCTACGTATGTGTTTCCTTGATATCCTTGATATTAATGATACAATTTGAGTAATTGACGAAGTTGTTTCAACAATTAATTTAAACAGACAAAATATTGGGCAATCCTTTCCCAAAACAAAAGTTTGACAATGAATTTGACAAAAGAGAAATAATGCTGTGAAATGGTGGACAAATAGAGGTACGGTAGGAGGTCCGCACTTTAGAAAACACTCAAGTTAACACATAAATAATCTGTGGGAAACGATTTCAAACAACAAACATATTTCCTATTATATTATAGACTAACAATTATTTATCTAGACAATCGACTTGATTGCGATTATTTTACACACAAGTCTCGAGTTTCTCTTCTACGTTGGATGGTTGCGAGTGGCTGAGGCATTGATCAACCCGATGGGAGAAGATGATGATGATTTTGAAATGAATTGGTTGCTTGATAGGAATTTGAAGGTATTGCCTGGTTTTTGCCAATACCCAGACTTTTCATTCAGACTGGCTTGGCAATTGTTGACAAAGGCCACGATCACGTGCCAACACTTGAGAAAGATCCACATTGGGATTACGAGCAGCCATTGTTGTATGCAGAGAATACTAGACCGGTTAACCCGTTACATGGATCGGCTCAAGAAAACGAGTTTGGTAACGTTTGAAGCTAATTGCACTAAAGTTTCTAGACATTTAAACGAGGAAAAGAACGAAAAGAAGATTTCAAAGATGGTCCCACTTGAAGAACCATTCGAAAGCAGCTTCTCCTCTCGAAGACCCAGCAAGTAAGACAAAGATTTGATCAAACGCTTGAAAACAATTTGATCAAACGCTCAACTTTCAGTGCCGCATTTCAATCGCTTCCGTTGAAATCTGGATTGAGGTAAATCCTGTCAACTTTTCTTGAAACCTTAACTCATTCAGTCGCTTCCGAGAACTTTATGGAGAAATTTCTGGATCAGGACTTTCCGCCTCTCATCAAAAATCTCCAACAATCAGGTAAATCTGTAATCCTAAGCCAAGTCAAAGCCAATTTTGTTTTCTAGAGCAATATTTGCTTGTGAAGCTAGTCTTATAGTCTGATGAACAACTAGGTAAATAAGCAGGATGGCTCCTAGGCCTTTTTACTCTAGAATTGTAATAGAATTGTTCTAAAACAAGCTAATGGTAAACCAATTCAACTTTTCCAAAAAGAAATAGCTTGCTTTTGCCCAAACCGACTCATTCCTTACCCAACTTTCAGCCAACCTCATCGCGTTCCATCACCATCACACAGTGAGCAATCGAAAAAGGACTTTTCCTTCTTTGAGGACACATTTGGTGAACATTTCTATGGTTTCAAAGAAATCAAAATTTACTATAGATGAATTAACACCCGATCAACTAACCGTATCAACACAAGCGTCCGTTTTTGCTCATTATGATGGAACGAGTCCAGTGATTTCAAGACCGGTAATCTCCTCTGCTTTCTCAAAAAGATTCTGTTCAGGGCCGAACCATGTCCGGGACTTCGAGACTTGAACATATAAATGAAGAAAAGTAATCATTTGCATATTTTTTGATAAAGTTTTTGTAAAAGAGAGTTGAATTGTACTATGAAGTGTGACTGCGATTTTTATTATAATAAATTGACAGAAAAGGTTGTCAGAAAAAAGACGGACGGAGAGTTTGTCCTGTCTGTCCGTCCGTATATCTCTATTTATTGGGTTGTCCAGTTATGAATGCGCGTTTTTACGATTTTGTAAATTTCTCAAGGTATCGAAATCAAGAAAAAGATATATATGAGTATTATTCGAAAGCTGAAGATCTCCTCTACATTTTGATATAAAAGTTTTTGAATTTGTTCAGCTTTTGAGCAAATTGACTGTACAGAAGAAGAGGTGACCAAAAAATGGAAGGGTGCCTTTGGATCAAGTTTTGGCTCCGCTCAAATTGAGTTAACCGTTTGATGTTTGGCCAATAGATATATCAATACAACTTTTTTTTAAAATATAACAATTTCAGAGCATCTTTACTTTTCTTTTCTTTTCTGGGCGGTTATTTTATCTATTCAGTCTATTCAGGAGCGACGAGAAAGCAAAATACTTGCAGCTTCTGGCGGAATTCTGGGTTTTTGGGGCTTTTATATGAGATTTTGAACAAACAATTCAGAAATAAAGAAAAAGATAATGTGCAGTTGTGTGTTTTCAGAAGATTGAATAAAATGCGATTTATTGGTATTTGTCCACAGAAAAGAACACAAAGCATTTATCAGAACCGGAAGCTCCTTTTGCAGATAAAAGGATGCGGATGGATAGAAGAAGAGGCCCCCCATTTCCCATGGCTGCTCCCAAGCTGAAATGAGTTCATTTTTGATGGAAATCCTTTGATAAAATAATTTACGTTATTTTGCACAAAAAAACTCCTAAGATTGATCGAAATATTTTTGGATTAATTATGCATTGGAAAATGGAATAAATATTGATGATTTCACGTCGAAAATCTCACCACAGCGTGGGTGTCCGAATCCGGTTCTCCCGGAAACCAATTCGTGAAATCCACCGAACTTCCATCCGTCGATTCAAAAGCATTTTCTTGGTTCGGATTTCTCTGAATAAAGAAATTTTTATGTTTAACATTGATATTTCGATTTTTTTCATTTTAAAACTATTCTAGTTTCCCAATTGAAACCATCATTTCTCTCAAAGAACTATCAGTCAAACGAATCTCTTTTTACAAAGAGCCTTCCGGAAATGGCTGAAAGAATCATTAGTTTCTATATATTTATTTATCTCTTTCAATAAGAAAAATTCAACCTTCAGTCCGATCCAGAACAAAGTAATCAAATGAACAGTTCTCGCTGAAATAAATATCGGTTGTTTTTGGTTTAAAAAGCATAAATTTCTACGAAAACCCTAAATTTTCTGAATTGAATCATTTGATGATTACCGAGTTTCTGAACAAAATCGTTCTCTTCCTGACTGTGAATTGTGACCAAATGTCCCTTTCGACTCGCACAATCTGCCTCGGCATTATCAAATGTTTTCCATTCACCAAACACCTTGAGATGAAGATAATCCCGGTTCACAACATCCACCAAACCTTGTACCAAGAAGCGGTTTTTGCCAAATACAACCATCCATCCCGATACAGATCCAAGAGATTCATGGTTCGATTTCTGAATTTCTTCGAATAACATCACTCCAGACCTTTTAGACAAATAATCAATCCTTTTCCTTAAAAAAAACCCACAAATCTGCCTGCAACTTCACCATTTCGGCCGTCTTGTTTTCCCTTTCAAATTTTCTAGAGAGGAATTGATTGGAATGGATGTTTTGGGAATGAAAAAACTGTTTTCTCAAGTCTCAAGTCTCTACTTAGTTCCTTTATAGTTCCTTTATATTAGGTTGATGCATAAGTCTTTTTGTTCCTTTTCGTCTGCCGTTTCAAGCCAACAAATGCACCAATTAAATTACGGTTGATTTCATTAGAAAAACCAATTATTTTTCTGCAAAATAACATTTAAACGGGTTTAAAAATATTTTATGCCTGGATTTTCTTGAGAGTATGAAGTCGGGTAGTCAAAAAGGGCTAACTCGATGATGCGGTTTAGACACCTTAGCTAAAGAAAACCTATCTTCGTGTCAATAGATAAAAGATAGAGAAAAAAAGTTTGATCTTTCGCCAAAATTTCAGAGAAATTCATTCAGCCAATTTTTCCGTAGAGTTTTTTATAGATCTTTATAGATTTTTTATAGGCGTTTTTCACTCTCGAATTTGCTTGAAAGTGAACCGAAATTGATTTTAAAAGATGGAAATTGAACAAAAAAACACTTTTTTTTATAGAGCAAACTATAGATTAATTGGTGAATTTGTTACTTTTTAACAGAAGTACGAAAAAAACGAAAAGACTTATGCATCAACCTATTAGATACCAAATAAACTCACATTTGGGTTTCGAGGTCAGAGTTTTCGCTCTGCAGCGCGTTGATTTTTCCTTCTAGCTCTCCAATTTTGACTTTTCCGTCTCTCACTTCCGTAATTTGAGTTCTTCTGAAAAAGTTCGCATTTTTACTATATATTGAGCTTGTCAAAAAAGAATGTGACAAAATTAGTACAATTGTGCTTCGAGATCATCGTTCTTCCTTTTCGTCTCGGCGATTTTCCCCGTTAAATTCGCCTCGATTTGGGCCATTTTTGCTGTTAAAAGGCTCATCTCGACGTCTTTGTCCTTCGTTTCGTTCCGCTCTCTTGCGCTGAATACTCAAATTACTCACTACTCAAAATCCAAAAAGGTGAGCTTGAATTCTTCAAGCTTTCTTGATTTCACCCACATCTCCGTCTCGAGATCGCAGATTTTTCCTCGAGCCTCGACGAGTTCTTGTTGGGTTTTATTCCTGAAAAGTCTTGTCATTGAGATACTCAAGCCCATTTCCTGTTTATTCTATCAAATTCGCTCTATTGATTGGCTTGGTTGAAAACATAGCTATTTGAAGGGAAAAGAATACGTGGATGGATCCTCTTGATCGCTTTGTTGAATCGACGCAGAAATTTGATGGAAAAGGAGGAGAATCGTGATAAATAGACGGACGGCCATCACACCCATTCCGCTGAATTGGTTGATTAGTTTTGAATTCGGGGAAATGGGAAGAACGATGGAGGGACGATCCGATAAACAATTGTTTTTTTACGGAAAGAGCTTTTGAGAGCTTGGAAATTGTTTAGAAAAGCGATCGCCTTTTAACCGACGATTGACTCATTAAGCCGTTGAAACAATCGCCTCGAATAGAAATTCGAACAGAAAAAAAGTGGCCTTCCAGGAAAAAGAAAACCGTCAATTCGTGATGAATAAATCATATATATTTCCTTTTAATTCGCATGTAAACTTTCCAATTTATAGGTATTGCGTTTGATTCATGCAACATGAACCGTTAATATAATTAACTCAACAAATTAAACTTTATTCATAAAAATACGGAAGAGATCAATAATCACGTTACACACTCAACAAGTTGGCCAAATGATAAATAATGAAAACTATGCGATCAACTTTCCGAGTCTTCGGCGCCTCCGATGTGGAGGATGTTGTTGCACCTAGATTTAAAGAAATTAGACAAAAGTCACATTAATCACCTTATTAAAATTTCTCCCAAAGCTCCAGTGTTTGTTTCCATCAATGTACTCCTCCGCGTTAGCGATCTAAAAGATAAAAAATTCATTTGTGAATGCCTAGGCCTAAGCAAGCTTACTCGTCATATATCTCACTGTTCACAAGCGACATAAAAACTAACAAAATTCCGAACGTACCTCTCCAAACTAGCTTTAAGCCATGCCATAAAAACTCGGCTCGGCGGGGTGCGCTACTATTAGAGATTACCATTAATTAGCTAAGAATTACATTTCTAATTTTTCTTTTTATCTTTGTTTTCTATCAACTATTTAAAAATAAAGTGTTTTATCAAAGGATTGCCATCAGAAATGAACACATTTCAGCTTGGGAGCGACGATGGGAAATGGTTCTCCTAGCGTCCTATCTATCACCGTCATTTTATCTGCCAAAGGAGCTCTCAATTCTGATAAATGCTTTTCGTAAGCCGTGTTTTCTTCTTTACAATTAGAGATTTATAAACCCCTTTAGTCTTTTCGTGAAAAATGTATTGGCTCTGGGAAAAGTTATGGCACCTCAAAATCGTTTTTTTTTCGGCGAACTGGCGCTTTCTCCAGATTTATCCAGAAACTAAAAGCTTTGAATGCTGGCTTTTCAAATCTCAAATTTGGTTTTTAATCGTAATCGATAAAGATAATAATCTAAAATTTCTGTCTTGTGAACATGGTGTTACTGAAAAAGGATCATGTTTCGAAGTCAAAAGAAGGCAAAATGATGACGAGTACAATCGTCTCGAGTCAATTCAGCCAAAAGAACAAAACAAAGCGAAACATATGTGAATTCAAGAAAGAAATCAACTTTTGGTGTTGCATCACTACCATTTTTTGTTGATTTTTTTTGTTGATGTTTTTTATAAAAAGAAAGTTAGCAAAAATGTTGTGAAGGTTTGCGAAGAATCAAAAATCGCCAGAGAAACATTTGCATTTATATAATAACCAGCAGAACGGCGGCTGCTTCAGAAATCGTAAAAATGATAAAAAATGAGAAACGAATTCCCTGTGTTGAAAAACCCCATCATGCAAATTTCGGCGTAAAATACAAATTGTGATGCAGTGGATAGCGCGCTCGCCCCACGCGCGATCCACTGCGGGTTCGACCCCAACAGTGACCTACGTTGACTTTCTGCAAAAATTTTTTTTTAAATGCACAACTGCATGAAATTTCATTAGACATGCGTTTCAGCCTTTTTTAAAATACTCAAAGGGGACGCGCGTAGTGAGTGCACAGACGTAGAGATGGGGGGCGGGGGCAATGGTGGTGGCAACAGGACGGACAGGACGGACAGGACATTTTTGATATTTAGTAGAGACATTAATACGTTTTTATTACTTTCAAAAAATGGTCTACTTTACTCAAAGGCTTTACAGCCTATTTTACTTAAAAAAAGAAGGGTTTCGATATATTTTTGCTTTGTTTCAAAGATTTTTTCACATATCTCTAGCTGTCAATGCTGAATTTGGCTGCTTTACTCTCATTTACAACTATTCACAGAACAAAAAAAACTATACAATGACACCAACAAAAACCTTTTTTAAAGTTGATAGTTCGCATTTATGTAAAATGCCTAAACCCCCGTTCAAAAGCAGACTCTTTTGAGTCTGTTTTTGAGTCTTTTGAGTCCGGCCCGGCCCTTATCAGATGTTTTTTTTCCGTTTTGGGTCACCATTTCACGACGAAACACACTTTTGGTCTAATTTTTCGACTAATTCTCGTGACCTGGAACTTTCTTTCCACAGAAAAGCCCTTTAATCTGTATAGATAGCTATAATAGTTTTAAAAAACCGACTCTTGATAGCTTAGATTCATTTGAAATGATCTCTCACTTGGATACAATTTTTCTTTTGAGCCTTCTTTGTGGTAAGGAAATACTTTGAGAGATTGCATTCATTGCATTCAGTTCGTTCTATCGCGATTTGTCCGAAAAGCGCTGTGCCCGGATCGACGCCGGGAAGTTGTTATTTCGGGGTCCCACTCGACGAAACGTTTCAACGGGGCCAGACATTTTGTGAAAAGTAAGAAGTGTTTTCTTCTTTACAGTTAGTGATTTATAAACCTCTTTAGCCTCTAATTAAATAGAATTCGTCAAAAAAATTAGTCAAATGTCTATTTTGTCGTGAAATGGTGACTCAAAATAGGAAAAACATCTGATAAAAGAGTCTTCAAAAGAGTCGACTTTTACATAAATGCAGAAGTATCGACTTAAAGAAAGCGTTCTAAATGTTAAACCTCGTGTTTAGCTTTTGGTTCGAGTGTTCATGTTTTAAAATTAGAGATTTCCTAACAAAAAATTACTCTTCGGTTCATTGAAACAAGTTATCCCAGTTTTCACAGCTTAGTGTTTTCCAAATGAAACAAGACAAATAACTTTAAATATTTACTGTTTCATTACTTGTTTTTCTACAGTCAATACATGTCCAAAGTTGTTCAGTTTCTATGCAAAACTCGCCTCGATTCCGAGCAGAGAAGATAACGAGGCTGTGCTGAATTTGGGTCGACTGCTGGGTGATGTAAGTAGCAATTTAGATGTATTGCAAGATTGAAGAAAGAAAAAAGAAAAATGTCAAAGTAAGACCGGAGCTCTACCACATTCAGACAATTCAGGGCCTAAAGCAGATCTGGCTCGGCGGAAGCTATGACGGAGAGAATATCACATGGCTTGACGGATCAACACCCAGCTTCGACAATCTTGCACCAGGTCAGCGATAGATGACAATAGGCATACAAAAGACTATGATTAATTCATGATATGCGATCCGACGATCCGATCGAATCCGATTTTATACAATTATTCACTGGCCATGTAAACTAAATGCCCCAAAATTACCCGAACCAATAAAACTTATGGTTTAAAAATCTTTTCACCGAAAAACAAAAATTAACATTAACAAATTTGTTCTCTAGATTGCTTTCAACAAGTTGATTTATTTCTTTTTAAAAATATCTCCATGGGCGGCTGCACAAGCGGCTTTGGAAAGCCGTCGATGGTGGCCAAAAGATACGCAGGATCGAGTTCAATCTTCGTTAGTGGAGCCTTCCCATCAGAAATTATTCCGGTGAAGGCCATGACGGATTTGGGATATCCAGCACGTCGAAACACTTGGTTTGGTTGGCTTTTTGCATAAATCCTGTTGTTCTGCGTGTCATCGTCATCGTTCTGCTAAATGATGCTGATAAGGCCAAAAGATAAGCAGGATCGAGTTCAGCCCAAGCTTTCTGGAGGGATTTTTTGCAGTAAATCAATGCCTGAATGTGCTTTTCAGCAGGCTTTTGCTTCGAGAACACTCCAGACTGAGTAATCCATCAGATTTAAATTGGGGCTTGATGGTGGCCACTGCTTAAAGCTAATGAAATCCGGGAAGCTTCGTTCACACTAGTTTTGGACAATTCGGGTTTTGTGGGCATTCTGCATTCGTCCTATTCGTCCTATTCGTCCAAATTTTGTTTCCGAAGTGTTTTTGTGCTCAAGGCAGCACTTCCTGCTTCAAAATATCCAGATAACTAACAGCAAAGTGGAGGTTGGTTCGGGTAATTTTAGGCACCCTGTATAATGCACTGAATTCTCGATTTTGCAAGTGAAATCAATTGGTGTTGGCAAGAAAATCGAGAATTTGGTTGCATTTGATGCAGATGCATTTGGTTTACGTGAATCTTTACAAAGTCGGATCGGATCGTCGGATCGAATGCCCAACGATTAGGTACGGCAGCTGGGGATATGGTGTTGAACCTCGACACGGGGAAATGGTCGACAGCCGCCTGGAATGGCCTCATCCCATTCGTGTGCCTTGGAAAAGAAGAGGTTTTCCAGATTTCTTTACACATTTTATTAGAACCCCAGGCACCACCAAACACAATACCAACTGTGCCATCACAGCCGATCACCTGCCCCCATTGCACTTGTCCGCCACCCCCACCACCGCTCACATGTCCCCCACCGCCCACGTGCCCCAAACAGTCGCCCTGTCCGTCTGAATGGATCTACTCAGCCCCGCTGAAGAACTGCTATAAAGTGAGGTTTTCAAGTTGCTAAAAATCGCGAAATGCCAACTGATATGGCGTTCGGATTGGACATTAAGTTGGTGCATAAGACTTTACAATTTTTTTCCAAACCTGTTTTAAAAATAATGCCGCCACCAATTTCTATTTAAACTATTAAAAAGGAGAATTGTTTCTCTGCAAAATGGCTTTTCTGGAATTGGCAAAATGGCAAAATAGCTTTTCCAATTCTCGAAAGTCGTTGGTTTTGTGCATTTTCAAAGGGGGAGTACCCAACCACGTCCAGAACCATCTAAATTAGGTGGTTTATTCGGTGCACTATGATCAGACTGGCGATCCGTGCAAATCGATGGGCGCCCAGTTGGCGTCGATCCACTCGGACGAGGAGAATCGAGTCGTCAACGGTTAGTTTATTCAAATAATAATGCATTTTTTCTCATAGAAGTTCTTCGAATGGGCATTGGCGATCTTCCGTACGAATGGGCGGGAATGATCGGAGGGAAACGGGTTCGTTGAGCGGAGCACATTTTGAAACATTTCTTCCGAAGTTGACCTTGCTCTTTAGCAGATTTGTACCACGAGCAAGCCATTGGCAAGATTGCAACTTGCTCCACTTTTAGATATTATAAAGGAGGTTGGTAGAGTGGTTAAAGCGCCGGTCTCGAGACCGGAGCAATTCTCTTGCCCTGAGCAAAACAAAACCGAATTCTCTCTGATCCAGTTTTGGCAACATTTTCCTAGTTTTTTTCTATGTATTGCAAAAGAAAAAACAATAAGCGTGAGTTAAGTTTTCAGTACGAAATTTCAGACAGGCCCGGGGGCCAGCGATTGGGCTTGGATGGACGGGTCTCGCTGGGATTATTCGATGTGGGCCGCCCAACAACCTGACAACTCAAAGGGCAACGAATTCTGTTTACAGGTCGAACAGAACGGCTTCCATTGCATAGCTCAGTATTCTTTGAATGTCAGGCTTTGGGGAAATAGTATCGAATTTGGTCTAGTATCCAAGTTAGATCCGATCCATGAAACGAGAATTTTCACTGATTTACTCCAATGCCCTGAAAAATGCTGTCTTTCGGGGAAAATTAAGCACCAGCTATAGTTTCTTGGTGTTTATATGTCGTAGACGATTATGAATCAAATGGTTTTGTTAGCGAAAATCATAATCGGCTTACTTCACCGTGTCTTTTGCGCGTGTATGTAGAATTATTTTAATTGTTTAATTCTGTTACTCAGAATCGGCTACAAAATATAGATTCGATTTTTTTTATTGGAGTACTTGAATGACTGCGATTTGAGCATTTGGGTACGATAACCCTCCCATTTTGCAGATCTACAACGATCCGATCAAAAAAGTGGACGCTGGACAAGTGGGCAAATGGAACGATATCCCCTGTTCGACGTGGTTCCGAGCGGCCGCGTGCAAAAGAGCGGCTGACTATTAGAAAAGACAGAAAAATGGGATTATGCTTTTGCTATAGATGTTGGCATATTCTGTACATACCATTGTTGTTGTATTAGGTTGATGCATAAGTCTTTTCGTTTTTTTCGTACTTCTGTTAAAAAGTGACAAATTCACCAATTAATCTATAGTTTGCTCTATAAAAAAAGTGTTTTTTTGTTCAATTTCCATCTTTTTAGGCTTATAAAGTTTAGTTTGCTCTATAAAAAAAGTGTTTTTTTGTTCAATTTCCATCTTTTTAAATCAATTTCGGTTCACTTTCAAGCAAATTCGAGAGTGAAAAACGCCTTTTTCGTAAAAATCTATAAAAAACTCTACGGAAAAATTGGCTGAATGAATTTCTCTGAAATTTTGGCGAAATATCAAACTTTTTTTTCTCTATCTTTTATCTATTGACACGAAGATAGGTTTTCTTTAGCTAAGGTGTCTAAACCGCATCATCGAGTTAGCCCTTTTTGACTACCCGACTTCATACTCTCAAGAAAATCCAGGCATAAAATATTTTTAAACCCCTTTTTAATGTTATTTTGCAGAAAAATAATTGGTCTTTCTAATGAAATCAACCGTAGTTTAATTGGTGCATTTGTTGGCTTGAAACGGCAGACGAAAAGGAACGAAAAGACTTATGCATCAACCTAATATATACTGGGTGACCGCAAAGGATAGCGACAACTTTTTGGAAAAGTATCTGACATGTGCCTAATTTATTTTTAAAGTGTCAAGTGTTATATAGAGAATTGTAGTCCTAATTCTCGGCAACATTTATCTACCAAAAACTTCCGGATTCGACTAATAAAACTCATTTAACAAGCGCTTGAATGAGCCTCGACATCTCTCCGGCGAATCTGTCATTGTGAGAGCTTGACATCAACTTAACTTTTGGTTATGCCAGTTTAGCTAAAACAGTTCAGTGTGATTCTTAATGTTATTAAGCGATATTAAACGTTATTTTTGGATTGAAGAAATATTGAAAAGCTTTTCTTAACAATTTTTAATAGGGAAAATCAGTCAAATGACAGATCTGCCAGTGAGATGTTGATTAGCGCTCATTCAAGCGCTTGCTAAATGAGCTGTATAAGTCCAATTGGGAAATTTTTGGTGGATAAATGTTGTGGAGAATTAGGGCTACAATTCTCTACATAAAACTTGCCACTTTTTAAATAAAGACATCTCCCAGCTATTTTTTCAAAAAGTTGTCGCTATAATTCGCGGTCACCCTGTATGCATTGCATCCGAATTGGAATTTCGTCTGATTTGGAAGAACACAATTCTTATTTTCAATAAGTTTTGCTAAATTATTGAATGCTTATGAACCATTCATGTTTTTTGGATTAAAACTGATCAAAACTGATTTTCAACTAAAAATGGCGGGGGAAACCGTGTTTTTTTCCAAATCGGGCGTCCGCTTTTGACTCATTTCAAACATAAAACTTCTAAGCCTAATTTTCGTTATCTTAGACATTTCAAACATAAAAATTATACTTTACAGAAAAAAAAGCAATAAAAAAACATGCCATTTTAGGCTATTTTGTTCAAATTTCTTATCAAAAACGCTCTCTTTCCTTTCAATAACCTCTTTATCAGTTTTACTTTTCCCATTTCCAATTTCGATTGATTCTTTCCAAACTTTTCCTTCTTTTTTTCAACAAAATGCTCCCATTTTCCATTTCGACTCTTCCAAAAGAAATACAAATTTCTATCCTCGAATCGGTCGCATTTCATGATTCTTGGAAACTGGCGAAAACAAACAAATATTTACACCAATTTTACACAATTAACGGCTTTATAGCTAAGAAGAAAATCGATAAACTGGTGATTTCGTTCTTCGGAAAGGGAAAATCGCGGAGAATTTGCGTCGATTTGACGACGAATCGATTGGATCGGCTGAGCCTTGCACAAAAAGGCGACCTCTTCGTGGTGGCCAACTTTCGTGGCGTATTTTTTGAGGGGGAACGCGAAACGGATCGCACAATTCCCCGAATCATGCACACCCTATGGCCGGCGTGCAAAACGGTGGAGCTACTGTTTTTAAGTGAACGTTCTTTTACTCGGGAAATTTCCCGCTTTCTCGCAAATATTCAACGGGTTTCCAACTTTCGAATCAACTTTATACACCAAGGACTCTCGTCGTCGAATCCATTGATTCTCGAAACACTTCTCAAAGATTGGTGCCCTATTTTGGAGGGATCTCTTTCATTAAATCTCCCACAAAACGACGCGAAATCAATATCTGCAATCGACAAACTTTCGACCACCCTTTCGCACTTTCATTTTGAGAAATTCCCACCAAATCTGCGAATTCTCTCAAATATTCGCGCGAACTTTTACACAATCGGCTGCTCAGAATTCTGGAACAATCGACTTTCCGCTACAATCGGCCAATTGTTGACTGGGTTGCTTTCTAAATGTCGTCCAATTACAGTAATCCTCTATCATCGATTCAGCGCATGGGCCGATTGCTCTCCAAAACAATACTGGGAATATACAATCAAAAAATTGAATTCACTTGTGGATGGAGATCAGATGAAAATTGAAATGGATGAAATACGAGATTCGGTAGAACTCTTGCCATTCCACCACTTAGAGAATAGACTCCAGAATCAACAATTTGCATTCATTGATCTCTTTGCTCAACCAACAAAATTTCTGGCACATTTTCAATGTAACAACATTCTGATAATTGCGAGGATTCATCGCTGTTCCGATGAGTCCAATTCTTTTCAAATCCAATTCATTTTTCAAGCTCGCTTGTTTCGGTAATAAATTTTACGGTTTTTATGTTTAAAGATTACAAATCACATCAAGAATGTTGCCAAAGAGCACAAAATACCAAATATCAAACCAGGTTTTTCTATTTTTTTTGTGTGCTTTTCAAACACAATCATTGACATTCCCTGACATTCTGATAGTATTCAAAAAACAACTTTCCAATCAAAACTGGAAAAGCAAAAGTTTTTCCCGGAGTGGATCCGAAACTGCGGCAAAAAAGAAAAAAGAAAATCGGGTACGCCGCACTTATCACTACGCCATAGAGGGTCGGAAAAGAGCCTTTATAAGCCCGTGGCACGATTTCCCGTGTAGACACCAAAACTTTAGACAGTTTTTCTTTAGACGTTAGACAGTTTTTCTCGCGTGTTTTTGAATATCGGCAAAAACTGAATACAGCATCGGATTCCCTGTGTCTGATAGGTGTTTGCATCTCAACGGCGTCAAAATATGCTACGGCCATTTTATGGCATCCCTTTGTTAGAAGGAGTATCGTCTCCACCCCAATCAGTATCTTCCTCGATCTCTTCGATCTCTTCTTCCTCACTATGTTCAAATTCACCTCTTAAAGAATTCACCTATTGTAGCCTCTTAAAGAATGCTTGCTAACCGGCGACCCAACTTCTTTTCTGCACGTGTGGCTTTTGAGAGATCAGGAGAGCCGGCAAAAGTTATATTTTGCAGGTCAACAATTTCGGGAGTAATGGAGCTCATCTAAAGGAAAACATTCAAATCTTATATGTTCAAAAAGAAAAAAGGACTTAGAAAAGCTGAAAGCAAACACTTTAAGAACTCTAAAAAATGTTCTGCGGAAGTTTTACAAAGCAAAAAGTAGGGCGGCAAGAGGAATCGAACCAGGGAACAAAGATTGAACCGGTTTGACCTAACGCACTATCCCCTAGACCGCTACTGCTTTTCTTCCTTTCGCACCCTCTTATAGGTGAGGTGAAAGTTTGAAATGGCCGAAATTGGAAAGGTGAAATGGCCAAAACTTCGCATGCATCTTCTCGAAAACCAGGGCCTGTGGGCAAAAATCAATACAGCATCGGATTCATCATGTCCGATAGACGTTTGCATCTCATCGCCGTTTAAAACCCTTACATTCTCTTTGGAACTTTCTCTTGTTAGTTGACAAGCTTTCACAGTTTTGACTTAAATCGAAGTCTCTCAAGTCCCTGTCTCTCAAGATTGCATAAAGCAGAAAAGCCAAAGCAACATCATAAAAATTATCTTCACTATTAAATTATACTATAGGAAAAAAATGTATTACATTTTCAGCGTTCAATAATTGATTGTCGATATGATATCGGCTTTTAAGTCTGTTTCTGTAAATACATCAAAGCCGTGTTCTCGGCGATTGTCTCCTTTTCGTCGAGAACGGAGAGATCCGGCTGATTCGAGGTCTGATGCTTTAGGATCACGATCTGAAACAACATCTGAAAAAATTAGAATACATTAACACCTGTAAATGCTAATAATTTCTTAAGATATTTATTAGGTTAGCACATAAATTTTTATCGTTTTTATTTTTAAAGTTTTTCAAATAAATTCTGCAAGCTTATCCCAAGTTTAATATACCATTTGAAAGCTCTAATCTTATTCTATAAAATGGCATCGACAAAAGTTTTTTTTCCGTTGAGTTTCAAAAATTTTATGATTAAAAGAAAATGAAGTGTGGAAGCTGAAAAAATAGAACTGAAATGGTTTATTTCTGAAATGGTATGAACTGAAATGGTTTATTTCGGTATTTTAGCCGCTTATTTCAAGTCTCCATAAATAATTTACGAACAAACGGTCACCACAAGCACCCATTTGAAAAAGATTTTCAAGATAAACATTCGAAATTCGGCTATAATCGGAATGTTCTCTTTTTTTAAAATAATTTTATGGTCTTGAATTGAATGATTTACATTTTGAAGAATAATTAGACAATAATTAGAGTCAAATAAAGAAATACAATCAGAAAATGAAAAGAATTGTCAATCTTCTTTCTTCTTTCTTTTCTCTCTTCATCGCTTGGCAAAAATGATCACTTTTTGAGTGGATTGCATAAGGGAAAATTGGTCATTCTTGTTCAGTTAATGAGTCAATTTTTGGGGAAACAAATTAACAAAAAATAGGTGCAGAAAAATGGCATTTTTGTCTCGATAAAGACTTAATATGTTTCAACAATCAAATACTACAAATTCCGTTGAACAAAACGTGGCCATTTCAACAAAAATCCCTAGCTAGCTCCATAACTTTTTCCAGAGAAATCTCTTTTTCCAGATATTTCTCAAATCTGATGATAAATTTGAATTCTGAATTGATTTTTGCACTATATAGGAAAGATTAGAGGAAATTTATCGCTTTTGGCAAAAGTTATGGAGTCAGTTATGGAGTTATGGACTTTTTAGTGAAACGGCATGCAACCATGTGACGTACTTAACAGAGTTTTCGGAACCGTTTTTCTGTTTCTTTTTTTCAGCTATGCAAAATTCAAAGAGTACTTTTTGAATATTTGTTTTTTGACACTTTCAGCACAAGTGGAAGAGTGGGTGGATGTGGAGGGGTAAACTAGGAATTGGGTTTCGAGTGAACGAGTTATTCCATTCTATTTGATTTGACGGGATGTCCGACTTTAAGGCTTTTTTGTTCATATTCTTTTTCTCGAAATCAATCGTTTCTATAGAGGACTATGGAGGATTCTACTCTTCAGGTATCTTGCACGTTTTAAGAGCCAAAAACTTCAACATTATCAGCCCAACTATTGAGCCCGGTTTCACCACCATTTTACGACGGTGTCGCAAAGTTAGGGCACTGTTATAAGCCTTTTCTTGCGACACGGTTGTAACAATTACTTTTTTTTACTCGGAAAGTCTATAACACTGTCGTAATTGTGTTATGACAGTGTTATAAACTTTCCGAGTTACAATACTCTCGTAACTTTACGACACCATTTCATCACCAAGTTACGACACCTAATTTGCATGATTACTTAAATTAATATGCATTTTTTCCATTCACTTTTAATCTAGCTTTACTTCTCGAAAGATGTTTCACTCTTCTCGCGAACTGTTGGCTTTTTGATAGAATGAAAACGATAGAATTTATTCCAAACAATTCTAAAAGATATTTTTGGTTTTTCCCGTCGGACCACGTTGTTTTTTTTGTCGTATTTTCTCGAGGTATATACTGTCAGAAAGGGTATAAATTCCAAAAACCAAATTTGTTTTGACTGACTTTTCTTCTAGCTTAAAATAGTAGCGTTTTTCCATTACGAGAGTAGCCCTTGAGGTGTCAAAAAAAATTTACGACGTTCAAAAAAATTTACGACGGCTGTCGTAAATTGGTGGTAATAAGTTTCATAAAATGGCGATGAAGTTGTGTCGTAAGGAGTTACGACCGCGTCATAAGTGGTGATCAAATCGGGCCCTGTACTTTTGGCACATTGGTTACTGAATTCAGGTATCACAACCAATGATTTCCTCGTCTTTAAAATGCAACAGTAGGAGACAGTAATGCAACGAAATCCCGTAAACTCTTTAAAATGATGCCATGGTTGACAGAAACGACAAAAGAAGATTTTTTTCAATCTTTACGATCCTCCCAAAATGAGGGCTACATGCTGAACTCAAACCTTATATGCTAAAAGTCTCGCGATTGAAAGTCCACAGCAAAAACTGGTGAAAAAATCTGGAATCTACACTGCCGTTTACATAAGATAGATACAGTTTGGGTTTTAAAATCCTACGTAACTTAGGCCTTTCCCTGTTTAAAGCGTTCTGTTCGAAAAAGAGCTGAACTTTCACTTTGGGCCATTAAAGAAACCTACTCGAACTACTCCCGTAAAATGGCCAATCTCTACAATGAGCTCTTCAACGACAGACATTACAATCGAGAGCTGTCGCCAGTTTTTGAGGGAAAACGCAATTTCTCAGGTTAAACAGCGGGGTTCTGAGAAAAAGTTTGAGAAACTATTCAGGACCATCACCCCCACCACTTCAAATCATCTTCGTCTTGGACTATTTGCAAATTTTCGGCCTAGTTTGCCATATTTGGTGGTGTTTTTCTATCAAAACCTTTAGGATGCTCAAAGCCAACTGCTCAGCACATGTATTCAACTTAGAATCGTGGGTTCTTTTCCTTCTTTTTTTGACATTTCACCTTCTATCCCTTTTCTTCTTCAATCTTTTTATTATCTCATTGGTTTTGACTCAGAAGACTTGTAAGCTGTAAGAAGCTTCGACTTTCTTGTTGGCAGCTCGGTGGTAAGAGCTTTTGCCCGGTAAGCGAAAGGCCGAAGGTTCAATTCGCTCTTATAGTTTGAAGATTTCTTTGCAATTTTCCCTTCTTTATTCTTCCCTTTCGTGATTATTACCATGAAAAACAATGAACGAGAAAAGCTTTCAGAGTTGGCTTGATCCTCGTCTCTCGTGGGATCCCGCAAATCATGATGGGATCGAGCAGTTGCACGTGCTCGCTGACACTATTTGGATCCCAGACGCGCAGTTTGGCAGTGTGTGAGTTGATGAAAGAGGAGAAAACTAGTAATTATTCTTACAAAGTTGACCTTCTTTGAGTTCTCATATAAAAGCGGACAGACTAAATACGTAAAAGCACAAGTTTTAGAGAAGAGCACACCTTTTAGAAAAACAAAAATAATCTATCGAAATAAGTTGTATGCAAATCCGATTAGCGTTCAGTAAAACGCTCGACGACATGTCGCCGGGATTGAACAAAGCGGTGAAGGTGACAAGTGATGGATGGGTGGAAACGGTGACCCCGTATTATATGGAGATCGCGTGTCAGATTACGGTCAGTCATAGTGGACGAAGAAACCACCCATAGAACTTACTAAACTTAGTGAAGCAAAATCGTAACGAAAACGAGTATTGTTGTTAGATAAACCTTGACAAACGGTCAGTGTTAAAGAGCGGCGGCGCTTTAGGGCCGGCTTTCAATGAAAATTTCTATAATATCGCATGTAAGTTCAAGTGTTTTAAAAGCCAAAGGTCAAAATAAGCCTTGCAACAATAAAAACGATCCGGCTCAAGCCCATTGATGCTTCATTTATTGGTAAAAATCATGTAATCATTGAAATTTGAGACACTTTAGTCTTTTACAAGTTTTATTATAAAGACACGTCTACTAATGCGGACAGAACTTTTAGAACCCACCATGTACAGTGGAGCAATGAGTGGAGAATATCTCATTCCTTTTCCTATTTCAATTTTTCATTTTCATCTTTTGTTTTTCGAAAGATTATTTCAGATCTCCTCGTTTCCCTTTGACAATCAATCCTGTGAATTGCCGCTCTTATCGTTTTCCTATGCGAGGTCATTCACAACATTTTCATAGCAAAACCATTTCTAGTTCGTTGATTGCAACAAATGGATCCGTCGGCCAACGAGTTGGCGCTCAATTGTCGGCGCGTTCAATCGTAATCTTTTGATTATCTGCAAGTTCACTGACTTTTCAGGGAAACGGTGAATGGGAGTGCACGGGCATCGATCAGCTAGTCATAGAGCAGGGCGGAGTTCAATTGGTGGGTCAATTCTTGATGATCCTTAAAAAGTGACCACTTTTTCAAGGAATATGACAATTAGGCATGGCTATCGGATCAGATACTTCCGATTCGGTAAATACACGAACCGGATGCATGGATCTAATCGGATTGAATCGGATCGAATTGAATCGAATCAGATCGAATCGGATCCAATCGATGCAATACAATAGAAAATCGAATTCTAGACCGATTTCCGATGAAATCTGCTAAATCTAAATGCTAAATAAAATCAAGAAAAGTGACAGCAAATTTCCGTAACTGTACTATAGACGTTTGGGGTCAAAAGCCTTCAAACCATTTGTTTTACAGTTCTGCTTCTATATCAACCTGAAACGAGTGCCGAACTACTATGTCTATGTGATCGCTGTCCCATGCTTTGTGATGACGTTCTTGTCGATTCTGGGCATGTTCTGGAAGAGGAACAACGAGTCAAAGCATTTGGATCGGGTAAGGGGAAAACTGTTCCATAAAAACATGAAAACTCGATTCTAGCTACTGATCGGTTTGACGAGTCTCATCTCGATGACTCTCTTGCTCGATCTCCTCTCAAATGCCATCCCAAAAACATCGGTTTTCCCTTTACTCGGTGAGTGGAGGCTCTTTAGTAGACATGGTTATCGGATCAGATATATTCGGTAAGATAAGCCGGCCAATTGAATGCATCCAATTCAATTTGATCTAATGGGCTCGACGAATCGGATACGTCCGATCCGATCCGATGTGTCCGACCTATCGGACGTATTCGATCCGATCCGATTTAAAAGTTTTCCGAAGTTCTGAAGAAAACTTGCAGTTTCATCCGATCCGATTTGATCCGATTTGATCTGATCCGTTCCGATAATTTGTGCATCGGATACATCCGATCTGATCCGATCCAATTCTAGAACGCGAAATTTCGGTCTCTGCTTGAGACTTTGGGGAAAATCGAGTTTACATCAATACGTTTTTTACACAGACTATCAATTAAATTCGTTTTGAAATTGATAAGAAAGTAGCACTGAGAGTTCATCTTGTAATTCTGAATTCAGAAAATCAAATCAAATCAAAAAATTCAAAAATCAGAATTCATCTGTTTCGCTTGTTTCGAAACAGATGCTTTTCGCACCTGTTTCGCAATACATGTCTTGTAAAGAGTGAATTTGTGTAGCTACTATTGCAAAAATTAGCGTTTCTTTGATAAGGCGTGATATACTCATTCATTTTAATTGCTAAAGCATGGAGCTAGCGCCGTTTTGCCTAGGAAACTCTTTGATGATCTTTGCAACTGCCAATTCAACATGCAAATACTCTGCTAATTCATAAAGATCTTCTTTAGGTGTCTACGTGACTGCATGCATTGGCCTCACTTCTGTTTCATGTCTTTTGATCATCGTTTGGCCTGCAAAAGACCTCCGAAAATCGTTGATGGAAAGGGAAAAGAAGATGGAATCGGCCGCCGAGCAAAACCTATCCAAAAGGTTGGTCTATTCTCATTCGAGCTTTGTGGCAAGGCTCGAGTCTTGTTGGGCAGGCGTCGACGGTGGCGCGCAGCGAGGGTATATCTATTAGGTTGATGCATAAGTCTTTTCGTTTTTTTCGTACTTCTGTTAAAAAGTAACAAATTCACCAATTAATCTATAGTTTGCTCTATAAAAAAAGTGTTTTTTTGTTCAATTTCCATCTTTTTAAATCAATTTCGGTTCACTTTCAAGCAAATTCGAGAGTGAAAAACGCCTTTTTCGTAAAAATCTATAAAAAACTCTACGGAAAAATTGGCTGAATGAATTTCTCTGAAATTTTGGCGAAATATCAAACTTTTTTTCTCTATCTTTTATCTATTGACACGAAGATAGGGTTTCTTTAGCTAAGGTGTCTAAACCGCATCATCGAGTTAGCCCTTTTTGACTACCCGACTTCATACTCTCAAGAAAATCCAGGCATAAAATATTTTTAAACCCGTTTTAATGTTATTTTGCAGAAAAATAATTGGTTTTTCTAATGAAATCAACCGTAGTTTAATTGGTGCATTTGTTGGCTTGAAACGGCAGACGAAAAGGAACGAAAAGACTTTTGCATCAACCTAATAGCTCATCCCATGCCTTGATGAGCACTTTCTTCAAAGAATCAATGTTTTTGTGGGGTTTCTGGCATGCCTTTGCTTCAAGAACAGATCAAACCGATAAATCATTATTTTATATTAGAAAAAAACATTATTTTATATTTGTAAATGATAAAAAACAAAGAAAAGCTGGGAGTAAATAAACAAAATCGAAAGATATCTCTACTTGTTTTAGTCGCGCGCTAGTATGGGTAATTTTAAGGCACCCTGTATTCTTTGTATCTACCCTTCCAACAAAGAAACAACAACAGAGAAACAAAGACCCTTATCAAGAAGTAAAAGTTGATTTAAAAAAGAGAAATTGATCAGATGTTCAGAAAGGTTTCTGAGTGAAAATTATGAAAACAGCCGAAAAATCAATCTAAAATGCCTGAATTTCCATTAATTCGAATACGGACGTCTGGAGCCGATCAAAAAATAAGTTTAGTTTGTAAATAGACGTCCGAATCTGATCCAGACGTTCAGATCGGATCCCGGATGTTCGTTTACGAACTTAAGAGTTTAGTTCGTAAACGGAAACGGATCCGATCTGAATTTTAGTTCGTAAACGGACGGATCCTATCTGAACATTCGTTCGTAAACGGACGGACCCGATCTGAACGTTAGTTCGTATACGGACGCAACTTATTTATGTATAGTAAATTAATTTAAACTTGAAATATTATAGAAAAGCTTTAAATTTTCTAATAAATCAATCAAAATCGGAATCCCAGAGACAAAAAAACCCCCTAGAAATTATTTAGGGTCTTAAAAAACACTAAGCTAGCACTTGTCTTCTACACGACTCTGTGCCATGGGTTGTGAGCCTTTAGATTGAGTAACTTTTCTCTAAAATGTGAATATTTTATCAATAGGCTATCTATGATCACCATTAATTATAAATCCCGTTTCAGCAGACGATATCTCAACAAAATCAAAGCCAACCTCTACCATCGACACATCATCTTTCATGCCATCCTTCATCTACTCAATCTCATCGGATTCATTGTGTTTTTATCGTTTTGGAAGTGAAAAAACAAACTCGTAGGATTCACTTTAAGGAAAAAGATAAAGGAAAGAAAAGAGATAAAGAAAAAGATAAAGAAAAGTTCACGCTAGAATGAGTCCTCTTCTTTCTCGAATTTTCCTGCTTTTACCGCCGTTTACTGTCTTTTTGTGGAGTTTTTTTCTATGTATTTGAACGTTTCCAGTTAATTTCCACAGCCCCTCGTCTTCTCGATCTCAAATTTTGCCACTGATTTTGTAATTTACATATCAAAAACGTGCTTATTCCATGGAAGTTAAATTTTCTCGATATGCTATGTCCACATTGTAATAATTTCGCCGTGCGGATTCGCTATGTAGTGCCTCTCAGAGTCAATTGATCTGATCAATGCACTGATCAATGCAATGCTTTAAATAGAAACATTTTTGTGTTTTTATAAGAAAGAGACTTTCCCAAAGAGACACAAAAAAATAAAGAGCCTTTTTGGCTCGCAGTACTCACGATCAGTTATAGGGTAAATGTGATCTACAGATGGCTAAAACGATAATTCATCTAAAAATCTCTAGTAAAGATCTTAGTAAAGATCCTAGTAAAAATGTGCATTCTTTTTTATCCATAAAACAGATATTTGTTAGAAGAAAATGGGGAGCCACTTCAGCTAGGGAAAAACGTACGTTGAAGAGCCTTTTTGTTGACATTTGTTAGCTTTTTTTGCTGTTTATGGCTTATGTCTTTTATGGTGTTTAAATGCTGATGAGTGTATTTGAGAATATTTCCGTTTATTTGCACACTAACCCCATTTCCTCCTCTTGATCTCAAGTTTCGAGTGAGTCTCGTGAAAACTCGTCTACATTAAACACACACACGAACGAGACACGATTAGTACGTAATTAAAAGGGTGATTACGATGTTTAAATGAAGAGAAGACTTTCTGGGGTAACAAAATTATACAAAAATATTAGCTTATCAACAAAATCTTGCACCCGAATTGAAATCAGAACTCTCCTCAACGACCACGCCATAGAATTGCCTCAAATTTTTACAGAAATTTGTTACAGCGTATGCCCTATATACAAAATCGATCAAACATTTCAAGAGTTCCCAAATTATGCAGCATTCTTTATTGAAATTCATTTTTAATCGTGTTGCTCGCCGATGCTTCCACTAGAGGGTGTTCCTCGCGAGAAATGCGTTTTTTAAAACGCACACTTGTAAAAAAGTTACCGTACTTTTGGCAAAAATCACGAGCGCCGCCTTATATACGATTCCTTTTAAAGATATTCAGCTGTTTAACTGATTTTGTGGGAAATCCCCTTCCAAAGTAAAGATATTGAGGATTACTCGTAGTTACTCGACGAAAAAGCTTCGATTAATCGAGTAAGAATTACTCATGCAAATTTTACTCGAGTAATTACTTACTCACAAGAAACACACTCTAGCTTCCACCCTCGGCCGAGTTGTAGTGCAATTTTGTGCAAAATGAATGGTAGAGCCTTTCTGAAACTTCTGTCGCAGCGAAATTATAAAAATTTTCTTGCAACAGCCAATCCTGGACTTGTAAAGAAACGATAAACGCGATTATTTTCTTCAAAATTTTGATAAGAGAAGCAATAAAGTCAATTTCACCTTGCTCAAATGAAAGCAAAACGCCTAACTTTTAGATGGAATCTTTTGTATGAAACCTTCAAATGTTCAATATGTGTGAAAATTGAAAATATCATTCTCTATGTTCTTTGTTTAGCTAGAAAATGATTAATGTGATGATTGCCAAACTGGGATATGGCGGATTCTGGAAATATTTTGATTTTACAATAAATGAAAGATTTAGAATATTTACAAACAGAATATTTACAGTCATATTAACGAGAATAGAACATTTACAGTTACATGTATTACCTAGAAATACACCGCGATTAGCCACTGTCCTACTTGATTGAATCGAAAGGTTCAATCAGCCAATGACTTGCTTGCTCACGAGGAAAACTATGCATATAGTATCAAAAACAGCATGAAGAGTTGAGGATTTTCTTCCCTACACTTTCCTTTTTATTGTACAGGCAGTAAGAAAGGGTTGAATTAGATGGAAAATTCTCGGGAAATTTGGAAAAATTGCAAACATTAACCAAACTAAACCAAATTTGGTTAATTTCGAACCGATTTCCATGTGAATTTACCCCTAACCTGCAACATAACTGGTTCATATTTGCACTAATGCCTTTTTATCCTTTTTATTCTCAAATTGAAAGTTAAAATTCAATTTTATTCTGCATAGTGTGCTGCCGTCACAGCTATCTTTCTCGATTGTTGCTGGATTCGTCGTTCTTTTCTCTTTCGGAGCAGCAGGACACTGATTGTGCTAGAAAAAAGCGCCAAATTTTTCACAGAATAGTGTGAATGAAACCTCGATATGAGATGAAAAAGAAGACATTGATTGAAATGGATCAAATCCTCGAGAACATCGACCAGATTCCATCCAACGAAGAGAAGCGTGTGAATCTCGATTAGATAACCAAAGAAATAGTTTACAATGATAAGCGACGAATTGGTGGTCATCTAAACAAAAGAGAGGAGGGAAATAGACGTTGTTGGATTGGATCAGTTAAAATTTAATTAGATCGGATAGGATCGGGTCGGATCTGATCTGATCGGATTGGATCGGACCAGATCGGATCGAATCGGATCAGATCGGATCAGATCGGACCAGAGCGGATTAGATCGGATCGGATCAGATTGGATTAGTTCGGATTAGATCGGATTAGCTCGAATCAGATCGAATCAGATCATCGGCTTAAATCAGATCAGGTTGAAATCATACAATTTCCATTGAAAGCCAAACGTTTGTGTATAACATTTGTATGCTATTGCAATCCATCAAAATGTATGCTTTAATTCAATAGTGTTAATCAAATCAAATCGAATCCAAGTTGATTTGTTGGATCGGTGACAGGGGGAAAATGAAAAAAACGCCTTTAGAATGGTCAGAAAAAACAAGAAATCTCATCTTTCAAATGTGATTTGACAAACGAATCAGATTCATTTTCTTGTTTTAATTTTGAACAATTGTTTTCTAGCGCATCTCCTCCGGAATTTAGCGAAATCCAAATCCGGATCTCAGCTCGGATCCTCATAGCTCTGATCGCCACTTACTTGAAGCATTAACAGAGTTTCGGCTCGTGAAACCGCACCCATTTTGGCATCCTTTTTCCGCTGAAAACCTAAACGTTTCTAGAAGACAGAAATTTGATACCCTTTTCATGTTTCGCCATGTCACAAAATCTAGGCCACATGTCAGAAAATACGGAATGGCGGCAATGAAATCGTGCAACCAATAGTAGTAATCGCCTCGACGGTCGGCATCGGTGGCAAACAAAAGACAAAATCCCTCCATTCCGATTCGCAACAAATACGGGACGGCCAACTGGGCAAATGGCCACTTTTTCGTCGATTTGAAATGTCGGCCGTTAAAAGCGATTGCGAAAAAGCGACTAGAATTTGTCTTGACTGATGATATGGACTAAAAATTAGCCATGAGCCGGCCCGGCCCAGTTCTAGTCGGGACATTTTGAGTCAAAACCGGACCGGACAGGATTTTTAGGCTTTTCGGTCGAGCCAGACCCAGCTCGAACTTTCGGAGCAAGCCGGAATGGACTCAAAAAGCATCTCTGCCATGAACTGGTTGCTATTTGGTTGGATAAATGTGATCCAATCCAGTAAATTGAGCTTATCCGATTGGGTTCAGACCCTTCAAACAAATCAGCGTTTTCCGAAAGTCATTGTTTTTTTGCGCTTCCTCAGATAGTTGCAAAACTTTCTGGCAAACCGGCAATCAAGGGCAAAACTGGGATTGTAACCGATCTGAACTCATCCGATCCGGTATCCTTTTTTCGCGCTCACCTCAATGAGATCAAAGACTGGCAGTATTGAGCCATATCAGTGAGATTATATTGATAAGAGAGTGCATAAATCAAGGCGAAAGTCGAATTGAGGGCAGCTGAACAGCTGAAAATGTTCTTCATTAGTCTATAGACACCAGATTTTCCCAATTTTTTTTTCGGTCTTCCCATTTTCCGTATTTGGGTATTTTTCTGGATTTTTAGAATGTTTCTGGGTCATATCTGGACCACGCTTTTAGAGTTTTAAAACCTGGATGCAGATTCGGGTAAAAAAACCACAGTATCCGATGATTTTAGATGAATTTTAAATGGACCAGTAAATTTTAGATGGATAACCAGGATCCGGATAGTCTTTGGAGATTAGAATGCGATCCGACAATCCGATCGGATCCGATTTAGTCAAGCACGTAGGCTAAATGCATCTAGTGCCACTAAATTCTCGATTTTCACAAGTGAACTCGATTGGTGTTGATTTAAAAAGTGCAATTCGGTGCACCAAATGCATTTGGTTTACCGGGTTAGCGAAATTTTGGATTTGATTGTATTGTCGGAGAGCATTTGTACCGCCCGTTTGGTCCGGAACAGGCTTGTCAAATTTTCCGTTTCCGTTTTTTCCATTTTTGCGGCAAATTACCGTTTTTCCACGAAAGAAAAGTGACGGAAAAGGGAAAAAAAACGAAAAAAACAGGAACTGAGTGGCGGAATGAAAATCCAGGCTGTCTCAAAATTATCGCGACAACTTTTTGGAAAAGTAATTGTCGCTACGCTCGTCGCTTAATTTATTTCAAAGTATATTTACAATCTATAGACTTTACAATTACAATGTAGAAAATCGTCAGAAATGGCAGCGCGTCGGATAGGTATCGACTTGTGTTTATTCAAAGACTTATTAAATGAGTTGCATAAATTTGATTGGGAAGTTTTTAGTAGATAAATGTAGCCGAGATTAAGGGCTACAATTCTCTCTATAACATTTGACACTTTGAAATAAATTAAGCGTGCGACAACTACCTTTCTGAAAAGTTGTTTGGATAATTTTGAGACAGTCATGTAACATATTTCCAAATTTGCATATAATTTCCTAATTCTTATTTCTTTACAAACCGTATCCCGATTACTTTTTCTTACAGAAAGCAAAATTTTCTTTTCTAAATTAACTTCCACAGTCAGTTTCTCATTTTATTGTTCATTTTCTAAAGTTTTATTGTTACAGCAAAATTAAAGTTGATTCTTATTGTTAACCATTGTTCTAGAGTTGTTATAGCTTGTTTTTTGACTAGTTATTGTTGATTTGCTTGTTAACTTTTGTTTAACACATATTAAATTAACTTTTTCCGTTTTTTGCCCGTATTCTTTCGTTGACAAGCTTGGTCAGGACCGAAGGCCGGATCATTTTTGACGCAATTAAGTCACACCGCATCGATTCGATCATCTGAAGCTCGCAAAAAGCCGATAAAGCAAAAAGTAGGGCATAAACGAATTTGTTTGCGTTCTCAGCCGCAGCCAGCAATCTGGAACCGCTTTGGTTGGAATTTGGTCTAAAAATACCGAATCGGAAATGTCAAATGATCGTTTGTAGCGGCAACCCAGGCAGCCAACGTCGTTGTCACCAGGCTCAATAAAAGAACCTACAAATATTGTAATAAAATTTCATTGCTATGTATTGTAATGGAATATCATTGCTTTTCTTGCGGTTTCAATGGGGTTTCTTGTTGAAAGTTTGCGCAAAAAGTGCTCTACCAAGTCAGAATCTCGGATATACCATTAGGGTCATTTTTGTGACAACAACAAAGGCTCTCTCGGTCGTTTTGCTGTCAATGTCCGCATTTTTTGCCATTCCATCTGTCGCAAAACCAAAGCCAGCACCCAAAGCGAGGTATGTAACTGAAAACGGGTGGAAATTGATAGCAGACATGGTTTCCAGAATATCAATTTGCCGGTTCGAAGGAAAATGACGAATCCACTCAGGAATCTTAGTTTACAAAAGACGTTCTTTTCACGTTTTTAAAACCATTCAATCTAGGATGAATCAGGAAAAAAAGAAAGTTGATAATCATTGGTAGGCATTTTTTTGACTATGGTGACTATCAGGGTGTAAAGAAAACAATGCGCGCTTCGAATTTCCTGGTGCTGGCAATTTGCCAATTGTTTAACTACGTAATGCTTTCAACAAAAATAAACGACACACTCACTAGATTTATAATCATTTCTTTTTCACTTTGCTAGTCGTTTTTAATGCAAAAAATGAATGACAACAAGCTACCATTCTCTACGTTTTCAAACAAGGAAAAACCCCTACTGAATCTCACCGTTCACTTGTCAAAGCTTTTGGAAATGATTGTATCAATGAAAGTCAGTGTCGTCGATGGTTTCAGCGTTTTCGACGACGACTTTTCGACTCCACGATGCTGGGCCTTCACGATGAAAGCCTCCACGATAAGCCAAATACCGGACGCTATCTAGAAATCTCAAATGACGATTTGCTCAATGCTATTCAAATTGATCCCACATTTACGCTTCAGGAATTAACAGAATTTTTTGACGTTAGTCATATGACAATTGAAAACCATTTGCATCAACTTGGGATCAATTTGGGAAAAAGGTTCGACGTAGAAAATGGGCTCCACATGAGCTGACCCAAGGTGACAAAATAGCTCGTGTGCTCCAGCTTGCTTCAAAAGTGCAAAAAACACGATTTTATTTGCAGAATCTTGACTCCTGATGAGACTTCGATCAGTTATGACAATGTCATTCAAAAAACCAATGGCTCTTTGCTGGTGAAGCCTCGCAAACCACCCCCATGCCCGATATCCATGGATCGAAGACCATGCTTTGTTTATGGTGGAATTCGGAAGCATTGGTGCATTATGAAGTGCTAAAAGCTAGACAAACAGCTCATGTAGACCTTTACTCGAAACAACTAGTAAGAGTTAACAAAGAAATTGGGGATCAAACCTTCAAGAGTCCGACTTCTGCACCGTCAGATTATTTTTTATTTCGGACGTTGAAACACTTCTTTGGAGATGTACAGTTTGGTAATCATGCTTAAGTCATAAATAAGCTCCACGCCTATTTTACCTCCAAGAAATCGTTCGAATTCGACGATGCGCAAAATCTGTGCAAAAGATTGGAAGTCATCGATAAAAATGAAGAATATCTTACCGATTTGCTTGTTTGAGTTTTTTCAATAAATAGTTTTGATCAAAAGACGCGCATTATTTCCTTTACACCCTGATAGTAATTCAATAATAATTCCATTGAAGAACAAGAAAAAAAATCCAACCTATTAGAATTGTGGATAAAAGAGCAACAATTAGCACATCGTGCCATTTCTTCCAAAATTCATAAATAACCATCAATAACATTGAAATTGGAAAATGTGGAGAAAAGACCGAACAGGCGCAACTGGAAAAATAAGAACTTTACTGTTTGAAAAGTCAATACATTAATTATTGGTTTGCTCTGGTGAAAAATACTCATAAATCTTGAGAGAGTAAAGGTTGACTTCTTTTCCTTTTTTGTTTCTTCTGACTCAGGTAAGCTGAGGAAACAACTTTTTGAAACCTATTATTAGTTTTTTTATTTGTACTTTGAGATCTTTCTAATTTATCAAGAAGAACGCTTGTATAGCTGTATAACTTGATTGGTTTTTCGTTAACCTCTTTAGTGAGAATAGTTTTGTTTTTTGAACAATCTTATTCAGTGGACGGAGAATCGACTTTTAATTTGAAAACTAAGGAAAATAACAGGTTATCTAATAAAAATTATATTCTTTAATTTTTATCAAATGAATAAATCATTTGCTGATTGTCAAATTCGAAATTCATGATGAAACTTTTTGGATTCTTTTTATGTAAAGAGTTAGTTGCTATCAGCTCCTTTCAGAAGGTTGTATGGAGAAACATTGCATTGAAAAATTCTAAAATAAATCCACAAAGTCACTTCGACCTCGAAAAACTCTCGGAAAGATTTCAATTGGTGAAAAGAAACAAAGAAAAGGAAGAAAACGGAAAACGGAAAAAAAGAGGAAAAGAGGAGAACCGACTGAACGATCACTGAACGACTGAACGAAGTGTAAAAATGCTGTTTCCCAGTCGATTTCTCAGTCTATTTCTCTGAAGAGCATCGTCAAATTCAAACGATTCCTTGGAGGTAAAATAGGTGTGGAGCTTATTTATGACTTGAGCATGATTATCAAACTGTACATCTCCAAAGAAGTGTTTCAAAGTCCGAAATAAAAAATAATCTGACGGTGCAAGATCAGGGGAGTAAGGTGCGTAAGGCAAAAATGGAAATCGGGTATGGGGGCGGTTTGCGAGGCTTCACCAGCAAAGAGCCATTGATTTTGTTGAATGACATTGTCATAACTGATCCAGGTCTAAACATTATAACCTAAAAAGTTTCACTTTTCCCCTCACCGCTAACTCTTGGATTCCAATAGCCAGTCCATTGGCTTTGGTCACCACAAAAATCACTTCAGCTCATTATTTCTTTTGACATCGAAAGATTTGCGTAGAAATTCGTGAGTACATTGTAGATCTAGAAAGAAAAACGGTTAACTTTAAAGATAACCAAACTAAATCAATGTCGACTTGTTGGTAAAATTTCGCAACAATCATAAACATGAGCTCCGCTCGAGCATTCATTGAACATAATGAATAATCGGTTGGGACACACTGTGGGAGTTGGGCTAAACTTTCTCAACAGAATTTCTCGATTTTTCAACAGAATCTAACAGATTTTCAATGGAATTACTTGTTTTCTTCGAGTTCTAACAGAATCCTTACAATGTAATGCACTAGACTAGTACAAGTCTACGAAATCCTTCCATAAACTTAAAAAGCTGTTGCTCTAGTACTTGAACTTACCTAAACCACTCCAAAAACAGAATATCAAGGATATTCAAAAGCTTCGTAACATGATCTACAAAAGAGGCAAGACTAAAAGCTAATAAAACTCAAAAAGGTTGATTCAAGTAGTCTCCGTTTAGCAATTCAAACTTTTGCGAAAAGATAAGAAAATTTGGAGGTCAGAGTTCAACTGATCTCAGGAGATTTTTGTAAATTTAAGCCATTGGGTCAGTTTTTCTTATGTTAAAATGAGATTTCAGTGAAAATTTGAGTGTGACATTGATTTTATAGAGTATTACATGCTGGTTTCATATTTATTTCCAAATACTTGAATTGTTATTCCGTCAAAATGGCTGCCAATCATCAGGAGCAATCGGACGATCCCCGGGAGCACCAGTCACACTAAAATTTTGGTTTAATAACTTACAAGTGAAGGACGACCTAGAACTTATAAAACCTAGAACCTAGAAGTAAGAAAGTTCAATTTGAACAACTTGATTTCTTTCAACAACTCACTCGCAAACGAGATCCCACAAAGCTTGCACAATTTCTTTTCTGCTCATTGTCGGTGTCGTCAAATTAATCTCTTTCATCTTTGTCCAAATCGAATTTGGATCAACCTGAAAAGAAGTTTTTGATTCGTTTTGTTACAGCAGTTTTTTGATTCGTTCTTACATCAGCATCCTTCTGTGAGAATTTATAAGGCAAGAGGTAATGATCAAAGCTGTAGAGATTTTTGTCGGGAAACTGTGTTGCTTCATCTCCATATCTAAATTTTTGTATTGGACAATGTCTGATTTCTATTTGACATGCAGTAGCGGTTTAGCGGTAAAATGATTTAGACGGTGCTAGACGGTGCTATTTTTTTTCTCTTTGTGGGATATCGACTTACACTCAAAAATAAAATTGTACCTTGATCAGTTTTTAATATTATGAGGTTAAAAATGACCAAAAGACAGTAAAAAATGGCCTATTTTGAACTTTTTGGGGAGCTGTGTGCCGTGCCAGAGCACATTTTGAAAAACACTTTTTTAGACTGAAAAATACATGGAAAATCCGAATTTGAGGTCAGATTTGCTCAAAAATGCCTAGTTAAAAAGTTGAAAAATTTGACCTTGCGCCGAACTCAAGAGAATCAAATTTTTTATGGTAAGATAAGAAAGAAGAGCTTTTAAGATAAGAGCCATTAGGCTGACCGATAAGTTCGTAGAATTTTTTATCAACTTTTAAAGTGTAATTTCTCAAAAGCCCTACCATCAATTTTTCTAAAATTTTGCAGCAAGTAAAATCTATCATTGAAAAAGTTTTTACCAAAATATGAGAGCAATCTAGCAGCCAGATTTTAAGATTTCATTAGTTGATTGATTCCGGGCGCCTTCTGAGGGAACTGTCTTCAATCGAACTTTTCATAGTCCAGTTTCTAGATAAGCTGGTGGACTCAAAAACAAAATGAAGTAAACAAAACTGAAATTTTTTCTGGTGGAACCGTTTTTCATATAAAGCTTTAGCTTTAAAAAACGCACCTTTCTTTGAGTTGTGAGTGTAAAAATCGAAAACTCAAAAAAAGCAAAATCTTTAAATGAGCTTCTTTATTGAAAGTGTGTGGCTAAAAGCAAACATAATAAAATTCTGAAATGGGTTTGTGGTCACCGATTTATTTGGTATGTTGTTTTTACGCTAACAGATTTTAAGTTACTGTTGAAAATCACTTTTTCAATTTTTATAAAAGTAACACGGGAAAGGAAAACTTATCTTTTGCCAAAAAATTTTCTACCTGGACTATGAAAAGTTCGATTGAAGACAGTTTCCTCAAAAGGCGCCAGGAATCAATCAACTAATGAAATCTTCAAATCTGGCCGCTAGATTGCTCTCATATTTTGGCAAAAACTTTTTCAATGATGGGTTTTGCTTCTGCAAAATTTTCAGAAAGATTGATGGTGGGGTTTTTGAGAAATTACACTTTAAAAGTTAATAAAAAATTCTTTGGACTAGTCAGCCAGCCTAATAGATAAGAACTTTTAAGCTCATAATATTAGAAACTGATCAAGATACAGCTTTGTTTTTGAGTGTAAGTCGATATCCCACAAAGAGAAAAAATACCACCGTCTACCACCGTCTAAATCCTTTTGAGCGCTACTGTACATAATTTATGAGATAAGAGCCAGTTTTAGAGTAAAAGATCACTTTTTCCGTAAAAAAAACTTACTTTGGTGTCAATGGCAGCCAAATCATGACTTGTTTTGCAGCCACATTATAGTCAGTTTGATTCACTCCTCTTCGACAAGCACATTCCTTCTGTTCCATGAAAAGGCTTGTTCTGTTGACGATTCTAAAAATTCATCATGAAAACCGACTCTAGTAAACCAAGTGATTCTAAAAAAGAATTTTAAATAAAAGAGGCGCTCACTTTTGCATTGAAGTAACATTTAATGAGCCAGGCTTGAAGCCATTGACTGTACTGGCAATTAGAGCTGATTGATCTTGACAGAATTGTGGGAGAACTCCTTTGTATGTATCTTTGTAATATGTTTGACCTAAAATTGAAAATAATTCCTAAAAATTAGCAAATAACTAATTGTAAGAGAAACTTTTACTCATTTTATTTTGCCTTGAATCTCCCAATGATTTTATTATTTTCTTACCTGTAACCCTTGTATTCCATTGATTCCATTGACTTTCATCTGTGCAAAAATCAGACGCATTCATCATATTTTTTGACATTGAGAGATTTGCGTAGAAATTGGTGAGTACATCGTACACCTATATTGTTTCATATCGTATTTCTTCTTTAGCTTTATTTTTGGGGTCAAACATTGAAGTCAACTCACCAAAGTAATATCTTGTTGATCAGAGAAACATCCGTCAATCATGAACATGATATCCATACGGGCATTTTGTGTGCACAATGGGAATGTTGATGGGGATTGCGGTGGATTTTGTGGTGTTTTTGTAGCTTAAAATGAAGTGAGTTTTAAGACTGAATTGAAGGGTTAGAGCGTAAAGCAAACATTGGTACGAGGCTAGAACGCATGAAATAATCTACAGCTGCTGTAGAAGCACAACTGTAATAGTTTCTGGTCTATTATCCCTTCTCCATAGTACAAGAATCATTGTTCTGTTACTTTAATAGCCTCGCTTCGTACGCAATCATTTTATTCACTATATACAGCAGATCCATGGATGATATCAATTGCTAGTCACCTCATTTTTCTATTATTAGACACAAAATTCAATAGTGCTTTTAGGTTTGAGTTCAAATCGGCTGGTTCTGGTACATAGAGCTGGTTCGAAAACTCATATCGCATTGTAAACTCACCCACAACACTCCAAAAACAGAATATCGAGCATATCCAAAAACTTCTTAACATAATCGATAGAAGAGCAAGACTGAAAGGCTAATAAAACCCAAAAGATCGATTCAGAAAGAAGTCTTCGTTTTTTTTCAAACTTCTGAGAAAAGATAAGAAAATTTGCAGGACAGAGCACAACTGATCACAAGAGATTTTTTTGAATTTAAGCCATTGGGTCAGTTTTTCTTATCTTAAAATGAGATTTCAGTGAAAATTAGAGTGTGTCATTGATTTGCTATGAAAAATCCAACAATTTGTGTAAATGGAAAATTTCTTTTTCCACAAGATTTCACTGGGCTTTAGGCTTTTCTTCTTTCGGCAAGCTACTGGAATTGCAAAGACCTATAGAAGCATAGGCATTAATTTTGAACAAGTCAAGTTTGTTGAATTCGTAAAATTCGTATAAAATCTGGTACGTCCTTTATTTTAGTCTCATTCGTCAAATTTAAAGTTTTGCCAATAGTTGAATTTTTTCAAAATTGACATTTAATCGAATAATTTCTCATACTTTATGCAAATTTTGGTAGGGGTTAAAGTGGATAGTGCTAGCTGTGAGCAAAAGGCAAAGATTAGTCGTTTGTTTCAAGTCGAAGTCGATAAGGATCAGTAAACGTAGAAATCATTTTTGGAAAAGTAAGCAACCATGCTGGTTTCATATTTATTTGCAAACGCTTGAATTATTGTGTCAAAATGACTGCCAATCATCAGGAGCAATCGGACGATCTCCGGGAGCACCAGTCACACTAAAATTTTGATCTAGTAACTTCCAAGGGAAAGTCAACTGGGTGTGGTGGCCAAATGACAGGCCAAATGATCATTCGAGGCAGGATTTCACGCTGAGTTCGGTGATGTATTTGCTTTTTACAAAATGACATTCTACCAAATGTTATAGGCGTTTAAAGTTTGGTAAGGATTTTCAAAAATCAAACATCGGCACTACAACCCCATTTCGCTGTCGAAAGCGCCAGTGCGGCGGTGGCCGAGTGATAGTGAGTTAGGCTACAAAGCGGCGGCTCTCTGTTTCGAGTACATTTACTGATTTTCTTTTAGCTTTTTTAAGATTTTAATGGGGTTTTATTGCGATGTTTGATTTCTGAAACTCCCTACAAAACTTTAAACTCTTATAACTTTTGGCAGAATGTCATTTTGTAAAAAGCAAATACATGACCGAACTCAGCGTGAAATCCTGCCTCGAATGATCATTTGGCCTGTCATTTGGCCACCACACTCAGTTGATCTTTCCTTGTTAGAACTGTAATATGAGATCTGACTGTCAAAGATATCTAGGATCTGACTATGAGTCTGTAATATTTTATTATAAAACCTAGAAGCTAATCGTGTAAGAAAGCTCAATTTGAACCACTCACTCGCAAACGAGATCCCACAAAGCTTGCACAATTTCTTTTCCGCTCATTGTCGGTGTCGTCAAATTAATCTCTTTCATCTTTGTCCAAATCGAATTTGGATCAACCTGAAAAGAAGTTTTTGATTCGTTTTGTTATTCTTACATCAGCCTCTTTCTGTGAAAATTTATAAGGCAAGAGGTAATGATCAAAGCTGTAGAGATTCTGGTCGGGAAACTGTGTTGCTTCATCTCCATAGCTAAATTTTGATCGCTCTTCATTTTCTTTTTTTTTCAAGGAAATTACTTCGGCTTTAACGGTAACCAAATCATTATTTGACGAGCAGCCACATTGTAATCGGGATTCGATCCGTTTGTCCATCTTCGACAGCCACATTTTTGTTCCATAAAAATGCTCGTTCTGCTGACGATTCTGCAAATTTGTTGTTTCCATAATATCGCCAACTATTCAAAGGATTTCGGGCAAAGAAAACCTCTTAATTGACTCTTGTAGGAATGCAAGGCTTACATTTTTAGTTGCCTATCGTAACTCACTTTTGCATCGAAGTGACTGTGAGCGTGCTAGGCTTTAAGCCATTGACTGTACTGGCAACTTGGGCTGATTGATCTTGACAGAATTGTGGGACAACTCCTTTGTATGTATCTTTGTAATATGTTTGACCTAAAATTGAAAATTCCTAAGAATCAACAAATAACTAATTGTAAGAGCCACTTTTACCCAATTTTTTTTGCCTTGAATCTCCCAATGATTTTATTATTTCCTTACCTGTAACTCTTGTATTCCATTGATTCCATTGACTTTCATCTGTGCAAAAATCATTTCCATTTCTAATTTCCTTTGTCATTGCAAGAGCCGAGTAGAAATTTGTGAGTACATTGTACACCTAAATTGCTTTATATGGTATTTCTTCTTTAGCTTTATTTTTGGGGTCAAACACTGAAACCAACTCACCAAAGTAATATCTTGTTGATCAGGAAAACATCCGTCAATCATGAACATAATATCAAGTCGAGCATTTTGTGTGCAGAATGGGAATGTTGGTGGTGTTGTTGTAGCTTAAAAATAAAGTGAGCTTTAAGACTGAATTCAAGGGTTACAGGTGTTTTCATCAGGATTTTCTTGATTACAAACAAAGGAAAACGTTCTTGTAGTCCACGTTGTCTGCTCGGAAAGCTGAAGGAATCAAATAAATGTTGAATTGTTTTAAAATAAACCTGTAGTTGATAAATTTTCCCTGGCTGAGAGCATACCCAATTGTAGCTAAAATAATATAAAAAGGCCAAATCACCGCCACATTCATTTTTGATAATAGAACCGCTAGTTTGAAGTGGTTTCTGAAATTTCATTGATTGCCACATCACAGACTCAAAGTTTTACATAATCTTTGGCACTGTTTGTTTGAAGAGAAATTGTGAATGTTTTTGAATGTGAATGTTCCCTTTTAGAAGATCAAGATTGGTAGAGAAAACGGGAAATTGAATAGGAGTACCTAAACATTTATTAATTTGGATTTGAATACTGTATTGAATTAGAAAAAAGCTCACTGATATGATTTTTTCAATTTAAAACCAACCAAAGATTGGTCCATACATATCACCATCTTTTTGGTCTTTATCCCCTGAAGCAAACGCAACGATGGAACCGTCGTGTAGACTCGAATCGATAAATGTTCTCCATTCAAAATTGAATAATCAATTTTCATGTAATATTTCACTGAAATTATTAACTGGTTACACAATTCCAATCATCGCTTTGATCTATGAAGAACACAAGAAATTACTGGAAGTTTTTACTGGTCCAAACTGGAAAATTTGCATCTGTTTGTCACTTGGGGAATACGGGAACTTTTCTAGATCATTTCCGTTGATTACAACATCCGCTAAAAAATTTCTTGTAATGATCCATTTGATTGAAAAGCGACTGACGAATTGTCGTAGCCGAACTATCAAGAACCACATAAATCGTTTCATTGATTTGTAATTGTAATGGAGTAACGATTTCAATCATGTCACTCAATTCTTGACTGTACACCAATTCTTTTCCGAAAAACCAATCAAAGTTGTTGATGAACTGGAATGTTTAGTTAGTAAAAGCAAAGTATTGTTTTAAACACTTACCTTTGCCGCTTCGTGAGCATTATCAAAAAGATGTGAGAGTCCGCCAGTGCCAGCAGCTAATTTCTTTGAGGCTTCATCAAATTCCTTAGCGGAAGTAGGAGTGGGATTATCGTCTTTAATCCACAACCAATGAAGCTAAAGCAGATTTCTGCAAAAGTGACAGCTCAAAATTATCGTAAATTTAGCTTTCAATAACAAAACTTTGAATAATGAACTTTAATGAATGAGTAATGAGTAATGAGAAATGAACTTTCAACGCAAATCTTCCCGCACCCTGATCCTTTGCTTGTAGAGATAGCCAAACATATCGAATTCGGGAGTTGTCTCGGAAAATTCAAACACACTCGATGATAATCCAACCACAAACAAATCATAGAATAATGCATGACGATTGATTTCTGTTGCATTTTTGATGGCAGTGTAGAAATTGGTTTTTGCCGATGGGTTTTTTGAGTCAATACTATTCAAAATATTGCCCATTACAGTGCCAATGTCCCCAGTAGCAGAAAACTAAAATTTATTGGTTTTAAAATAGTCTCCTCAATTTGAATCAATTTCTCAACAATATCAATACAGTCGACTCTCTCTATAACGGGAAATTCTATATAACGGAATGGAACTTTAGTCCGGGCCGACGTTAAGCTATATATAACGGCACTCTAGATAACGGAAAAAATTTTTGGTCACTTCCATTCCGTTATAGAGAGAGTCGACTGTAGTTCGGCTTTTTACCGTATATCCTTTGTCTCCATTGACAACATTTGTGATACCAATAGTATCAGGCGTGAAAATGGTAACCAACTTCTCGAAAATATTACCCCGGTCTAAAAATTAATTTGCTCTAATGTTAGTTTGATTTCCCACTTATCAAGAAATCGTTTGTGATTTTTGGATTGTCCTCGATAACAAATCCAATGATCTTATTTCCCTTATTCACATATTTTGTTCGTTCCGGTTCCGGTGGTTCAAAGCATTCTGAAAGCACCCTTTTTTGGCATTCAAAATAAACGCAATTAGCTTATCTCAAGAGTCTATCATTCCAAAATATTATCCTCGACATCTAATACTTACTGGTCGTATCCGCTCTACTTTTTGGTGTCCATTTCATGGTAAGTTCAGTTGTTGCGAGTTAAATACAACATTGCCAACATTGCTCACATTCATTTTAAATCAGCTTATCTTTAGACATTAGGACATCAATCTGTATTGCACAGTACTAAAACTATGAAAACTTACGGTTTACCAAGTTATTTGGTGGTATCATGTGATAGGCTGTGGTAAGCCCGAGGGCCCACCCCAAAAGTACCCACAACATATCTAGGATTCGGAAATGAAGAACTATTACTATTGTTAATCAAAGGACAATCTTTGGGGCGATTCTTTTAAAAAATCAAAAAAATGGGAAGATAAAGAGCACTGTGACTTCAACCAGTTCACAGTTTTTTCGAGAATTTCTTCTCTCAAAGAAGTGAGTTGCTGAAAAGCTGATATTGAAAAATTACAAATCACCAGAAGTCAAAGAAAAAAAGGGTTTCGACTTTTTATCTCTTGATGGGAAATTGAAAAGAGTTTAGAAACAATACCCATCCCATCTCAGTCCTTTCCATTCATTCCATTCACAAATCTCTCTCCCCATTCCCCCTAATCTTTGTAGGCGATATCACTTCAATATTGTCTCTTTTCTTCTTCTCTTTCTCTCTTCTCAATTTTCAGTCCCCAGTCAATTTCCCTCCAAATCATTTCACGGTTTCTTCCGGAAATTCGAGTCGAGTCGATTATCGATTAAAATGGGTAGAAATAAGTGATAGTAGCGTGTGGAGATGGAGAACACACAAGACATGAAAACCTAAAAAAAGCAAAATCACCAATCAGAATCAGCAAATGTACTCAAACCAGAGAGCCGCCGCCTTGTAGCCTAACTCACTACCACTCGGCCACCGCCGCAGGAAATGGGGTTGTATCCTCGTCTTGAAGTGATTTGAGTGATCTGATAGTCGACACATCAATACTCTTACAATTTGATGAAGAATACGATTGACAATCCGTAAAAGCTGAATAAATTGAATCAGCAGGAATGTAATTATCTTCAGCTGTATAGGAATCATTGTTATTAACAAGAATCGTTCTTATCAAAGTTACTAGACAAGTAATCAGTTGTGGAACCGGAATCAGTTGTGCAACCGGAATCTGTTGGAGAACAATGGTTTGAATTCGATGTGGTACAACAATCGTCAGACATGATTTAGAATGTAATTTAGCTTGAAAATATAATTTAGCTAATAAATTAGGTTTAGGAAGTTTTCTTTTGAGTGAATGGAACACTTTATTGACTCAGCGGGACACTGACCAAAGATTGGATGGGGAAAGATGAGAAAAGAAACTGGAACAGGTCAAAAAACTGGACCTATCTTGACTTTTCCGTGAACATGACGTGATTGAGAATTCCTTCTGGATTGGATGCAAAAAAGGGATTTCGAAACTTTATTTAACCATTAAAAACTTTCAGATTTGTTCCATTGATAAAGCACTACAAATTCTCAATCCCAAAACGACAAAAACACAATGAAACCAGCGATGTTGAGAGATTGGAAAAAGATTTGAAAAAGGAAATGGCGATGGCGGAGAAAGCCTTTCAAAGAGTCGATTGAAAGTCGAAATCTAAAATGTAATTTTTTTCTATTTTTGAAATTCCTTTGCCTGATTTTGTTGATTCCCGTCCTTTCTTCAACCATTGAATGATTTTTCGTTGATCGATTGGGAACTGAATACAGAACGATGACGATACAAGCACCCGAAGTGATCCCAACACAAGCAACCACATAAATACCTGAAAATGACGCTGACAAATCAATTGATTTGGGCTAATGCTCAAATTATAAGGGAAAGGCAACAGTAGGATGTGATCAAATGAGATAATCAAGAAACCATTCGACGTAGAATTTCAAACAGATTCTAAAACTGCTTTCCTTTTTTGCAAAATGGCTTTCTATAAAAAGTTATACGTCTTTTTAAGTTAAAAATGAGATAATTTGGAGCCGAATAGGGATGCCTTTATAACGGTTCTCTCACGGATCACACATTCTGTTTTTGGAGTGTTGTGGGTGAGTTTACAATGCGATATGGGTTTTCGAATCAGCTCTATGTACCAGATCCAGTTACGAATCTCATTACGAATCTCAAATCTAGCACTACCAGCCAATTTGAACTCAAACCTAAAAGCCCTATTGAATTTTGTGTCTAATAATAGAACAATGAGGTGACTAGCAATTGATGTCATCCATGGATCTGCTGTATAGTGAATAAAACGATTGCGTACGAAGCGAGGCTTAGATTTTTCGCTTGAGTTCGATTCCTTTTTGGGCAAAACTTTTGTTTTCCGTTTTGATGTTTAAATACCTGAATTTTATCTGGCCTTAAAACTATTAAAACTAAAACTTAAAGGCTCGTAGCATTCTTTCGATAGTTCCTATCAATTGAATCTCTTCACGACGTTCGTCGTTCGTCGTTCGAACAGTGCTCGACTGCATGTGTGTACACAGAGAACAGTGGATTCGGAAACAGCACGAAGCTCTGCATCGAATAGTCTATGGCTTATCTCATTTGTCCACATCCTATGGTTGCCTTTCCCTTGTTAATTCAATCTAGTCTATTATCAGGCTTAAAAACGGTTTTCCCTGACAGTTTAGCCCAACAAAGGTCGGGCTAGGCCAGAAGACAAAAAACTCTTGACCTTGCTTCTGTCTACTATTGACCTCAATGAATAGATAGATTTTCCAGTTTTTCCTAAGCGAGTTCCTTATGGACTAAATGAAAGGCTGTTAAAATACTCATGGGTATAACTTTTTGATAAGCAATTTCTGTGTTCTCGCTGTGTTTACCCAATAGTGGAAAAGCGGCCGTTTTCGGGATTGCTGTTGAGAGCATATCCAAGAGAAGAGTCATCGAGACGAGACTCGTTAAACCGATACTCAACTGGAAAGTAACACGCTTTATCGAAAGGATAACCGATTTATTATTAGCTTGAATACTAATTGCCATTCATTTACGATGCTGTAGCTGTACCTTAACCAATTGCTCCTCTTTGTGATTCGGTGTCCAGAACATTCCAATGATTGAAAGCATGGTCAAAATGAAACACGGAAGAGCGATCACATAGACATAATAGTTAGGTACCCGTTTGACATAAATGTAAAAACCGAACTAAAACTAGTTTTTATTGGAATCTGATTGTAAGCTCACAATCTCCACATCTCGACTAACTGAGCTCGCCGTTTCAATCCCAGTCACATCCCATTCACCATTTCCCTAAGCAAACGCGGATTAGGACCAGTGAATCAATAGACTTTTGTAAGTTTAACTTCACACTATTAGAAAAAGTTAGAGCAATGGCTTGATAGTTAAGTTGAAAGTTAAGATCTTACATGCATCTGAGAAGGGCCAAGTTGATAAGTGCTTCCATTCATCGTCATGAATCTGCTAAAAACAAGTACTTACTTGCTTGCTTACCTTTCGTACTTGCTTACCTTTAGCTTACATGCCTCTAGTTGCTCAAAATTATAGCCTCAAAACCTTTAGTTGCTACCAACTAATTGCAATTATTCGATCAATTTGGGTTACTATAACACTTCATAGCTTCTTTTCTTACCTTTCAAAAGCCAGCGACAGAATGAGAAGACGGCAGCTTTGTTTGTCGAATGGAAACGTTCCTACCTAAATGAATAAAGATGTTATGAGCTAAAGTATGTGTACACTGTACAGAACTAATGCTAAAGTACTTGCATGAACAGAACATGCCACTTCAGCATAATAGGTAAGCGGCATTCGAATAGTGCCATTGCTGAGTATTTGCACAGAAATCAGTCCACCTGGAAGCAGGGAGTCCATCGATTTGCTGAAAACAGTTTGTTCTGTCTTTTTTGACTATTGTAAAATAGCCTTGGTAACTTGTTTGGCCGACTTTTTGTAGACTACAGCATCCAGAGCATTTTGTATCACTTACACATTTCCAATTTGATTATCCGGTATCCAAATCACCTCAGATGTGGTGAAAATCGAGTCAATACCATTGAATTTCTCTGGGTTCCAGGATAATCGCAAGTCTTGCCAACTCTGAAAGTTTTCTAATAGAAAAAAACAGCAATAAAACCATTTTGATTTCCAGACAAGCACTCATAATTTGACTCTCAGCATCCTAAAAACAATTTTTCCATAATCAAACAATCCCAATCACCAACGCGAAAAGCTTTATGTAGAAAAGTAGGAATTCGACGGTTATTCTTTTAACCGAACTAGCTGAAATTTGAAATATTGAGAAATATCGAGAAAAATGAATAGTTCACTTGTATAGTTTGCAGGCATTTTTCCATAAACTGGAGTCAAATATTTGTTGTATTTTCTTGTTGTGAAAAGCTCTTGATAGAGTTTGTTTGCTTCGTTGATATAAGTCGAGTATTCTTCTGAAAACAAGAATGTTACAAACAAAAGGAATAGCTTAGATTCAAAGCAAAGCTATGCTGAAACCATTTTTTAGTTCCTATCGTCAAACTCGGTTTCTTTTTTTGGATTTAGGTCAGTATTTGTTGTATTTTCTTGTGATGAATAGCTTTTTTGAGTCTACTAGACTTGGGTACTGGAAATTGGCCAGAATCTGGACTCTAGCTTGGATTTCGGCTAACAACTAGTCCACCAGAATCAGGATCAGCCAAGAATCAAATCTAGGAATGAACCAGTGGATTTATCTTGCCATGAACCAGATTTGTTCTCTATTGCCAGATTTTATGCAATTGTGGGTGGAAATGGAGAATACACAAGACATTAAAATCTAAAAAAAGCTAAAAGAAAATCAGGAAATGTAACAGAGAGCCGCCGCCTTGTAGCCTAACTCACTACCACTCGCCCACTCGGCCTGACGCTTTCGACAGCGAAACGGGGTTGTAGTGTCGATGTTGGATTTCTGAAACACCCTACAAAACTTTAAACGCTTATAACTTTTGGATTTAGATCAGTATTTTCTTGTCATGAATAGCTTTTTTGAGTCTACTAGACTGATACCCAATTCTACTAGACTTGGGTACTGGAAATTGGCCAGAATCTGGGCTCTGGCTTGGATTTCGGCTAACAACTAGTCCACAACAATCAGGATCAGCCAAAAATCAAATCTAGGAATGAATCAGTGACCAGGTCTGGATTTATCTTGTCATGAACAAGATTTGATATCTGATTATCGGATTTGTCTTCTTTATGTCTACCTGGAAACCCATTTTCCGTATAGTTTGTTTGTGCATTGATAGATTTAGAAAACAAATGAATCAACAGAAAAATTAGCATTCTAGACATAAATAGCATTCTAGCATAGCTTTCTAGACATAGCATTCTAGACATTTTACTCTAGTAACAATAATTTTCCATCTTTCGATCGTAATTTAATATGCTACTTGAGAAATGCTTCAAGCTCTTAGGTCAAATATCAAAGAACCAAACTGAGTAGAATCGAGTTTGGATCGTTTTGAGAGTATCTTATTAATAAAATTAATTATTTCATGTTTATAGATTCAGATTTAGATAGATTTAGATGGATTTATTTGGCATTTATTATCCCTAATCGCACAAGCACAAGCAATTCGATAATAATAACCCCCATGGATTGTGAAAAACACAATCGTCTTTTAGAAAACGCTATCAAATAGATCGGTTAAATTAGAATTTGCAATTATTTGAGGATTTTCCTAGAATTGAAATTCTTTGGTTATTGGAAACTGGTAAAACTGGCAAAACTAGCAGTCACCCTGGGACCCACTGGTGAGTCCCATCGTCGTGAATGTGTTAAAACACTTTTTATCAAAAAAGTTCTTCGAAAGGTGTGCTTTCTACTTTTTCTTGTTGTTGCTTTAGCTCAAGAGTTTTTTTTTTGAAGTGTTTGAATGAATTTTGCGTTGTGGACAGTTTGAGTGAAATCGAGGCTGGTCATTAGGTTGAAAAGCCGATTCAAAGCAACTTTAACATTAAATCACTTTAAGAATTATTTCCCAAAAGTCGAAGCATCATAGAAATCTCATTTCACTCCATAATGTTTGAGTTTCTCACATTTCTTATCGGATTCACGCTTTTGCACTGATTATTTAAGCTATTTTGTTTGAAATCATGTAAAACCTATTTAAAATCTTCTAAAAGCACAATTGACACCAAAAAAGCATTTTATTAGGTTGTTCGGATATAAACGAGCGTTTGCACTGCTTAACTCGTGAGATTTCCCTCATCAGATCGTCTTTTCAATGGCGTGGAGATGCTCATCACTAGAATTTGAAGATATAAACTGTTGAGCAAGTTCGCGCGTCGTTTGACATGGATCCGGTTCGATTGTAGCCCTCAAAATAACGTTGTCTACCGTTTGAGAGTGTTCATCATTCTCGAGACTTTCATCACCATTCCGAAAGCGTTGGAACCAGGCTCGGCTTCGGCTTTCAGACAATACATCATTCCCAAATGCTTTGACCAAATCTCAATGGGATTCCGCTACTGTTTTGCCCGATTTGAAGTCGTAAAGTAGGCGAACGCAAACTTGATATATTTGAGGTCAGTCATCTAAAACAAGAAAAAAATCTTAAAAATAAGAAATTATCCGTTTAAAAAGATTCCAAATATGCACAAGATAACGTACTTTTAAATACAGAAAGACATGTTTTAAAAGCTTCTCTCACAACAATAAGTTTAGCAACGCTTGTTTATATCCGAACAATCTAATAGTTTCTTTATAAAAATACTTCAAGCGCACGACAAAATTAATTTATCGAGCTTCGATGGGATTTATGGAAGGAGATTTTGACAAGAATGACAAAAAATGTCGAATGAACTTGGCATATAAAGAGTTCTAAAAGAAGTATCATATACAGGGTGCGGCAAAAGTTCTGACACTTTTTGTAAACGGGCAGTTTGACTTGGAAAAAACGCGATTTTTGAAAAACTAACACCGGATTATAAAAATTCAGATATTTTTACCCCCTAATATACTTTTTTACACAAAAATTGCCATCTAAACAACCTTTTGATGAGGATGTTTAAAGGTCGTTACAGCAGTTTTTTTTTGCTGTTGAGATTTGGGTGCCCTTCGTAGAATCGCTTGAAAATCTTTCGTTTTTAAGATATAAATTTTTTTTGTGGCTTGTTCTCAAGAAAAAACTCAGTTCTATCAAATGGTAACAGCAATTTTTGAAAAAAATTTCATTCTGCAAAGTTTAAGTCAACTTTCGCAAAAAGCTTCAGCCACCAGACCGGGATATAAAAAATTCTCGTCAAAAAGTTATTGAGAGTTGAAATCTTTTTATGAAAATGGCTATATTGGGGTGAAACTACCTAAATTTTTAGAATCCGGCTTTAGTTTTTTGAAATTCACGGGTTTTTAAAGCCAAAAAAATTACTGCTTACAGAAAAAGTGTCAGAACATTTGCCGCACCCTGTATCCTATGTACACTTTCTAAACTTATTTTCAAATTTTGTTCTTTAATAATTTGTCTACTATTCAACCAAAGGAACTAATTGAAACATACATCATACGGTTTAAAACTATTTTTGAAAAAGATCCTATCTAGATATTTTCTCTTTCTCGATCACCCGGTTCAGGGAGATAATGAGAAAAGAGAGAAACAAACACTCCCTTTTTGCCAACCTTGAAAAAACAAAAACACAGACAAGTCGTTGTTGTTGTGAAAAGGATTAAAAGTGGAGTATAAACATTGGGTAAAATGGGTAAAAACAACGAAGCACGGATGGATCGCATAACATCGTTTGTCTATTTACAATCGAATTCCCACGATTTCTTTTCATTTACCTATCCATTTCTCTTTTTTTTACTCAACAAATAAACTACTTAACTCCCGTCGAGACTGTTAAAAGCTTAAAAATGTCGCCATTCTACGTTAAATCTAAGGTTTCAGCTTCAAAAAATTTGGAATATCTCAAAAGTTTTCTTTCTGTGCCTGTACAAGCTTCTATTGGGTTGTCCAGTTATGAATGCGCGTTTTTACTATTTTGTAAATTTCTCAAGATATCGAACAGATGTATATGAGTGTTTTATATCATTCGAAAGCTGAAGATCTCCTCTACATTTAGATATAAAAAGTTTTTGAAATCATTCAACTTTTTGGGAAATTGACTGCACAAAGGGAGAGGTCGTTTTCGAAAAACCTCAGCTTAGCTATTCCTCAAGTTTTGTGGTGTAAAATAACCACCCAGAAAAGAAAAGAAAAGTAAAGATGCTCTGAAATTGTTATATTTTAAAAAAAGTTGTATTGATATATCTATTGGCCAAACATCAAACGGTTAACTCAATTTGAGCGGAGTCAAAACCTGATCCAAAGGCACCCTTCCATTTTTTTGGCCACCTCTTCTTCTGTGCAGTCAATTTGCCCAAAAGCTGAACAAATTCAAAAACTTTTTATATCTAAATGTAGAGGGGACCTTCAGCTTTCGAATAATACTCATATATATCTTTTTCTTGATTTCGGTATCTTGAGAAATTGACAAAATAGTCAAAAACGCGCATTCATAGCTGGACAACCCAATAAATAAAACTTTTCAAATCAATTTCTCAGAAATTCAATAAAAATGGACTCGAGTGAAGGCGGGAGCAACAATTTTGAGACTTCTCATCTAAAATATCTTGACGAGGACGCAAAATTGCCACCGATTGTTGTAGAATCAATAGGAAAACGGTAATTTTCTTTCGGATTAATGCAAAATAGAGAAAGTAAATGTTTAGTGACAAAAAGCTACCACCAATCGACGATTCTCACAAAGAGGGCGAAGAAAGGACAGGCGATGTCGTTAGGTGGTTCAATCCTCTTTTTTTCTACTTCTATTTTTCTTCTGCTATTTTTCGACCACTCAAA